CTTCGTGTTTATCTTAAAAACAGAAGATGGTTCACAGTTAGCAACTGCATCAAACGTACCTTTATAATAAAATCTAGTGAACGGTACTAAGCAAAATTGATCTCTTTCGCCTTTACATAAAGTTTTACATGGTTAGCTCTAGCTTTATGTTGTATTCTTCTGTTTTCTTTATTAATTAAAATCACGATTGTTATAGCTCAGATCAAATTGTTGTCAAATCAAAGCAATCAAAATAATTAAATCTGTTGTCAGACCTAATTAAAAGTCGCGGTGTCTATTCCAATGACTTTATGATTATAATCGCAACACTGAGTTATTCGTTAAGTGTCTATAAACGTTTTACATTCCAGAAACTTCTTACTTATAACTAATCATACTATGCCTTACTTATTTAGTAATTTACCTAAGTAACTTATTTACTAACAAGATCCGAATTCACGGATTCGTTCCTGTACGTAAATCTAAACTATATTGGAATAATGGCTATCCTTTTAAACAAACGCATGACCACTTCGTCACAGAATTATGCAAAATGTATGTGTTGATTGTCCATCGATTTAATAACAAGCCCTATCTATATTCAATAGTATTTTTTCATTATTTTGGTTTATGGCTTTGATTAGACACATGTAGTATACTGATTTCTTCTCGTATCTAATTACTGGTAACCTTTAGGTTGCCTAGTATATTCCAAATACGCACAGTTCCTTAGGTAAGCTCACGAGCTTAACCTGGGAGAAGTTGTTAACACTAGCCCTCCTAGCAAGAGCACGGGTTCGCTTCGCTTCGCACAAAATCGGAATTGCGACTCACTGACTAGATCCGGGGAGAAACTGAGCAGGTTGTGCCTATAGGCTAGGTTGCATGAGAACCGGCGCGTAGTGTCTAAAAGCACCGACAGTGGATCGAAAGGATCCTATAGGATATGTATAAATATATAAACAAAACAAGGTTATTTGATGATATTTTTTTGTTTCATCACTGATATTTTTTTGTTTCATCACCAATGAGGATATCAACTTGGCAGCTTAAACGTCAATTTGTCTTTTATATTCTATCAAAAATCCACTCAAAAATCTAAGAAAAACTCATTTTTTACGATAAATTTACTTGATGTAATAAGCCCTTCGGAGATTACGCGTAGAACGGGTTACGGACACGCAACTACGCAGTTACCTGTAAGTGACATTTCAGGAATAATGTGGTTTATATTTCGTTGTTATTGGTAAATTACTTCATTATTATATCTTATGAATCTATTTACACATAAATTGGCATAGACAAAACAGTTCAATGCTTCTAACTAATCTCATTTGATGTTTATAAAAAAATAAAATAAATAGAAAAGGGATGTTTTTTTTTAATGTCTGTAACGAAGTGAAAGAGAAAATTTTAATACATAAAATGATTTTTTTACTGGTGGTATGACGTCTTGTGAGCCTGTACGTGTAGGTAACACCGCCCTGCCTATTTCAGCCGTGAAGCAGTAATGTGTTTCGGTTTGAAGAGTGGGGCAGCTGTTGTACTGTAAAAACTCATGTCATTGTTTCAAGGTGATTAGCGGCATTTACGTTGTCTATGAGCTCCAGCGACCTCTTAACTCCAGACGGGCCGCGATTTCGTCCATTCATCTTAATAATAAATTTAAAAGAATGTAAATCTGAGCTATCATTAATTATCATCATTATCTTAGACTAGCCCAGAATGGGCCTTGGCCTTGTCCAGTATGTGCAGATTACTCTGTTCAGGGTTTTCTCCTTCCAGTTTTTGACACCGATAAATTTGAGGTCGTGCTCTACGCCATCTAACCATCGGAGTTTGGGCCAGCCACGACATCTGCGGCCCTCTGGTTTCCCATATAGTAGTTGTCTTGGCATTCTTAATTATGGTCGAATATAATATACAAAATCATGAAGTAAACTAAACATAAAATTCAATTTGTCATAATGATTAGCGAAGTTGTTTGATATGGGTAAGAGGGGAGTGAGCGAAGAAATGGTATATGATAGAAGAGTATGGAAGGAGAAAACATGTTGCGCCGACCCCAGGTGACTGGGAGAAGGGCAGGACAATGATGATGATGATTAGCGAAGTTGCGTTTGGATGGATTAGTCATTTTAATTGTCACTGTGTAATATCTTAATGTATGCTTAACCGTCATTCAGTGTATTTCTATCACGAAGTAATGTGTTCTGGCTTCAAAGGTATAGCAACGTCTCAAGGAGGGCAGTGGCGCGGGTTCGTTCGCCCTTCTATCAAATAAAATAAATAATAGTTTGAAACAACTAAAAAAATGCGCTTTTATAGAAAATCCGACTAAAAAATAGAAAATAAATTTTAATAAATTTGAATGAAAAATAGTGTAGGAAAAAAATATTTTATTGTAAAAAAAGCGTGGGGTGCTTTTCAGGATATTATCAAAATATTTATAACTATTGATACCATACCCCAGGGTTTTTTAAGTTTTTTTAAACTATTATTTATTTTTTAGTTAAATTTTAATTTCTTATATATATTTTTTTCAAAAATTTCATCTGAATCAGTCGGTAACTTATCCAAGAAATAGATGATCGGCGCGCATGGTAGTTTTTCCTTTTGATCTTGACACAGACACTCCGAGTTTCAGGAAAACAAAAAACCGCTAATCCTGATTATCCTAGTAAGGATAACGGATCAAACTGTTTAAAATATTGAATTGTCATCGATCCTTAATAATTATTCCAAATTTCGAGTTAATCTGACGTTTTGAAGGGGGTCAAAATCATGTTCAAAGATTCCGTTACATACACACTAACGTACGTCTGAAGCTAATAAAAGCGTATTAATAAAGTTATAAATACATACATAGAAGCCTTTCACGTCGTGTCGCCCAGTAAATTGTTCATGTCAGGTGAAACGCAATAGCTTTATGCGATTTTAATCGTTACTACGTACTGAACATTAAGCGACATACATAATAATATGTTATAGATAAATCGATAAAACTATCTAGCTAGTATTTTCGTTGGTTTTTGTTTTATTGTTAAAATGGATAAACGAGCTCACGTCCCATCTAGTTAACACTTAACAGTGGTCGCCGCAGCCCATTAATTAACCTCAATCACGTTAATATCGGCATCCGTCTTCAAACATGAGTTCTAAGCCTTAGTTTTAACAGTACCACGGCATATATCATGTTTATTGTATGTAGCCCCTAAAGGGCAAGAGAAGAATAAAGCTACTCTTAATTATCTTTATTTTATTTTTTTATTTCTTAATATCGCTTCGGCACTTATCTTTTCGGTTCTCTTTCAGATATGTTCATATATTTTTCTTATAATTACAAATAATTTAAACACGATGAACAAATGAAGTCGTGTGACAAAAATAAAACCCTTGCAATTAATAAAATTTGCATATCCATTAATAAATCGCATTGTGAGTCCGGAGGGGTAGATACCAGTAGAGGCCATTCTGTCTGTTACTGACACGTGACAAGTGAACATGCCTTCTGGGCATCAGACATAAAACAATCTTGATATACCATAATTGAAATTTTCGAAGTGCCATCCCATAATAATGCGAGTATGCACTGCTATTTATTTATTATTAAATGTGCAATGATTAGAAAGACAACATTTAGAATTTAATATCGCTTCAACGGCATTCTAAAAAATAAGCCTGCGTACCTTACGTACCCGTTTTATATCCAAAAAGCGGTAATGCATAACAGCAACTTGTAGTATAGTAGGAATAAAAATCCTAGAGGATTCATCTTTACAATAAATATAATTCGCGTGTTAGCTAAGAGTCCAATATCGATATTCTAAAATGAAGTATTTTAAGTGTCGCAATTACTTAATAAATATGTGCTTACGTATAGTTTTTTTTCTTTTTCAGATACAACTGACTTTAATTCGACAAAGTGAATAAATTGGATTCATACGCCCAGGAAAAAAATGTTCGAAAACCTCACCACCATGGCAGACGAGAACTGAAGCTATTGTGTGCTTCCAGCATTCACCGTTAAAGGAATTGACAATTCAATAATGATAGGTGTAAATACATCGCATTGACGTTCACGAGCTAAGCAGCTCTGAAACATTCTCTCGGACTTTAAATGCTAAATTACAGACTAGTGTCAACGCATTTCTTGAAGCAACCGTGAATCGGGTCGGACCGTGATTATAGCTGACCGTCAGTGCATCATCAATATGTGCCGAGACCGCGATATGTCAGAGTTAAGTTGCGACATCATTAAATAAACTGAGAGCGTCCTGACTCTAGCCTCTGTGTTGTGTATTCCGTCAAGACGGCGCTCGAACGCGTTCCGCCGTTTCGTTTTAGTTCATTCATTTTGTTTTACATAAAAGGATAAACAATAGCCCGGCTGTTTAGTGTTAGATTCTTCTCTGGAAGGGGTTCCGCTGTGCCGCTACCCTGGCCAGCCGTAGTCGAGATAATTTAACCAGAATATTGGAGTCCATAGTAAGCGCTGCGCGATACTGTATTGTGAGTATCAGATATATACATAGTATCAAAATGTAGATATTGTTATAGCAGCCCGATTAACTACTTCATGTCGTCTTTGCAACGCTTTTATAATCGACACGACTTGTCTACAAATTTCCGATAGTACTAGTTGTTTTGATATCCGTTTCTGCTATTTGCCGACAGATGGTGTTACTGGTACCTATATTAAACTGCTCCCTTCTTAGAAATGCTCTTCTCAAACATTAGATCTATAAAACTATTTATTAAGAGCTGCAATAAAGCTAGTTTAGTTAGAAAACACAGTAAAACACATAGTTTCGTCCATGTTACTCGCACCAGTTTTACGACTTGGAGCTGTCAAGAAATACCATCCTACAAGATGTTATTTATTTTACTTTAATTCCAGATTTAAAAGTAATAGGTATCACACTGCAACGTTGACCTCGTGCTCATTTATTTACGCTAGTTCCAAAAATAATTTCTTTCAGAACCAACGTAAAAGCGGAGAGAATTTACATTAAAAAAAAACGAGAAATAAATCTGTCCAGTTAACGAAAATGGTTCGTTTGGATATAATTCAGGTATTTTCAAATAAAGGGGCTTTGTAACAGTTAATGAGAGATAGAAAGATATATATTTCAAACGTATTAAAAAGTATTATTTCATGCATTGATATTAATATAATAGATTTTTTTTAAATCAATATGAGATTCACTTTGGTAAATAAAAATGTGCTCCAAAGGCATTGAGAATAGCTGAACCGATTTCAAAGATTATTCATAACAACTGCGTATAGTTTATTTTAAGAATAAAGATATGCATGACTTCGTTTAGCTATCCTCGAATCCAGATTTTACAATATTTGCCATAAAATCAGAGCGATACAAAACTTGCTTGATCAATCTAAAGTTTGATTATAACCGCTTAAGGCCACGACTGATTCTATCACATTTTCATGGCCATTTATGTAATAGAAAACATTTGATATAGCATAACGCCTAGTAACGTAAATCAGTTAGTTTATTCATAGTCGGACTGTAGTCAACTGTAGATTAATTTCGAAACACACAAAACAGTTAAGATCACAACCATTGAAGCACGTTGATTTTTGATAGTCTTAAACTTCATAACATTAACTTAATTTATTTCAAGGGGAAAAAAGAGCTTAACTGAAAGGGCACCTCTTAGACTGTGTGCTTAGCGCGAGTTTTTTAACGCTCTCGATAGCGTAAAAGTTAACTCAACGCGCCCCTAGCGGCAAACGTAGGCAAACGTTCCAACTTGCATACATTGCAAAATTTGCGTTAACTTTTAGGTTACCGAGAACTTTAAAAAACTCGCATTAAACTCACTGGGTACATGATTTAAAAAGTTTCACAATTGGCCCCAACGTTTCTATACCCGCCTCTAGTGGCGGATTAAAGGTCCAGAGCGCCCTAGGCAATCGCTTCATCGGCGCCCCTGTACCGGCCATAAATGGCCATCATAATACTATAAATTTTAACTAGTTGTTTTTGCAATTACGATGACGTTGTATCATCAAACCCTAGACTTTAGTAGACAAGGACCCTTGCACTGACGCTAATGTGCGAATGAAATACAAACGAAGCCCGCAATATTGCATAATACGAGTATATTGATGCTTGTGCAATATAATCTATTATAGATTTAGATTATAGATCAGCATTTAGTTCTTAATCGTCGATATGTTATTTTCTTTATTTATTTAAAAATTCTGAGCTCGCGCGCCCCTTGTAACTACACGCCCCTAGGCACGTGCCTAATTTGCCTTACGAATAATCCGCCTCTGCCCTTATCTTAAGTAGATTTTCACTATACCAGAACCGTCGTGTATCACATACATGTAGGTAAGCACATCAGTATCTGCACACGACACATTAACATTACATACTAAAATTAGGGTTACGGAAACGAAAACCAGTGCTCAAGCGAGCGGCCTGTAGTAATCTCTGGCCTGGGCTGGCGTACACAGTGCTGCGAAAGGGGCCGGGAGCAAGAGAAGGAACCAGAGGATAATATGGCGGCGCCTGAATGCGAACGAGAGGCTCGCAAGCGTCGCGAGAGACGCGACTCTGGATGCGCGCACGAGAGAAAAGAACGAAGACCTCATAGCGAGGAAAGAACGCCCCCACCACCGCCTCCGCCGCCCCTACACGACTTTAACAGGCTTGAGGTATGCATTTTATTAAGCGAAGTAAATTTTTAATTTCCCCCAATCTCTTTACGCTCATTCAAGGTTTTTAATTTATAGAGTATTGGGCTTGAAAGATAGAAGAGTATGCACATAAACCTATTAAGTTGCCGTTTTACAATACTGGCCATTTGAAATGTACCTAATTTATGTATGGCTGGTAATAGACTCTAAATTCAAATGAATATTATTTTTAAAATACGGTATTCTATGTCCCTGTTCACTCATTTGTTTATTGATTAGTGTTTGGTTTTAACTACATTTGTATCTTTTACATCAGTATAAAAATACGAGGACCTAATTAAGGAGTACGAGCTCCGTCGCGCTGGCAATACCGCACAGACGGCTCAAACATTTATGACTTGATTTCTTTTTTATGAAGGAAGGATTACTGGTGGCCCGGAGGCATTTCCAGTTTCACCAGGACAGGTGGGCGAGCAAAGGCTAATTTATGACTTGAATGGAGCCACACACAAATGAACGCACTTGGTTTCAACGCTGCCGAAAAGGAATTTAAAAAAAAACCGCGTAGTCGCTCGAAAACTAAAGTCAAAGTGGACGAAATAACGGTGACAGTAGAAATTGACGATACTCAAGCTATCGCTGATTTGGTAGCAGCTTTTAATGTTAGCATCAAAACAATATTGGTACATTTGCGTCCATTTGGTGCTGACAAAACTTGACAAATGTGTGCTGCACGAAGAATATAACAATATAGAATACTGAAGATATTTATAAAATAATGGCTTTGACTTTCTGTATATTAAACGATAACTTGATAGGTCTTTGATCAATTAAAGTAAGACTTAAAATTGGATTCAAGATTTTTTTCCTGCTTCTAAGCCCCAAATAGATGAAATAAATGAATAAGCGATGTGCTTACCACTTATTTGCTTTAGTTAAAGATTTAATTAATTTTAACGTACTTATATTAGCTTGTACTGTATCTATATATGTATCTATTTATTAACGTAACGTAACGAATATATTGGTAATTTTTTACTAATTTCAATGAATCTTGAAAATTACCGACGCATCAACAAACCGATTACCTATATGACTAATTTGGGTCTATTATCCGAACCTAGCTAGGGAACCAGAAAGATCACTAAAACTTGTAGCTGAGTTTACTATTAAAAAGTGTTTTATACGTTTTTTTAAATATTCTTTTTATTTTTAGCATTCATGCAACGAGAGCTATCGATCGTCAAATTTACATTGGATTCGTTCGTAACTTGCGATTACTTAACCCTTAAATGCATGATTTTTCCTTTTTAAATACCATAAATTGAAACAGATAGATAATGAAACATATATTAAGGGAAAAATAAACATAATTTTTTTTAATAAATGTATTTTTTTTGTTACAATATTATTGGCATTACAGTCTGAACGTCGAGCAGAGAGATTATCGCGAGCGCGCCGTCCGCAGTACGGTGGCAAACGCCGCCGTGCTCCGTCCCGCATATCCAAACAACCTAAAGAAAACGAATGCTTCACAACTACAGAAGAAATCAGATGCACCACCCCGTCCAATTACGACTACGTTGTTATACAAAAACCACATTGTAAGCTACCTTTCCATTCTGTTATTGACGAGACGTATTTTTTATGAACATTTACATCAACTATTTGAATCTAGTGTGACCAGAGGCGATAAATCTAGATAAAAATAGGCAAAGATAAAACTGTTAAGTACCGTATTCTCTGTTTGTTAATCGAACATCTTTTTCTTTCGCTAAGTAGCTAGTGACGAACTGTTATCAATAAATAAATTCAAAATAGTTTTCTGTATTCAAAACAAAATACGAAATTAACAAAATCAATCTAACTCTAAAGATGACAGTGATTAGGGTAAGTACATACACGCCAGTGAATAATAAACATCGTTACTGTTTTTGCCCTAAAGACGTTTACTCATTCCACAAATTTTCCTTTTTTTTACCTATGCTGATAGCCTTGAGAGGCTATTTCAGCTTCGCCCTAACGTGTAGGTGAGCTCACGGGGCTCAAACCTGACGACGTTGCCAACACGAACCCTAGCAAGGGCCGTGCTTCGCAGAATTTACCACCGGATCGGAAACGCGACCCACTGAGACGAGAACGGCGAGAAACTCAGTGGCAAATTTTACATTTTGTACAACACTAGCGACCCGCCCTCGCTTCGCTTCAGAAACTGTAATTTATTATTGATTTCTCCACTATTTAATGGATATTATTATACATATAAACCTTTCTTTTCAATCACTCTATCTATTATTATAAAGAAAACCGCATTAAAATCCGTTGCGTAGTTTTAAAGATTTAAGCATACATAGGGATATAGGGACAGAGAAAGCGACTTTGTTTTATACTATGTAGTGATACAGGTATCTAATAACTAATAATTTACCGTGTAATTCTAGTAAGCGATGAGCCGGAGACTTTAGACGCGGCCGCACTCCACCGGCAGGCTGGTCGCACAAGAGGCACTATATGCGAGGATAGCGCTGGGGATGCGGCAGAACGTGCCCGTCAACACGAGCGCAGTGCAGCACCCCTCAACAGCACTCGCCTAGATCAGCCTTGCCCTGATCGAAGGCTGGAGAAAATCAGTAAGAAGGTATGACTTCTATACTGCGCGCACTGAGTCACGGCGCATTTTTTATTTTATTTTATTGCTTAGATGGTTGGACGAGCTCACAGCCCACCTGGGGTTAAGTGGTTACCGGAGCCCATAGACATTCACAATGTAAATGCGCCACCCACCTTGAGAATAAGTTCTAAGGTCTCAAGTATAGTTACAACGGCTGCCCCACCCTTCAAACCGAAACGCATTACTTGCCTCACGGCAGAAATAGGCAGAGTGGTGGTACCCACCCGCGCGGCCTCACAAGAGGTCCTACCATCAGTAAAAACATAAAGCATACTGAGGCAGCTCTCATTCCGGTGATTCTCAGTCATTGTGCAAAGAGAAACGTATTCACGAATACTCATATTTGAACAACGTGCATATGCCACAGGTATTGTTTCATTAAGTAGCTTCCTTTTTTGCTAGAGCAAGTTCAGAAACATATATCTATTATTGTTCATTAAACCTTGATTAATATTTTAATACCATTGCTCGTATAGTTAAAAATAATGTAAATTAATATCGTTGATAAAATAAGCGCTTTAATAGCAAGTCGGTTCAAAATAAAATTTTCTTTATGCGGGTAATCCCGCCCGGTTATAAGGGCAAAGCTACAAAATTAGTCTTTGATTTACAAAATTTCAAGTTAATGGAATGTCTCAAAGTTGGTGAACAGAATCTCTCTAAAGACTCCATTACATACATAGAAACAGGTCAAGCTAATAAAAGCGTCTTAATTAATCGTAAACATTTAAATGTGATTCCGGTATCAATAAGAAGAAACTTACACCTACCTCCCTTGGAGGATTGTAACACAGAGTAATTGTGGAACATGTTTGCGTCCACCGATTTCTCGATATAATAATATATAGCGCAGAGTTTTGATCAATCAACCTTTTCGTTATATATGCACAAAAAAAACAATCGAAACACCTATTCCTGCTTTTGTCGTATAGATACACAGTACTTAACATTAATAGCTACAATGATGTTCAAAAAATGGTCTAACGAGTCAAACCTATATATTCTAGTGAATTTTGTGTATACTTTTCGAAATCTGACTATATTAATCCCTGTGATTTTTAACATTAATTTCGATACAATTCTTCTTCTTTTTTGTCTCTACCATATCCCACTAGGTGAGGTTGGCACACCGAATTTTTCTATTCCATTCTCGTCTATCAGCCGTCATCTCAACACTCACTTCTCTTTTTCTCTTCTTCTTGCTTCGGTTTCCTCAATCCGTAAGGTCGTGACCACCTCCTCGCAACAAGAGTTTAATGCGGACCATTCCACGCCATTTGCCTCTATCTGCCGCCGAGTGTAGAGCATCGTGAACTGTGGTGTCGAGGGTAGTGCGGATCTGGTCAGTCCAACGTGTCGGGCCTCTACCTCATGGTCTTCTTCCGTTCACCTTGCCAGTCACCATCAGCTTGTCTAAGCTGCCGTGATCCTTTTTTTTCTCATATCGTGATATAAGTTAGATACAATTACTATGCATATATTTTATTATAAACTTTACTTTTAGATTCATATTCTCAAAAAGAATATTGCAAAATACGAAACTGACTATGAGACGTTGCACGGGCACGCGATCGCCCCGAGCGACCGGATCACCGATGTACAGCTCACCCGAATGTACGAGAGCCTACGCCAACTGCAGGCGGAGAAACGATCTATCAAGACGGATCCCGTCGAATACGCCCTGAAGGTTCAAGCTGCGAAGCTGCAGAAGGAAAGAGATGAAAAATTGGAGATTTGTCTGCAAAGCGATAAGCCGATGTCAGAAATCGTTAAGGATATTGAAGAGGTAAGATCTGCTGGTGATTTAAAATCCACATGGTAAGGTTTTTTGTCTCTATCAAGTGTCTCTATTGGTATATAGCTAAGTATACGTCATGTATGTATGCCCGTACAAGTATATCTGTATTTATACGGTATCGACGAAGAGTTGGACGAGCGAACTAACCCATAGACACTTAGACCCATAGACATTTCAGCTCACTGACTTTCTCACCGGATCTTCTCAGAGGGTCACGATTCCGATCTGGTGGTAGATTCTGCGAAGCACTACTCTTGCTAGGGCTAGTGTTACCAAATTCTCTCAGGTTGGCCCTTGAGCTTATCACGTCCGAGCGAATAGGTAGAGAAGAAACATACGGTATCTCATTTATATGTGTGAATTAGAAGGGGTGGAATGACTTGTTAAGCTTATGATAGTTTGCAGGGGCTAGTGCAAAATAAATGCACTAGACACACTGGCCTCTTCGTACACGTAAAGCAGCACTGGAGTATTCGTTAAGTAATTTTGTAAGCGCTTCCTTTTCATACAGTGGTTGGATGGTTGCCGTCAAGCCGGAGGTCGCTCGACTATCCCAGAGAGCAGTTGGTCGTCAGCGCAGATGGCCGCCGAGAAGCTGTGCGTGCAGCGCGTGCTGCTCCGGCTGGAAGCGGCGCGCGGCCGGCCACCCGCGCACTCCGCAGAGCGCGGTGCCGCCAGACACCTCTACGAACGTTACAGAGCCGTGAAAAGAGTACTCGCCTCACCTAGATCCGATGCGGTGACTTTTTTATTTATTTTATTTTTTACTGGCGACCCGCCCTCGTTTCGCTTCGGAAACTGTAATTTATTATTGATTTCTCCACTATTTAATGGATGTTATTATACATATAAACCATCCTCTTCAATCACTCCATCTATTAAAAAAAACCGCATCAAAATCCGTTGCGTAGTTTTAAAGATAAATCTTAAAAGCATACATAGGAATATAGGGACAGAGAAAGTGACTTTGTTTTATACTATATAGTGATTGCTTAGATGGGTGGACGAGCTCACAGTCCACCTGGTGTTAGGTTGTTACTGGAGCTCATAGACATCTACGGCGTCAATGCGCCACCCACCTTCAGATATCAGTTCTAAGGTCTCAAGTATAGTTACAACGGCTGCCCCGTCCTTCAAACCGAAACGCATTACTGTTTCACGGCAGAAATAGGCAGGATGGTGGTACCTACCCGCGCGGACTCACAATAGGTCCTACCACCAGTATTCAGACTTCTGTTTAATTACACTTATTATATTGGTAGACGTAGCGAAAAATGATGGAATTGGCGGTCCTATCTGTTTCTGCAGTGAGGTAGCCCTATGATTCGTTTTAAGAGGTTGTGGCATTAACTTTGTGACTTTTAAATACTTCGATAGCCGTTTAGCACCAAGTGCGCCATGATGTGATTTCTTTGTTCAATAAGAGAATTTAACCCCCACATAGGATATCGCACCTCCAATCCTAATACCGCCACCTTCTTTGAGGTTCAAAGATAGAAGTGTCAACATGGCCTTGTTGATCTAATAATTAGAAACCCTGACTGCTGTTCCACTTAGAAAAGGCAAACAAAAGCTATTCAGTATTTAGAATTGTAATAACTGAGGCTTTGGTACCAAATCGTACGTCTCATAATAGGCCCAACCACCGGTAATATAATTATTATGTATAGGTACTTAAATCAACAAACACTTCCCAACTTCTTATTAAAAAAAACTGAAATTAGTCCCTTTTTGGGCTTAAAGAAATAGAATTACGATTTTTAGCGAATTGGACGGCCGATGGGGCAGAAGAATCCTTGAGTGATCACGTACGGGCAGACGCAGTGCGCGACGGCCACATAACAGATGGACTGACGACCTAATGAAAATCGCTGGGTCACGTAGGATGTAGGAGGCAATGAACCGGCCGCACTGGAGATCAATTGAAGAGGCCTATGTTAAGCAGAGGACAGCTATAGGCTGAGATCATCATCATCGTGATGATGGGACCGCAACGCTCTCATTAAAAAGTGAATTAGAACATTTTTGGTGTTTTATTTTATTTATTATACTCAATCAATGATGAATAAAAATTTCCGTCACAATTCACAGCTGATTGGCAGCACTAATGGCGAATTGGCGACCATTCACGAGCACGAAACAATGCTGTTCAACACGAGCGTGGACAGCTCCAGCGACTCCCAAGAAAAACCATCTGATTCATCTCAGGTAAGATTCGATTTGATTTAAATTCCATTGATTTATAACATCCGTAAAAAAAAACGCTCATCTATTGATCGTCACATGATAATCAACAGTTTGTCTACGTCTCTTGTGTTCAGTCATTCTTTTCGCTCAATTCTCATCTCAAAGGGAATGGGATAAGGCATAATATCGCCAATTTTAGTTAAGTTTTTTGTGTACAATAGACCTTATTCTACTCTACTATCTTCATTTCTTGTATTGCTCCAGGAGACAACGGAAACTCCTCTCCAGTCTCCGCCCACACGTGACTCTGCTCTGACGGAAGAGATGCCATCGTCAACTTCCTCGGCGCAGTCAGCTACAAGCGACGACGCAGCCCCTTCTAACGAGGGCCTACATTGTCTCACCCTAGAAGAATTGAATCGAGCTCTGATTGAAGCCAAGCTGCAGAAGAGTGTACGTATAATTAAAACGACAAGAGAATGAGAAATGTAACGCTACATAGAGAGACAAAGAGATTCAATATTTGTTTTTTTATTTATCACTGCCACAGTGGATGGTCTTGTAACCCTCTTATCGTGGGCACCGCTAACTACATACTACACATATGACCCAGGCGACGTGGCAAAGCAAAGCTCTCGTCTCGCAAACATGTTTTTGTTTTGTTTTATAGCTTTGATGGGTGTTGAGTGGTTACCGGAGCCCATGGACATCTATAACGTAAATACCGCCACTCACCTTGAGATATAAGTTCTAAGGCCTCAGTATAGCTACAACGGCTGCCCCACCCTTCAAACCGAAACGCATTACTGCTTCACGGCAGAAATAGGCAGGGCATAGGTACCTAGCTAGGTAAGAGTGCTTTTAGAGCTTTTAGTATCTTCAAGCGCAGGTCACCGTACTCCTCGAACTCATTGACTATGACGAAGAGTTGGACGTGCGAACTAGCCCATAGACACAACTACCTCAGTTTCTCGCCGGATCTTCTCAGCTGCCGCGATTCCGATCCGATAGTAGAAGCAAAGCATTGTTCTCACTAGAGCCATTGTTAGCAATTCTCTCAGGTTAAGCCCGTGAGCTCACTACCGGTCCGCGAGAAATGGAATAGCCCCTTAGGCTAACGATTAGGTATGAAAAAAAAGATGGTCTTGTCTCTAATGCAGATTCTTCTAAAAAGCACACTGAAAAAAAAAGATGCATGTGTATTAAAAGATTGTTGATTCAGTTTTATTTTTGAAAAAAATAAATTTTTATTATGTGGGCATACAGCATAGAGCCGTTTAGGAAGATTTTAAATAAGTTGTTCCAGTTATCGAAACGGTCATTTAAATACACAATTCCTCAGCATTAAAGGAAACCAATATTTATAATACGATAATATGTTATTTGCAAATGGCGTGTCATGAAAACATCAAACCGCAATAAATTTTTTCAAGAATATGTACGTACGAGTAGGTAAACGCCATTTTGCTTATTGCTGCCGCGAATAAATCAAGCGTATCGGCTTAAATGGTAGGACAGTATTGACATATAATTAAATTTGATACTTCGAGCATCGGAATAATCTGTATAATTTATAGTATAATTACGTTTATTCATATATTTAAGAAGGATTTATGGAAGGGATGCATAATCAGAACATCTCGCTATCGGTCACGCCCATTGGAGAATGGCGATGAAGTCAGAGAACATCTTGTATTATTGGTAGCATATTGTGAACTCGGTTAGTAGGTACCAATGTTTTGGCTATTTCTCCGAAGTGGTTATGGGTTGTGAGGCGAAATAATCTTTATGCGCCCTGGCATCGGCGATTACAATCGCCATTGCGACCTCTTGTTTGCAATGTCTTGTGCTCCGATAAACACCTCGCAGTAGGTAGGCAGTGAACTCGTTGAAAAAATCTACCAGATATTAACACGTTGGCTGCGGCCAGTAAAATCATAAACCTTCATCTGGTGCGGTGGCGGGTCGATGCCCCCCAACGATATTTCCACCAGTGAATGGTATATGTCTTTCTCGATCCACCAGCACTAGGGTAGATTAAAATGCTATAACTTTGTGTAAGCATACTGTATACAATTTTTAGTATATAGTTGTTGGTGCCGAACTCTAATAAACACCTGAAATAATCGGTTCGCACCAGCTGAAAGTACCGCGGCAGACCAAGACGGGCCTGTTCCGCAATAAAGGGGTTAATGTCTATGAAACCTTGAATATAACTACATTATATTTATTTTTTTCCTTCCTGTTCACTGGTACCCCAAGAGGCTATTCGAGCCCAGAGGTCGCCTGGCCCAGTAGGCGAGCTCACAGGCTCAACCTGAGAGAGTTTCCTAATAAGCCCTAGCAAAAGCAGTGCTTCTGAGGATCTACTACCGGAGCGGAATCGCGACCCACTGAGAAGATCCGGCGAGTTAACTCAGTGGGCGAAATTCAATTATCGTTTACAGGAGCAATCTCTTTAGAATTGTATATTCCGATTCAAACAGGATTTAGTTACTAATTTCAGATTTTTTTACTTCTATAGGTACTGCGTCGTAGTATCAAGGAATACGAAATCAGCTTCGAATTGCAGAACAGTAGGAAAGTGCAGAGGGACGATAAGAAAGGTCGCGAGGAAGATTACCTACGTTACAAAGCGATTAAAGCTAGAATAAAGTTGCTAAACGCTTTAATCAATAAACAAAAGTCTTTAACACAAAACTAACGTGGTGCAGCTTTCGCGTCTCAAGTGCAGAGCTTTCATAGGAACACATCGAATACAGTTCATAATAATCGATTGTTGTTTGTCAATCGTCTCATGCAAAATGATGTTTTGTGATATCCTCAGCTTGATAAGACACGCAATAGAATATCACTTCAAAAAAAAAATGTAAAAAAAAGTTTAAAATCACAAGCTTGCCGAAATATTTGAGTAAACTAGTTTAAAGTTCCTGTTGTTACAAATAAAATTCGTTTTTTTACAAAAGAACATGCAATAAATAAAAAAGAGTATCTTGTTAAAATAATAAATAACTTGATTACTTAATTCGATTCTTACGAACACTACAACCAATTCATTTGTTTTGTTACATAATGTATAATAAATGTAATAATATATATACTATAGTTATTATAACTGTGTAATTTTGTATTGTTATGCCAAGTGCCCTACCAAATTCGTGTTCAGTGGTTACTGAAGCCATCCACCTCACAGCATGAGGATGAAATTTCAATTATATTAAGCAACGGCTGTCCCACCAGCAAATCAGAACGAATGCCTATTTCACGGCCGAAATAGCTAGGGTGGTGGTACTTAGCTACCGATGCGGACTTAATACACCCACCAGTAAAAACAGATAAATATGTACACTATCACTATACCGCCCATTTACAGATTAACTATATCATTAACAGATTAGTTAAGTTACATACGTCATAAAAAGCATTCGGAAAGGTTTTATCATTTATAGTCAAAGATGATAACGTTTTATTATTATATAATTTGTTATAATTTACCAAATATTTATCTAAGCATTTTCCAAACATTGTTATGGTGCCAAACTTTGTCACTATTGTAATTTTTATAACAAAGAATCAAGAGAACAAAAACAGTAGGTACCTATTGGAAAAGTCATTTTCATTATAGGAAATGTATTTCTAACTTAAGAACGTATAAAAGGCTTGGTTTTTATATGGTAGATTTCTAATTTAAAATTAATTTTAAGCTTTAATAAAACTATATTATACCTACAGAATAATGGTTACGTTAATTGTGGTTAATATTAAATTACGTAAAATCCATAAAAACATTGTAAAAGTCCTATTTGCAGCGAGTGTAAATATATACAATATTTCGAAAATGTAGTTCCTTAAGATTGTTGGTAAATATTGTCTATTAGAAAAATATGAGATGAGAAAAACGGCATTAACTACATAAAAAATATCTATAACGGAACAGTTGTACAAAAAATTTCGTTCCAAATATTTTAATTGTTGTTCGTAAATAGTGATAGTACTTAAATAGCTGAAGAATTCCACAATTACATTAAATAAAACTGGTAATGAGGTACTTACTCCCTATGCTTGTCCATTTTGAGAAACGATTTTCTTAATCAACGACAATCGTAAAATTAGAAAACAAAAACCTCCTTTTTAATTCCCTTTGAATTGCATCGATAGATCGGAATACAGTATGTAGCGTTTCACCTAAATTTTAATCGTAGGTTATATTGACTTCAAACGAATCACAATATTGTAATTACCATTATGCTTAATTAAATTAAGGATCTCTTTTCGACTGTACGTATGTACCTGCTTAAGTGTTAGTAATATTTATTATTGATCGTAAACGATGTGAACGAGTTTGAATTTCAAAGTTTTTAAGTCCTCTTTAAGAGTAGATGATAGTGTCTAGACCTAAAGGAAACTGTGATTTGCCAGTGTGTCAGGTTCTTGTTTGACAAGATATGTTTTAGTGCGTTTTAATGCATTTTTCGTGGTTGTCTCTTTAGTATATGTTGTGAGCGATTGAGACTTAATGCTTTAATTACGCGCTTAAAGAACTGGAGTTAAAATGAAAACATTTTAGTCTGGTTTATATCGTAAAAATTGTAATACGCAATGTTTATAAGAAAATATTTTTTAATTGCTTTCGAAGACCGACAAACCCGCGAAAACTCATTGATTGTAAATGCTTAACGTCGCCCATGGACATCAACGTAAAGGACATAAGGATATTAAGTATTTTAAATTTAAAAATATTTTTACATTTTAACAATGTTGTTTGTTAATAAAACAGCAAATACGTTAAAATCATTTCAAAGAAAACATTGACTTGTACGGTTTAGTCAATGTAAACATGAACTCGATCGTGATATCTTTGACCTATGCTGTGTACTTCATAGAAGTTTATAATTCACTCGAATACATAAGTAGAGTAATAAAACGGCTTTTATTTTCCACAATTTCTAATAAACAACAACGTGCCATGTTAAATTATTATACAATACCTAATATTATTTGCTAATTTATTTTACTTACATTTATAATTACAGTAGCTACATAACAATCACCATTGTACACTTCGAAGAATTCACACTTCAATCTCCATGTTTGAAATATTTAAGAGTTCGTATGTCGTAGGAAATAAAATTAAGCTTGATAACATAATTAGAATATGAGAATGGGCTCCAAGGTATTATTCGGTCATGTTATTTCAAAGCGAAAGCATTAAGCGTAAGAATATTATTTCGATAGCTGATATCTATATCTATACTAATATTATAAAGAGGAAAGATTTGTTTGTTTGTTTGTTTCGAATAGGCTCCGAAACTACTGGACCGATTTGAAAAATTATTTTTCCATTAGAAGCCGACATTGTACCTGATGAACATAGGCTACTTATTTTTTTTTTTTTATATATATTTTTTTGATTTCATGTGTGTTTTATCTATACTATAATATTATAATATAATATTATAAAGAGAAAAGATTTGTTTGTTTGTTTGTTTCGAATAGGCTCCGAAACTACTGGACCGATTTGAAAAATTCTTTTTCCATTAGAAGCCGACATTGTCCCTGATGAACATAGGCTACTTTTTTTATTAATTTTTTTATTTTTATTTTTTTGGTTTCATGTGTGTTTTAATGTTTCCGAAGCGAAGCGAGGGCGGGTCGCTAGTTAAGAATAAAAGCTTAGCACACAAGTTTCACTTGGGGTTGCACTAGAAAAACTGAAAATAATTAGACATTTGTAGGCAGCGGATTGGCTCTGCCCCTGGCATTGCTGAAGTTCATGGGCGACGGTAACCATTCACCATCAGGCGGGCCGTGTGCTCGTCTGCCTACGAGAGCAATAAAAAAAAGACAACAATAAGATACAATATGAAATAAATACCGTTCGCTAATTCAGTAAATACCTACATCAGATTGGAGCGGGATTCTGCAAGTGTAATTCAGAGTTCAAATTAGCCTTAATATCGTTTTTAAGGAGATTCAGATTAGAATGGTTGCCTCAAAACAAAAGGGACAGCTCAAAACAATTTTTTGTTGTTTTAGTTGTTTTTTTTCTGTCGGATGTATTTTTCGATACAGATACAGATTTTCGTGTTATATATACGTCTTTTTGAGGTGCCCTTCCCTTAGTTACTTTATTTTTATTTTACTTACAATTTGCAAAGTTTATTTCGAATAGTCTATAAGCAAATATATTTGAGTCTTACAGGCTACTTTTAAACACTAATTATGGAATTTTAGTACTGTTGGTTGTTAGAGTTACGGCATATTTATACTGTTGTCTGATGTACATATAATAAAATTGAATACTCTGAATAATTATATGATTGATTGGCTAGCCAAAGTCTAAAATTTTGTACATAATGTATAAGTAATTTTTGTAATTGTGTATCGGAAATTAATTCCTTTAATCTCGAACAAAATGTTAAATAATAAATTGTTTAAGAACTTAAAATAAGTATACTAGAACTACTGCTAATATTCAATATCTTAAACAAAATTACGACGGCTGATGAAGTATTCTCTATATTTTGACGAAATATGTCGTCTTGAACAATACGATCATTATAAAAATTACCGTATATTTTTACTGTGTAAGCCGAATAATGTGTCGTGAAATTAAAGTTATTACTAAACACATCAACTGTCGTCGCAATTTACACATTATGTACCATCATCTATTCATAAAATAAGTGACATAATTTAGTATTGAAGGAAGTAACGATTTGTTTAATGTTATTCAAATTATTTACGATAAATTTAAAATAAATACCAACATGTAAATACATATAGTTTTATTTTCCAACAAAAACATGTTTGTTCAACGTTTCTCAGGATATGAGGGTTATTGCGAAAACTGCTTTTTTGTATCAAAACACAGCGTGAAGTGAAGTGAGTGAATAATATAAAATGCTTTATTAATAAAGATAGCAGTTTAATTTTTGATTGTGGCTTTTATATATGGAAATAATAAGATTATAGTGATGATAAAAAACATCATATTTTGCGACTGAACAATTATTTAATATGATCCCGTTATCTCCTTACTACCATTGTGTGTGTGACCCGACGCACTAGAGTTGTTCATCCCGTCATATAGGTTCGTTTATAGTATTAACAGTAATTATTTTAACCTCATGCTACTGGGGTCCAAATAAAAGGGAAAAAGAGAGATACTTTTTCAGCCATACTACTTAGTCCCTGCTAAAAATTGGTTCTTACTTCAAACAGTCCATAAAACGACAGCAACTGAAATAGTTTAAGATCTTAATGATGCAATGAATTGTATCGGTATCTTGCTTGACCATTTATGCGCTGTAACTATTAATTAACACCATATAAACAAAAAGAGATATGTGATGATTGAGGAAAATCAACGAACAAAGAGCATTTACGCAAGGAAGTGATGATGTTATTACGCATATTGCACATGTTGGTTTATAATGAATGCATTGAATATTTTGTTTGCGCTATTTGATTTTTTTCCACAAAATCGACGTGTATATAATGAAAGACAAAGTCATATGGCACTGTGTACGTCTTACTGGTGGTAGGACCTCTTGTGAGTCTGCGCGGGTAGGTACCACCACCCCGCCTATTTCTGCCGTGAAGCGGTAATGCGTTTCGGTTTGAAGGGCGGGGCAGCCATTGTAACTATACTTGAGATCTTAGAACTTATACTCAAGGTGGTTGGCGCATTTACGTTGTAGATGTCTATGGGCTCCAGTAACCACTTAACACCAGGTGGGCTGTGAACTCGTTCACGCATATAAGCAAAAATAAATAAAAAATATGGCACTTCTAAAATTGGTTTCAGGTTATCTTTGCTAATACCTATCGACGTTATATGTAGTTGTGTATAACGACTTAGTCAACATAATAGAAATAAAAAACAAATTGCATTACTTTTAGGCAGGGACCAAGCCCATGGTGGTGTGAAAGCAATCATAATTAAAAATATTTTAATTGTCATTGACGATCAGACGAACTCAAACAAACCCGTGTGCATAGTGCGAGTTTTTTAACGTTCTCGATAGCGTAAAAGTTAACCCAATTTTGTATGCAGTTCGAACAGCGCCCCTAACGGCAAACGTAGGTAAACGATCCCATTCCATACAAATATGAGCTAACTTTTACGCTATCGAGAACGTTAAAAAACTCGCACTAAGCAAACCGGTTTCAGCCGGATAATGGAATTCATAGGTGCCACCAAGAGATTTCCATCACCCACTACAGACATCAGGTCGAAGACACTTTCGTATTGACAACTAGACTGCTCTTCAAACCGTTATTCTAGTGCTGATTCTACCAAAACGGAACTGATTCACGGTAAAAATATGTTACAAGCCCTTGTGAACTTAAAATATAAATAATTTTATGTGGCGTCGTAATTTCGCGATTCAAAAAGTCCTCCTCCAAATAATATAAGCTAGTTGGTGGCGATTGTAGTCGTCAACATTGACTCATATCAGTAAACGGAGTATATAATGTGCAGCGTTTTAACTGGAACCCCAGTGCGTGTCCAACCTTTCGAAGTCGAACAAGTTTCCTTGTTACAATGATGTGGAAGACTGTCTTGATAACGATTTTCGCTGCCGGTGAGTTTATCGAACATTTATAAATTTATTTCAGGAATTGATTTTTTTCGGTATTTTTTTTTATCAACGTAACCGCAGATAAGAGGTACCATTCCCGACTGACGTCAACAGTGTCAATTTAATTAATAGCACGCAAACAATTCCGTTTTCATGGAATTACATTTTTGTGCTAGATCTGGTACTAGAATTCACGTTTTGCGTCTCAGCGTTTGAGGAGTCACTCGCTGTTGAAGACAAAATCTATCAGTTCTTCCGTCTTCGTAGTTCAGCGGAAGGCAAGACAAGAGAAACACAAAACAACCATGCCTTATGAATGAAGATTTTAGTTGAATTTTTAATGTGACTTTTATACATGATAATATTAAGATAATTTGCATTTAAGTGATGATAAAACACATAATTTTTATCTTAATTTTGTATAGATCGTAATGGTATATTGTTTTTGTAATTTAATTACACTTTACCTGTCTGCTTCTATGCGTAATATAATAAATAGTGTTGTTATATACATAAATATAAATATCGTGGTATATCACTCATTTTCAGGTTCACTTAATGATCGAAATTCGACCATAACTATTGAGATCTTAAGACTTCATTAAATCCTTTATAATTGTTCATTTGCATAATAGTAAGCTCCTCTTATGACGTGGTCTAAGATTCAACTTTAAAATTTTATTAATTCGGAATATGTACGGGAATTTAATAAATACAATAATGTCAACCCAGCTCTGAACTGTAAAATTTCTTATTTAAATAGACTAATTTGTTAGATTAGTATCAACACAATTAGACAAACGACAGGCGAAGGCATATAATCCATACAAACAAACAGGTCTATGAATATTTATTTTAGAAAAGCGTTGAAATGTTTAACACAAATCAGTCGAACAAAAAAAAAAAACTTCCGTGCCTAATTTCCAAATCGTGGTTTTTTGTGTTTTATACCTCTATATTAAGGACATTTTAAATAATCTAGTTGAAACAAAAATTGAGTGCCTCGTTTTATGCAAATGATATGTTGAGTACTGCACTTGTCCGAACGGATACGTGAGTCCGGCAGTAAACTCAGAGCCCCTATTTCCTGAGCGGGTTGCCATCATCCCATTTACCAATTAACTCGATTAAGACGATCACTCAACTCGGTCGCTCGTAAGCTGGTACGTTATTCTTTAATCAATCGATGCTCGAAATTGAAAGGTTCTTTTTTTTTTAAATACAATAGTAGCAGTAAAATTTAATGGCGGCAATTCTAAAAGGCTTTTTTTTATTTCTTTTTTTTATATCATTTTAGACAAATTTACTTCGTTTTTATCGCTTGTTTTTTGTACGTCATGGGTTTACTTCAAACTTAATTAAGATAGATTACTAATTTAAGATTGTAAAATGAAATAGCCGATAAGTTTATCTAGGAGCAATGAATGTCATTAAGTTTTTAATGAAAGACGATGATATTGCTATGACACTTTTTCAAAACTGTTGCGATTGATAGATGGAAAGATCTTCTTTGTGGTGATAACTAACTGATATAACAACTTATTGACAAGAATTATCTTAATAAAACACTCAATATAAACTCCATGGCGGGACCTAAAATAACATACAACTTTTTTTTATTTTCAATAAGCTAATTGTATTGGTATTGTGAAAGGTGATAAAACTGAAAACTTTGAAATTACTTGAATTTTAGCATTAATTTTTATTGTAACATTTTATTATTCACTTGAATTGTAGCATGTTGTTATTCACAAAATACAAAAGTATCTGCAAGACACATGATAAGTGTTTATTACGAGATAAATGTGTACATAGGTTAACGAGCATTTATTTGATAAACTCTACCACATAAACAGCAATATCCGTTGAATGGTAATTAAATGGAACAATAAAAGTTTAACTTTAATTATTATTTGATTTAGATAACAAGTTTAGAGTCATTAATGTTGCTATCTGCTAATTCTTATTGCTAGAATATAATACTTAATTTTGAGTTCTGCTATTACAATAATAGAAAAATAAGTAATAATAATATTGGAAGGGAATATTGTTAGGTGGTCGAATAATCACCAAACAAAGAGAGTCCACGTTCACCTGCTTGTAACAAAAACAGTGATATACTGAAAAACCCTACGATAGCAGGCGGTAAGAAAAAATTAGGTCAAACAAGACGCCATGCGGAATGTCTATTGAATTTGGCAGCCGTCGCGAGTTTCTTACAATATGATAGACACACATACGAGAGATATACGAATATTTTTTGTAGTACGAAACCGAAAAATAAGTACATACATATTAAATAATGTCTTATTCACACATTTATGTCACATTTTTGCAAAATACGACGTCTATAAAATTATTACAGCAAATTGTACTATATCCGTAATTAGAATTGATGACAACGTCAACAAAACTATTGGAAATCGAAGCCAAAACTTTAAAATTATGTGGCGACGGTAGGTATATTTGTACGATGGAAGGGCTGTCCTAGCGTCATTGAAAAAGGAGTTTGTTGATGTACCTAAAGCTTGTGGCATACCTACTCTTTTGGTTTCCATTTTTTTCTCGAATCGTCACAGATATCGTGCTAGCCAAGACCAATTGGATGCTAAGAAAGTGTAATAACGTTTCTACCACTAATTATTCACCCAAACAGCTTAGCTTAGCTGCATCATCCAATCTAAAGAGTGAAAACAATTTTGGTCGTAATAGTATAAGACATTATTTGGTTTGTCAGACCTTTTGTAGTAAATTAATTTTCACATAGGTAATATTATTTACAGGTGTGTTGGCTGATGACTTTAGTCAGATTACAGCGGTTGTGACCTCGCAATGCACCAAGAACAATGCTGAAGACAAAGTCCCTGAAGTTGAAGTTAGTTACTGTTTTCATATTATTATTTGAAAGACTAGATTATTAGATTATATTATAATATTGCTCATTTAAATAAATGAATGGTTAACTTCGCGGTGACGTACACGAATATGTTATCTACACACATGTTAAATTAAAAAAGCCATTACAGAAATAGCTGCGTAGAGGTTTAGGTGCAGTTAAAAATTGAACTGCATACGACGTTATATACCTACACAGATTACAGTTAAAAATTGCACTGCATCAGTTGTTACACACACACAAGTAGGTACACTTAAAATGATGCATAAAGTCAACGACCTTGTGTGACAGGCGGGTGCGACCAACCGATTTCGTTTTAGATTGTGGGTTAACGATGCTATGACGGCAGGGACTGACTTGGCTGCGCCCCTGGCGTTCTCAGCCAGTCGCGCTTCCAATCCGATGGTAGATTCTGCGAAGCATTGCTCTTGCTAGGGCCAGTGTAAGCAATACCAATAATAGTTACTGGTGGTAGGACCTCATGTGAGTCCGCACGAGTAAGTATCACCACCCCGCCTATTTCCACCGAGAAGCAGTAACGCGTTTCGGTTTGAAGGATGGGGCAGCCGTTGTAACTATACTGAGAGCTTAGAATTTATATTTCAAGGTGGGTGGCGCATTTACGTTGTACATGTCTATGGGCTCCAGTAACTACTTAACACCAGGTGGGCTGTGAGCTCGTCCTCCACCAAAGCAAAACAAAAAAACACAAGTAAAGTTAAAATCAACTGAAACACACTCGCACTGAACCTCTGATATCAGTATAGCGTCTCGATTACCATTAAGAAAAGGGGTGACGTAGCGATTTTGATAGGAAAGTAGAAAAAAACTGATAAAAACCTAAAACTTCACTTAATTTAACTGACAAAAACCTAAAACTTTTGTACAAACCTTCATGGGAGAAGAAAACAGTCTGTGGAAAACCTCCACCTTTAATACATCCGGATCCTTTTTACTACTATAAATGAAGGCTCTTTCAGTAAGCTGTATTAAGATATTATGAATGAAGAGAAGGTAAAACTAACTTTGATAACATCTAGTGATCGTGAGAAGCTATTAAACAATTTAAAAACAGATTAATTTTGTTATTTGTTTAACACGGGTGCTCCAAATGATGAAAAATTGTAAAAAAAGTTAAAGATTTAATTACTGATTGCAGGCAGCATTGCGTACCTTTGGAAACTGCCTCAAGGGACTGGTCGATTTAAATGTTCTGAAAACCGAAATTGAAGAAGCCAAGCCAAACGGTGCACTCGACGAGGTTTTCAAGAAGTGAGTTTTTGAATTTAATATCTAATAACAAAAATTTTGAGCACAAAAGTTTAGGTAAGTAAAATTTAGGTATGTTCTGCTTGATTTTGTTAATGAACTTAGATTTTTGGGTAATGTAGTACAGAATTGAAAAAAAAAAAACAAATAACGATTAACTTAATTATTTTTAATACGCTTTTATTAGCTTCAGACGTATGTATGTTAGTACTGTGCTTTTCGTGGGGTTGATGTCGATATGTAACGGAATCTTTGAACATGATTTTGACCCCCTTCAAAAAGTCGGATTAACTCGAAATTTGGTATACTTATTAAGGACCGATGAAAATTCAATATTAAAAAAAATATTGAAAAAATCGAAATTCAACTAAAAAATGAAAAATAAATAGTTTAAAAAAACTAACAAAATACGCTTTTATAGAAAATCCAACTAAAAAATAGAGAATAAATTTGAATTAGAAATAGTGTAATAAAAAATGACTGTTGTAAAAAAACCGTGGGGTGCATGGTATCAGTAGTTAGAAAATATTTTATGAACAGATATGAGTAGAAGGGTTATTTTGATAATATCCTGAAAAGCACCCCACGCTTTTTTTTACAATAAAATCATTTTGTCTTACACTATTTTTAATTCAAATTTATTAAAATTTATTTAAAACTAGCTGACCCGGCAGACTTCGTAGTGCCTCAATCGATAAATAAAAGACCTAAACTTTTGCATAAAATAAACTTAAAACAAACAAAAGGAATCCGTCCGACGTCCGATTTTCACATTTATCTACCTTTTAAACCTTCTCTGGACTTCCACAAATAATTCAAGACCAAAATTAGCTAAATCGGTCCAGCCGTTCTCGAGTTTTAGCGAGACTAACGAACAGCAATTCATTTTTATATATAGAGATAATATATTGTCGAAACGACTTGACAGTTTTCAGTATTTATCTCAGCTTCCAAGGGAACTTGATATTTCAACTATGTATATAAATATACCTACACCTGATGATGAGTGGTTACCGTCGCTCATGGACGTAAGCAATGCCAACAGACAGACCGAAGTCCGAATTAATATAGGCAGTCGAACTCACGGCCAACTCTTGGGTCAAGTAGTCACCGCATTGGATACCGCGAAATTGTAGATCGAAGTCTCAGCTGTATATTATACTGTTGATTCACCGGAATGCATCCTTTGCATCCCGACTACAACACACAGGATGGTTGTACAAAGCCATATGTGTGACAATATGCCCTATGACCAGCCTGTCATTGTAAATTTTACGGATTTCTTTAGTATTTACTGGTGGTAGGACCTCTTGTGAGTCCGCGCGGGTAGGTACCACCACCCTGCCTATTTCTGCCGTGAAGCAGTAATGCGTTTCGGTTTGAAGGGTGGGGCAGCCGTTGTAACTATACTGAGACCTTAGAGCTTATATCTTAAGGCGGGTGGCGCATTGACGTTGTAGATGTCTATGGGCTCCAGTAACCACTTAACACCAGATAGGCTGTGAGCTCGTCCACTCACCGAAGCAATAATTTTTTTATCAAAAATAGTATTATTAGCAGAAAGACTGGATGGACCGACCCTGGGTGGGTTCATCAAGTTGCATGTTCTCCATACTACTTGATGAGGCTGCCAGGGACGGAGTTGATAGATTTACTTAAATATTAACACAGTTCTTAAGTTATTTGTAATACTAACACACTATGAGACTATGATGTCTTGAAATAAAATATTTATATCGATTTTATTATATGACTCCATATTACTTTTCATCATGAAAATTATTCGTAAAAACGTGCGATGCGTCTCGACATTAGTTTTACGTTTAGGACTTAATTACTAACCAGAGGTAAAGCAATAATTTTGTTAATTTTTAACCCAAATATACTTAAGGTACTGTGACAAGAGTGCTCAACTGAAAGGCTGTATCAGCTCGGTGCTGCAGGGCGTGCGTCCTTGTGTAGGCAACGACTATGCGAACCACATCAATGATGCCCAAAACAGTACCAATCAACTCATCGACTTTGTATGCTATAAGGACGGAGACCGGATTGCTTGTGAGTGAATTTTTAAGCAACATATTTTGGGTTTTTTTATTGCTTAGGATGAGTGGACGAGCTCATGGCCCCATGGTGCGCCTTACGTGGTACCTTAAGTGATTATCGGATCTCATAAATGCCGCCACCCACCTTAAGACACGAGTTCCGAGTCTCAGTTTTTATAGTACAACGACTGTTCTTCAAACCAAAACGCATTACTGCTTCACGAAAGAAATTGGCGGGGTGGTACCTACCCATGCGGACTCACAAGTGGTCCTACCACCAGTAATTACGCAAATTATAATTTTGCGGGTTTATTTTTTTATTACACGATGTTATTCCTTCACGTATTTCATTACAAAAATTGGTACCCGCCTGCGTGATTCGAACACCGTTGCATCGCTATATACGAATGCACCAGACGTATTCTCCTTTAGGCCACGACCACTGCTTACTAATGTTTTATTATTCTACCTATCCAGTGTTCATCGCGGAAGGCGGCCCTGAGTGCTTCCAGCAAAAGACTGAGAATCTCAAGACATGCTTTTTAAATTTGAAACAGAGCTTCCCCACTGTGGAATCCGCCAATAGCTTGAGCCTTGTTGTATGTTTGTTTTAAATTATTATTGCTTAGATGGGTGGACGAGCTCACATCCCACCTGGTGTTAAGTGGTTACTAGAGCCCATAGACATCTACGATGTAAATGCGCCACCCACCTTGAGATATAAGTTCTAACGTCTCATAGTATAGTTACAACTGCTGGCCCACCCTACAAACCGAAACGCATTACTGCTTCACGGCAGAAATAGGCAGGGTGGTGGTACCTACCGTGTTGTTGTAAGCTGTAACGAATTCTTCTTTCTCTTGTCAACCCTCCTATAATTTATTGTTAAACATCTCATGAAAAATAACTCGGAAGTCTTTAGTATTGAATTACGTGTTTATCACACATTAAGCCGGTCATCGTTCTCGTCGAACCCGTCGCTTGCGACGAAGGGCTCGACGAGTAAATTAACCCACAGACACAGCCCACTGAGTTTCTCGCCGGATCTTCTCAGTGGGTCGCGTTTCCGATCCGGTGGTAGATTCTGCGAAGCACGGCTCTTGCTAAGGTTCGTGTTAGCAACGTAGTCAGGTTTGAGCCCCGTAAGCTCACCTACTAGTTAAGGTTACGCTGATATAGCCTCTCAAGTCTATCAGCTTAGGTAGGAAAAACAAAAAAACACATTAAGTTACGAAAAATTTAATCATCTTTTATCGATTAAGTAATGATCGTGTTATATAGGAAAAATGCGCAAAAGTTGATGAGATGACCTCCTGTATCGTGAAATCCCTCGAAGAGTGTTCCACACCGACACCCGCTAACATGGCGGAATCACTGATCAAGTTCATGCGCAAAGAATCTCCTTGCCACACCGCTCTGCCCGTGAGTATCGTTTAAAATTATCTTGTTCTCGCTTTATTTCAAAAAATATACTCGTAGTTATATTTTTGGATAGGTTAAGATAATACTATCCGTACTCGCCCGCTTCGCTGCGCATTTAAAATTAACATTATTATTTATTGTCATTATTATTAGGGAGTCCAACACTCATATAAATATTAACCTATCCAAGTTTTAAAGTCAATCGGATGCATGGTTCAGTAGTTATAACGGAACATCCGTAAAAACCACTGTAGATTTATATATTAGTATAGATTTAATGACAAACTTATTTCTAAAATACATTAATTACTACTATCTATCTGTAAATTTATGTAGGCTAATAATAAACAAAGTGCCTGTTAACTTTTGGAAACGAAGCTAAGAACTAAAATTCGTTTGATTCTATCGTTAATTTTATCAAGTCCATTTAATAAACATACGCTGCAGAATGAATCGTCGGGATTTTTTCAATGAAAATAATTCTTACTTTACTTTTTTTACAGAAGACAGACTGATTGCACCGTCGGACTTCTTTCCGTTAATACTAGTGCCATCACAAAATTAATGACCTTTGAAAGCTTCTTTCAAATAAATTTTAGATAAGAAATCTTTTACAAACAACATTTTGTTTTATTTTATCCATACCTCCTTATAAAATAACCTTTTTTGAAATTTAATTTGTTTACAGTGCCAATTTTAATCTTCTCCGTAAGATGGATTCGGTCAAAAACAATTCATACGTATCTGTAGTCATGAGGTATCTTCTATTTTAATAAAAATAAGTTTATATGCGTTCCTAGGTCTATAATACTATTGTTTCTTCATTGTGAAGTAATTTGTGAACGTAGCCCACTGAGTTTCTCGCCGGATCTTCTCAGTGGGTCGTGTTACCGATCCAGTGGTAGATTCTGCGAAGCACTGCTCTTGCTAAGGCCAATGTTAGCAACACTTCCGGTTTGAGCCCCGTGAGCTCACCTACTAGTTAAGGTTACGCTGAAATAGCCTAACAAGGCTATCAGCATAGATAGGAAAAAAAGTTACGTGTTAAGTACGTATTTCATTAGGAAAAAATGGTACCTGTCTTCGGCTATTGAATACCAACAGCATATTAGCATCGCTTGATACTAGTACACCGGATATATCACCCTTTAGGCCACGACTTCATCAGGACAGGCAAGCTCAAATTCAACTCACCTGTTTGTGTGGAGGATTGATGGGTTTTGGAGCCCACAGATCCTGAGAAGTTCAGCGCCCTCTAGAAATCAGGTCAAAGTCAGGAGTGGATTCAATGATTGCAATTACAGTTAAAATAGAGTGATGGCAACAAACCTTGCATATAATACCACCTATTCGTAGCAAATTTCAGATAAAATCGATATATGGTCTAGGTATGATAGTGTTAAAAAAAGCAAATTGTTGAAACCCACATTTATTTTTCTACTAATACATAGCATTGTATACGCATTTCATAAAACAATTGTCGATACATTAACGGTGCGCGTTACTTTTACAGAAACACTATAGAGATCAGGTACTGAATTGTTCATATGAGATTGTGTAACAACACTACGTCGATAAGTTATAAATTAGATAAAAAATAACTCATCGTATGCTGTCAAACTACTACTATTTGGCAATAATAATTCAATAGCAACGCGCAAAATTTACAACGAAAAATCATTATTTGCTTTCATTTAAAATCGTCTAAAACATATATATATATATATATATAAAGTACAAAACTAAAAATTTATATGCCTTAATATTACCAACACTTGGACAAACAAATAATTAAATGTGAAATGACTAACATTATTGGAATTAAAACGAACAAATCACCGCACTAGTAATTGAAGTAAGAGGATTCCAAACGAATTCAAATTAATAATGGTTAGTAACGTTCAGAAAATATCTACACGTTAGAGCCATAACGTCGGATGTCTGGTTTATAATGTTGTTCTAAATGTCATTGTATCTTATTGATTGCATGCAGACCAAATTAAGCCAAAAAAGTTATAGACGAACGGTTGAGTTCACAAAACACACACGAACCCATAAAGGCGATCTTCGAAAAACTATGTTCTGTAGTTAAAAAAAAAAAAAAAAACTTCATAAAATAAGGTACATTTTATGAAGTTTTTTTTTGCTTTTTCTATGGACTACAATTAAATAGCTCAGTCTAGGAAACTAGGACCGGTTAGCAATCTTAAACATCAGAATATTAACATCACAGGACGCCTCCGCCCCTCGCTCGATTTGTCAATCTCAGAAAATGAAACATATTATATAAATGTATATAAAAAAACTATGAAATATTTATATATTTCGACGTTTGAAAGGCAAACGTGACTAAGTGACAATGCGTGAACTTTACAGTAGACTAATTTAAAGTTGAAATACCTGAAAACAAAATTTATTTTAACGAATCTAGCTGTAGTAGAATTTAGCTAGTAGCTGTAGGATTGAAATGATTTTAATAGACCTAGAAATATATATTTTTTTGCGCATCGAATATGGTTATTGCCTATCATTTATGTACCAAGCAGTTATTGTCGCTTAGTCACGTTTGCCTTTCAAGCGTCGATATTATATATTAAATACATTAATTGTAGCTGCTTTAAAATAAGGGTGAAGGAACATTACTTATCCGCCTAGTGTTGTTTGCTTGTTTTGCTTTATCCATACTGTTGATTCATTATATGTATGCAAGTATATTGGAATATAAATCAGATATCATAGTGATTTCATATTGTATTTAATGGTATATATCTATTTATTGTATATTTTATTGAATAATGTGTTATTAACAGTACACCGCAACATAATTGCTGTATCTTTCTTTATCTTTTCCAGAATTATATAATATTTTTCTATGCAATGGAAAACTGATAATACTATAAACAGTTACTGATGGTTAAACAGTCAAAATATTCTTTTTACAAACATTATTAATTGACCAATGTGTAATAGCCCCAGTAAAGCGAGCACATGGATAATCCTCTTACTTCTATTATCGTCAATAAACCAAAAAAGAAAAAAAACCATCAAAAACCACAATATTCTTACGTCACTATTCTTATGTCAAACACTGTCAAATGTCATTTGTCATGTTCGGAAATGCAGCATTAAAAGTCAAATGTCAATTATTATTTTTTATAAAGATTCGTTGCAAAAATATATTTATACTATTAAATATTAAAAAGCTTTATATAAATGGAAGATTGAGTACATATTGGCCTATATTTATCACGTTTTATTGGTATTTGATGTTCTATTATAAATGACATGTTTCTGCAGAACATTTTAATTCTGTAGTATCAATAATTAATGCCATGTGTAAAACCGGACATAAGTATTTTTGATTAAACTTTAAGTAACAATAAACGTCAGCCGATGATCCGTTTGTTTGAGGGATCATATCAGTACCAAAGTTTTTGTTCCAAACAATACAACAGCACCAATGTAAGCTTAAAATACTTAAAAGTATTGAAAACATTATGATTAACGGTGATATTAATGAACAAATAATTAAGCTGTAAATAATGAGATTTTTAGGAGTTTCCATAATCAAATCTATTAGGAATTCTAAATTCAGTATATCTATCAAGCTGGCTCCTAGCAAACTTGATTTTAAGCACAAATACCACGAATCATAATAACGTACATATATCAATACATTTATTGTGTCAAATTGGTTATTTCTGAATATAAAAATTAAGTAAAAAAAAATCTTACGTTTTCATTAAATGGATGATAAAAGTGGAATGTAAATTGGTAAAATTTGGTTCGACTTGCATTATGTAGTTTAAAAAGTCAATATTTAAAAAAATGCTTCTAAATGTATAACGATTACACGGATATGTTATAATAATGTTACTCAGGTAAGAGTAACGCCATCTATCGCCGAATAATCGAACGAATATCGAAGGATCTAGTAGCACCTAGAACGCTCGAGAAGCACAACGCCAGAAGCGAATTGAGAGTTTTAAAATGTTTGTTGCGTTGAATACAGTTTTTAGTTGTACTTTGGTGGAATTTTATTTGTCCCGAACCCCAGCGCGTAGCAATAATGTAGACACAAAACACAGGGTGTATTCGAGCACTTCTAGAAAACGAAAACTAATAGCGTTGATGAATTTTGGTTTCGAAAGACAGATACACCCTCTATATAGCTGTACAGTAAAATCTCCGTATTCGCGTTTCCTTCATTCGCGTTTTCACTATTAGTGGATAAAAAAATGATACCCAATTCCTATATTCGCGGCTAAATATTTATTCATTCGCGCATCTAATCGGTACATCGGTACATACACATTGATAAAAAGGATTCCAATATATCAAGGTATCCAACTGAATATCCTTTGTATGCGCACTTTTCCATATTGATTGTTTTTGTATTCACCACACATTTACTGAACATATACCCCGCGAATAAAGAGCTTTTACTGTACAAATTTAAAATGCATTCGTTTTTTGTACAGAAGATATGAGTGGATAAAGGGGTTAAAGTAGCATTTTTAAGTTTTTTTTTGTTTTAACATTAAGTGAAGATGTTATGTGCCTATAAACCATATTAGACCTTAAAATTCCGGGTTTAAAGGCTATTTTTAAAAATTGCATGTGATAAAGAATTTATGTACGAAGCTAAAGTACAAATAACAAAAGTTTGTTGTCCGTTTTCTCAAAATGAACAATTGTATCATATCCCCTTTCATCCACTCATGTCTTTAATTGCTGTTTCTGCACAGTTCTTTGTTAGGTTTACATTAACTTTAGAACTAATTTCGTTTCTGTATATAACAGTGCCGGACAAATTGAGTTATAACCGATAAAATCCCGTTTACACTTAGAAACATAAAAATAGCATTTACTAGTAATGATAATATAATCTATGATAATGGCTACAACAGCTTTTTTTTACTTAGGCGACACTATTAAAACTACATTTATTCTACAATCTATCAGATATGGTAATGGCAGACAAATCTCAGTAACCACAATAAGAGTTTCTATAAACATCAGATCGCATTAAGTAAACGCAATTAGTTGGAATTGACTACAGAACTATAGATTTCAGTAGAATATGTGTTTTATTAAAATTTGTTCTTATTCGCAGTGACTCATCGATACCAAAAAATAATTACCGGTAATAAACGCTATAAGTCTTACGGACACTTAAACTTCGCATTTAATTTCTAGACATCAATAAAATTATTTGATATAATATGTAGGTTAATATATAATATCATTAAATCTTGTATTATTATTTCTATGAATCATTGATGAGCTCAATTCAGATAAGGGAAACGGTTTTAAAATTTTATAGCTTAACTCTCATTGCGTTTACTGTCCGAGTTCGACTCGTTGATACGGAACGTTCTAGAATTCTAGACTAGAGCAACGGCCAAAAGTCCCATTGCGACAGTAGCCATTTTCGCGAACAACACGTCGGCAGAATCGGGGGCATTCTCCTCAGCTTTCTGCAAAATAGCCGACAATTTCTTTAGCTTTACTATTGTATTGTCATGTTTGCAGAAGCAGACACAGAGCCCACTGAGTTTCTCGCCAGATCTTCTCAGTGGATCGCGTTTCGGATCCGGTGGTAAATTCTGCGAAGCTCTACTCTTGCTAGGGTTACGCTGAAATAGCCTCCCAAGGCCATCAGTTTAGGTAGAAAAAAAAAAAGAATCGGTACAAATAAAGTCGTAATCATCATCAAAACTAGATACACAGATGCGATATCAGTACTGCGGTCACCACTTAATACTAGATGTATCGTCTGCATCGTATCTACAGCAATAAAACTGCATAAGAACATATTAATAACACGAAGGTGAAAAAGAAGTCTTTGTTTTGTTCAGCACGTGTTACGTTAAAATCTATACATACAAATAAAATTGGAGTGTCTGTTTGTAATATTGAAATAACCTCTTCTTACTACATGCATATTAAGAAAATATATATACGGTACATACACCAAAATAACATTTTTTACAATTTTTGTCTGTCTGTCTGTCTGTTTGTTCCGGCTAATCTCTGGAACGGCTGGACCGATTTTGACGAGAATTTCACTGATATGTAGCTGATGATATAAGGAGTAACTTAGGCTACTTTTTTTAGACTAGTTTCGCTTCGCGGCGTCACCCGCGGTACGACAATAACCGCGGATTACATCGCGGGACTCTGCTATCAATAATAAAATTTTGATGTTTCCGAAGCGAAGCGAGAGCGGTTCGCTAGTTATATACACACACACACACACACACACACACATATATATATATATAAGTACGTACCAGATACGCCTTGCAGGGAGTCTTCTTGACCAGGAACTTGAAGAGCGAGTCGACGATGTTAGCGGCGGCCGGCTTCTGGCACGTCTCCAGCACCTTCACCACGCAAACTTGCGTTACGGACATCTCCTTGCATTGCTTCTCCTGTAATCCACCAGCATCAGATATATATTGCGGTATTCAGGTATCAGCTATATGCGGTAGACAGCGGCTTGGCTCTGTCCTTGTGTAGTGTGAATCTATATGAAGACACAACCTCACTTGGCATTAGCTGACGTCCATGAGCGACGGTAACCACTTACCATCAGGTGGGCCGTATGCTCGGCTGACTGCCTGGGCAATTAAAAAATCGGTTGTCTGTAAAGTCTGTTTACTGACGATAGTTGAACGTGACAACGTCATAAGAAAATACTGATGGAATGGTTTCATTTTTCAATTATCGCAATTATCGTTGCTATAAACAATTGACACCATATTCACTTTTCACTGAACTTCATACTTGACGAAAACATGTAAATGTATTATTGTATAGCAGCTGTCCACGCGGATGCATCGCTCACTCAAGTAGGAGAGGGAGACAGATGTCGAACGCTGCCGAACGCGGAGGCCGATTGTGCCTCTTTGTCGCTCATTGCGCGCTCTCGCTTGCACTTCAAGCCTTAAATAGAACGCCTCAGAGCGAGGTAACGCCGCATGAGTCATGTTTTTTCGTCCATAAGACGTTGTCACGTCCATCGGTTTGCTGAAGCTTTATCCGATTGTGCAACGCTATACTTAAATTCCCAATAATTTCGACCACATTTATAATATTAAACGAGTGAGTTCTCACAGGTTCAGTTTAGCGCTATAACCGGCTATGTAATTTGGCCAGTACAACTGTTGATTAATGAACATTCTGTTTCAAAACTTACATCAAAGGATAAAGTTGGTAAATTGTCGGGAGATAAAGAGTTCAAATCAAAGTTAGCGTTCTGCCCCGCTGTCTGATTGTAGCACTTCTGCAAGTCAGACTGCTTCTCTTGAAAACATTCCGCTCCTCCTTCAGAGATGAACACTGAAACAATATTCTCATTAACATTTTATTAATCTAACAAACCGGTCTTATTTACGTGAACATATCTTTATCGAGATCAAAATAAATTGACTAGCTCAGTTCCGAGCAACAAGTCAAAATTTGTCCTTGAGAAAAACTGGAAATTAATTAATTCTTTGGTCGTTGGCGTTTTTTTAAAATTTATTATTTAATTTATTTAAAATGTTGTCTAATTATGTTTGATTATATAGTAAAAATTACATATTTTATAGTAAAAAAACGCTTTTTTGTGACAATAGCATTTTAAATGGGTTTATTTATAAAATACAAATAATAATGTACAAATATATTAGGTAGTTGTCTATCTGAAATGGTCACCTTTAAACAAAGAGCATTAGTTCGGCAGAATTACTCAGGATATACCTGGGGAACCTAATCCTTACACCAAATATGATGAAATGAAACATGATACAACACGAAGGTTATTGTCATTATCTATTAAATCTGTCAAATCTATCAAAAAATATTACTGACATGCAATTCTATCACCGTCTTTGAAGCAAACGAAGTCAGCCAGTTCTCGGGACACATTGTACACTGTGTTGAGATGATCTCGCTCTTTAACTGTAAAGCACGGCTTAGAAGCATCCAGCATAGTTGTGAAACAATTCATGAAGTTTGTCTTCTTTAAGCAGTACCTACACAGGAAAAATATGTAATTTAAATTTTACTTAAGAAAACTACAGCATTTATGATACCGGATGTTGTCAGGGATGACAAACATGTTATTTGTCGACATTTGAATATTTTGCTAACTGCTAACAGAACGACGAAATAAACCATGAAACTGGCTTTAATTATTTCTACGACTTTCGGAAATACAAATAATCATTTTAATAATTTTCAAAAGTACTATATTTATTATACAAAAGAATGTTATATTAATATTTAATAACAATTGAGGCTAATACAAATTGTCTGTATTCTACTTCTACATAACTGTCACACTTTGTCTGTATTAGTGCAGCAACACAATCATGTGTTTCAGGTTGAAATTTAAATTGTTACCACATTTCTCAGAAAGGGTATGATGTCTTAGGACTCATGTTACCACTTTATACCAGATGAGCAATGAATTAATAAGAGGGCATTTCTTCTAAGACAAGATTTGAAAGTTAAATTTTATTGCATTGATTAATGCATTGAAATATACGCTTCGTGACAGAAATAGGCAATCAACCCATGTGGTTTAAATAACCATCATCAACACTAATAATGGAAAACACAAAAAAATGTTCACTTTTTGAAGACTTCATCGATCATTCCATTCGGTTTAGCTTCCTCTAACTCTTGCTGAAGTATCTCCATATTCACAAGGGTTTGCAGGCATGATGTCAACTGATCGAATGCATTCTGTAACAATTTTGTATCAATAAATCACAAAGTAAGATGCAAATTTAAGAAAAAATATTTTATTAGCTCATTATAGAAGATTCAAACCATGTCTATTCAAGTGTAGCCGTGACTGTGACTCTGGGTATCTTTAGCTAGAGCAACAAAATTTTCTTAACTCATCTCAACTCAACTTCATCCCTACTTGAATTTTACTATGATATTTACATTTTTTATTTACGTTTATGAAAAATATTATCAAGTGCACATGTATAATATACATACACTTCATGGAACTGACATATTACTCAACACTCATGCTTAATTTTGTAATTCAATCACTTAAATAATAAAACATAATAGTGGTATCTTCAATTAATATTCCCTCATAAACCTTTTCCACGCTCATCCCTAAAGACCTCTATTTATGGGTGCTGCCTCTGTATATTGAAGAGTAAGAGAACCATAACAAAAATAAGTACAAAGCCTGTGTTCTCTCTCTAATTAATGCAAGGAAATGTTTTTTTTCCATCTTTACCTTAGTGTTTGGAATGAATATTGCAAAAACAAGTGTTTAAATTTTTTTTCATGGAAAATCACATGGTTTTCGAGAATAGTACACAAGGTTCTGGATTCTACTGTGATCTATAGGAAAACAAAACTCATACTACTTTTTTTTTTTTATTCTTTATTAGAGCCATACACCTATTAGGTTAAGTCGGCTACTCATACTACTAAATTAGTAAATACTCTATGATAGAAATAACATTTTTTATTATAAGTTTGAATGTTGTTATTGAGTTCATCATAAGCCATATCCTGTATTAGGTCAAAGACCATGCAAACAGAAACATTATAATATAATTAAATCATTATGCTAGTTGCCAATTAGTTGCAACATAACAAACAGCACGAAATAAGGTCAGTAGGGAATGATATGAGATTTTTAATTAGATGCAGAATTAAACAAATACAAGAGGAATTGTGAATCTGATGAGTTCATTTTTATTACTTATAGCTGACCTGACAGACTTCATAGTGCCTCAATCGATACATAAAAAACAAACAAAAGGAATCCGTCCGACGAGGGACACATGAAAGGGAAAACAAAATTGTTATTTTTATTGAATTCCTAGCATTTTCATATTTATCTACCTTTTAAACCTTCTCTGGACTTCCACAAATAATTAAAGAACAAAATTAGCCAAATCGATCTAGCCGTTCTCAAGTTTTAGCGAGACTAACGAACAGCAATTCATATTTATATCGACGCTTGAAAGGCAAACGTGACTAAGCAACAATGCGTGAACTTTACAGTAGACTAATTTAAAGTTGAAATACCTGAAAACAATTTTTTTTAACGAATCTAGCTGTAGTAGAATCTAGCCAGTAGCTGTAAGATTGAAATTATTTTAATAGACCTAGAAATATAATTTTTTTGCGCATCGAATATGGTTATTACCTATCATTTATGTACAAAGCAGTTATTATCACTTAGTCATGTTTGCCTTTCAAGCGTCGATATATATAGATTATAGATATATAAATATATTATACATAAAACGTTCGCAATTTAAAAAAAAGGAGTAAATTGAAAGTGGTATTGTTTCAGATACCAACATTAGCCATTGTCTCGCTCTGACTTCGTTATGTACAACTCGGTAACTACTAGTAATTAAGAATTGACTGGATATCTATTCGATAAATAAAACGGATTTCAATTATAGGATATTTCTTCTTACATGTGCGTTATTAAAAGCTTCAGGTCCTCCATTTTGTTCACATTTATTTTTAAACACTTCTGTGGTTTTATTCTGATGTTCTTGGAGAGTAGTCTCATTCAAATTGTTCAGCAGTTCAGGAGGCAAGTTTAAACTATCCAGTAGAGCTTTCTCAGACTGTGCATATGCAGTTCCTAAAAATAGTAGAAATAGAATCAGTTCCAAATCTTAAATTTATAAGATCCATAATGAGTGAATAATTTATAATCTTTTATAAAGGTTTTTTATTGTTCTTTCGTGTTACTTTTTCACCCATTTAACTTCTTTGTCCTTTGTATACTTTTTTTGAAGTATTTGATGTATCGTATTCATTTCCATTGTATTTATATATGCAATGGAAATGACCAATGGACCAGTAAAACTATTTCATGTGTCAGTCCATTTTTCTAATTACTTAATAACAATTTCAATTAGATTATATAATTTGTTTCTATCAGGATAAATATAAAAATATTTTACTGGTTAATACTTACCAATAATAGCAGACAAAATCAAAACTTTTAAATTCATTTTTATGTTTATTTTTTTATTAACAGTATTATAAAAAGCTGTCACTTTTTGTATATTTAACGCGAAGTATTAATAATTATACCACTGACGGACTTTGGAATGTAACTCAGATTACCGTAATTAATGGATGGAAAATTAAATGCTAATGCAGGTTTAATTGCTTAGTGTTGTACCGATGTATCGAAATGAAAACATCGATGTTCTATTCGATTCCTCGATAAGATAAATTTCATTTCATTATTTAAATGAACACATGTATAAAAAAATATACAGTATAGGAGTAGATACACAATCTTTCCTTTTAGAATTAAATGAGAATGCACAAGCTCTAAAATGAAATACAACTAACACACATAAACGCACTAATAGTATTACTTTCTGGCTTAACACGTTAACAGTCCTTATACAAACGTTCCGAAACACGCCATATGTCCAAGTGTGATTATATATTTTTTGGCCATTATTCGATGTCCACTTATCGACTGATGCATTAAAAGTAACAAAATATGGTCGTTGACCCGGATATACCCGTGTACAGCGGGCAGTACACGGACTTATGAATTAAATTACCGTGTACCCTTAACGTGTACCACAGACTCATGAGTGTTCTAGTAGACGTATGTACGGTTAGTTTATTATTATCGATGGTTCACTTCCTCGGCAGACTACTTTTCCGCCAATACATACCCTCGAACACATAAATATAACATGAAGATCTCTAGGCTATGGTCTGCAGAAGTTTACACTTGGGGATACCAAATTTACAATGATCAAAGTGTGCAAGTATTTGGTTTGGATACCGGAAGTATAGTAGTAACATTGGCAGAAGGCTTACTTGATGAAGGTCGCTGCATGATAACAGACAACTACACGAGCGACCCTTTGACAGAGTTTATGTTTGCTCGCAAGTCAGACCTCTGTGGCACAGTCAATAAAAAGAGAAGAGGTTTACCGAAAGAGAGAAGGAGAGAAAAGCTGAGCATTCTAGCAGCACATGAAACCATTGTAAAAAAAACTCTTACAGCACGAACTTGCGCACCAACCCAGTGAAATACGCTTTTTCAGCACGGGAAGAACAACGCAATCACATGCAAGGTCATCAAGACCATTATAATTATCAGGGCCATCAGGATTACCAGGGACATCATCAGGAAGACCGCTTTCTTCTAGTTCAAGTACGCCGCTGAGAAACACACATTTTTTAGAGCTTTTGGGCAAGAAAGAATCTCGATTCATCCGAAGACGATGCGTGGGATGCTGCCAAAACCTCCTTGATGAAGGTCGACTTGCTCCATATGCAGGGGCTAAAACCAAAAGGGTAACAACGCAATGTAAAATTTGCAAAAAAGCATATTGTGTTGTTTGTTTTTCTAAGCTTTTAGTGCTCCAATAAAAATTTGTACCTTTTTTTATGACGCGTTTCTATACCAAGAATTAAAAAAATATATGACATGTTTTCGACTTTTTCCATTTATTAGATCCATTTATAGAGAATGACGCTAAAAAGTTACCGATCCACTGGTAGAGACGGGATCCGTAACTTCGCTTCAACCTGACCTATGTCAAAGGGCCCCGTCGAAGGCCCTCTCTCGCCAAAGTTCACATCAAGAGCCTCGCTCTTGCTCTCTACGGCTTGTCGCACGCATTTGTCGATAAGGTATACAAGAGATCGTCAGCCGAGTGACTAACGGAAACCGTACTGTCTATCAATGATCAGTTAGCGATCCCTATGATGTCCAAGAGGTTGGATATTTGTAATTTGCTCCATCACCTTGCAAAGCAAGAAAGTGATTGCAATAGGCCTAAAGGTCGATTAGTCCTAACGGTCGCCTTTTTGGGGATATGGTGGACATGAACGGTCTTACACGAAAACAGAAATAGGTATAGGCTATAAGCTGCGATGCAAATGCGTTGTCCTCGGCCCACTAAGTGTTAAGTAGTTACCGGGGCCCCTAAACGTCTGGTGCAAGGCAAACGTCTGGAGCACTGGGATCGGCAACCCACCTGCCAAGCGTAATCTAATAAAATTATGATGCTTGTTCGATTGGAATATTCTTCCGGCGTACTTACCTATAGTTCAAATCACTGCTCAAAGTAGTTTTCATTTATTTCCATTAGTGAAGCGTTCTGTATTTCAGTAGTATGGTTAAAATAATCTTCAGGGGGAAGATAGATAATTAACTTTGATATTATTATAACTTTATCTTAATGCTTTGCTGATGTGTGTGCCACGTATAGCCATATTTTTTTAAATGTGGCTGCAATAAAACTACTGTAAATATTTTAACAGTTCTTTAATGAAATCGTAAAAATAAAGTACGATGAAGGTCATTTAAATATTATAATCCATAACGCAAGACACGTAAAAATATATTTAATCGCCTTTGGCAATTTGATTGTTACGATGCCTTCGTATCAAACAAACAACTAGAGCAATTAATATTACAACGGTTGCTGTTATTAACAAAATCTTGATAGTCAGACTTAGCACAAGGGGCTCCGCTACTGGTGAAGGCTGAAAAACAAATCTCAGAATTAGTCCAATCGGACAAACTTGGGCGTTCATGCGTAAAACTGAAAATTACTTTTTTAAGAGTCTGTATTGCCATTTTAATTTTATAAGATTGAACTGTATTATGAACGAATTACCCTAATATTTTATTTTACTCACGTTTATGACAAAAAAAGGCAGGTAATTTAAAAAAAATATTGTACAATGTCCTATGGTAACCAAACTTGTGATATCGAAAAAGCTTGAGAAGTCTAATCGCGTTGGGAATATTAATGAATAAGTAAAAGTACGATAAATTTGCATATCTGGAGCGTAAAACACTGAGATATGTATTATTATGCCGTCGAGAACATTTTCGGTTTTACATAAATATATATATTTTTTTTATATGCACCGGTTTTTTAATTTATTTCGGATTTATCTAGGTGATGCGGCCATAAAGTAAGTTCCGCCCTGCGTTTTTAATTTTAGAATGAAAGAAAGAGTTTATGGATAATGTAGTTATGCTTACATCATTTGCCAAACGATAATTGGTATTTATGTTTCTGACATTTTCACAAATTACTAGCGCTTGGTTAAATAAGCTATCGACATATTGTATTGTGTCGTTCGAGCATTCTTTTAGATATAATTTCGATTTGACGCAATTTTGAACCGTTGAAATTCCATATTTTCCAACACATGATGCTTTCTGAAAAAAATGACGGTTTGATTATAACACTTATGACGGATTAAATATTCGATATGAAACATTGATTTAAATCAAAATTAAGTCATAGTGTGTTCGCTATGTTTACCGCTAAATTAAAAAATGTTTATAGAATGTAATAGAAATGATTCCGAAAACAAAGTTTCTTTTGAAACGATGACATGAATACAATTGTAAAAAATATGAAATACTTTTGACGTGATAACGTCTTCTAAATCGATGAACACCGGCTGCACGCACGAAAAAGTGTCACGTTCCGCCTGAACTTGAGCGTGCAAGCGAGAGCACGGAACAACCGATAAAGAGGCACGATCGGCCCAAGCGTTGGCTTGTGATATAACTACCTACCTAGTCTTGCCATAAATACTGAGACAAAGGAAAAAAAAATCTATTGCAAATAACATTTATTACTTTTACAGTGTTTTCGTTTAATACATAAATATAAAACAATTTAAAGTATAAAAAGCTTATTCGAAGTGGTCTCCATTGGCTGCAATACAGTCCTTCAAACATTGAGGCTAGTTATCAATAGAAGCACGCACTCTTTCCATGGGAAAAATTTTCACTGCCAATCGTACGGATCGTTTTAGGGACTCTAAATTATCATGGCGTTTAGAGCAAGCCGTACTCTCTAAAACTGACCATAAATCATAATCCAGCGGATTAAGATCGGGACTAGACGACGGCCAGTCTTCAGCTCTGATGAAATCCGAAACGTTCGTTTCCAATCAAGACTGCGTAGACCGAGCTTTATGACCTGGCGCCGAGTCTTGCTGGAAGGACCATTCTTGATTATTGAACATGGTGTTGTTAAGGGGCTTCACTACCTTCTCAAGAATGGTATCTTGATACAATTGTGCCGATGTTTTGATACCTTTTTCACAAAAGTATGGCTCAGTCACTCCTTCATAGCTAATACCCAACCAAACCATCACTGAAGTCGGATAGTGCCCACGTTGCACTCTGTCGACTAATTCGGAAGCTTCCTTAGAGCTTTGAGCATAAATACGGTCATTTTGTTTGTTATAATGTTGCTCAATTGTAAAAAATTTCTCATCCGTAAACAATTTTTTTTATGACCTCCCTTTGCGTACCGCTTCAGTAGTTGTTTCGATTTTACCACCCTATTCTCTTTTAAATTATCAGTTAAGAAATGACCAGTACGTCTCTTATAGGCTGTAAGTCCTAAGTCATCTTTTAAAATACGCGACATGGTTCTAGGTGGTATCTTCATCTCCCGAGATAAAATCTTTCCCTTACTGCTTTGACCACCTTTTTCGTACGAACACTACGTGGACGGCCAGATCTTTTTCTGTCACAAACAGAGGAAGTCTCATTGCACCTATTAATAACCCGGTACACAAACATTTTACTAATACCAAGCGTATGGAGAGTTTTAAAAATTGCATTTGGCTCCATACCTACTTTGTATAATGCAATCACAGCGATTCGGTTCTCTTTATTACCCCACTCCATTTTAATATCGCAAAATATTGTACAATGTATTGGTGCCAAAATGAGAAAACTCAATGAGCAATCATATAAAAATGACAGATTCCAAATTCAAATGTAATATTTTGTTTATTTTTAATTGTAACAGTATTTATGGCCAGACTAAGAGATTCCAAATTCAAATGTAATATTTTGTTTATTTTTAATTGTAACAGTATTTATGGCCAGACTATGTATAATAATTACCTACCTCTCTTCTCTCGTGAGGACAGAACTAGCAGTTCGAATAGTTCTGCTATTGACCTCAGTACGTAAAATTATCGTCCGAAAACCTACTTTATAGACTACCAATTATTTTGTATAGTTACAATTGAAAATCAAGTGATGAATTGACGATTATCCCGGACTGGACGACTCGAAAGAATGGCGGAGACGGGTGACACCTTCACCTGGCCGTTGTATCAGACAGCTTGGATGCTTGCTTCGTACAAAACAAACAATTTTAGAATATTGCCAGTAACAGCAACTGTATAAACAAGTACATTTTATAAATCAGGTACGACTTATACAGCTGCTATCATCACTTTGATTTTTCGACACATTACGACACATAACGCGTGAAACAACAAATTAATATACACGTTCTACAAAACAAACATTATTATCTTATCTTATACCTTTAAACGAGCAATTCTTGTATATTAATATATATATAATATGAATCTCGGATACGACTCCAACGATTTTCATAAAATTGTGTACAAAGGGGATTTCGTGGGCGATAAATCGATCCAGCTACGATTTATTTTCAGAAAATGTTGTTTTATTCGTGTTTTCAATAATCAACTCTTCCCGACATCTATTGGCGAATAATAATACTATTTTTCTTAATTGAGGGCAACTAACCGCTTTAAAGACACAACAAGATGGCACAAAAAATCGGTCATCGGTCATCATCTAGTTCTTATTTAATAGCATGAATAGATAAACAAGCCCGCGGTACACTTTGTCTATTGCCAAGGTGGGTGGACGAGCCCACTTCCCACTTGGTGTTAAATGGTCACCAGAGACCATAGATATTAATAACGTAAACGCCGCTACCTGCCTTGAGATATGAATTCTAAATATAAGTTTAAGACCACAACGGCTACCCCATCCTTCAAACCGAATCACATCATGGCAAAAATAAGCAAGACGGCATGATAATAGACTCGCACGGGCTTACAATACACCCTACCACTGATAAATGTCAGTTGGAGATCTCTTTTTTTATTGCTTAGATGGGTGGACGAGCTCACAGCCCACCTGGTGTTAAGTGGTTACTGGAGCCCAAAGACATCTACAACGTAAATGCGCCACCCACCTTGAGATATAAGTTCTAAGGTCTCAAGTATAGTTACAATGGCTGCTCTACCCTTCAAACCGAAACGCATTACTGCTTCACGGCAGAAATAGGCAGGGTGGTGGTACCTACCCGCGCGGACTCACAAAAGGTCCTACCACCAGTAAATATATCATCATCATCAAAAAATATATCATCATCTTAAATACACAAACGGAATACGGAAAAGTAGTTTTATTTATATATTATTAGCTGACCCGGCAGACTTCGTAGTGTCTCAATCGACAAATAAAAGATCTAAACCTTTGTATAAAATAAACTTAAAACAAACAAAAGGAATCCGTCCGACGGGGGACCACTTCAAAGGAAAAACAAAATTGTTATTTTTATTTAATTCTCTTTTATTCCTATTTACCTTTTAAACCTTCTCTGGACTTCCACAAATAATTTAAGACCAAAATTAGCCAAATCGGTCCAGCCGTTCTCGAGTTTTAGCGAGACTAACGAACAACAATTCATTTTTATATATAAAGATAATACCCACCAATCGCAGCCGAGCTTAATCGGTTATCATATTTTAAAAGACAGGCGTAAAGCGAAATTAAATATTCTAGGCCAAAGTATTAGAAAATTCACTTGTTAAAAAAATTCTATACATATTAAATTACCGACAACAGCTGGATAGTAACGTTACGAGCATTTGATCATAGTTTAGATAATAATATAATACAACATGTATTGTAAAATTTACTTACCGTAAATATTGTATTTCTAAGATGCACCTCTTCAGAAGGTTTTTTTGTACTGTTGTTAGAATCATGTGCACAAATCTCGATATCCTTCTTTGCACTTTCAATACAATTTTTCGATATTTTATGAAATTCTGAAAGAGTTGAACGGATCTGAGTTTTTAAGCAGTTTTATAATCATTTTAACAGTTTTGAGCAAGAGAAACTCCAAGGCCTAACACATATCATGGGTTGCAGAAACCAAGCCAAGTAGGTAATTGTCATTATCCTGCCCATCTCCCAGTCATCTGGACTCAGCGCAACATGTTTTATCCTTCCATACTCCTCTATTACACATATCGTCTTTCACGCAATCCATCCATTTACAAACAGTTAGATAATCGTGGGTAAAAAATGATTAATGGTGTAAGCCTGTAAAAAATCTCAGAAACTTTGCTAACATAATACTTGGAAGGTTTGATTCTGTTAAACATATAGATTAAAACTCACCGCAGATTTTTTCGGGACTTAAAACGAATTTTATATAATCCACAAATGCATCTAGGTTTTCATTTTTTTTATGCTTAGCGAATGAACATATTGTGGAGTTTGCTTTATGATGTTCGCCTGTATGATTCAGATGTTTGATAGTACTACATATTCTGAAAATAAAAAGATCTTCTACTTTATCTTCATCATCTTTCTATAATGGCATTAAAGGAAAAATCAACTATTGAATTTTTATAATTCGCTTAGTAAAAAAATCGACGATTTTTTGTGTGCTACTGTCATTAATACACACGCATGTATTTAGCTGTAGTTTAAATTTGTACTAAAATTGTCTATATATTTTATGCCACCACGAAAGTTCACACTTCGATAAAGCGGCACGACTCGAGAGCCCTCTCATCGTGGCCGCCGGTTACTCCATTCCCGATCCTGCGGACAGAATGGAAAGCAGTCGACGTCGCCCAAAACACATCATTTCGGATCCACTCGATCCACTAACGGTGCTTTTAGGTACCTCAAGCACCGGTAATCGGTCTCGTCGAACCCGTCGCTTGCGACGAAGGGCCCGACGAGTAAATTAACCCTCAGACACAGCCCATTGAGTTTCTCGCCGGATCTTCTCAGTGGGTCGCGTTTCCGATTCGGTGGTAGATTTTGCGAAGAATGGCTCTTGCTAGGGTTCGTGTTAGCAACGTCGTCAGGTTTGAGCCCAGTGAGCTCACCTATTAGTTAAGGTTACGTTGAAATAGCCTCTCAAGGCTCTCAGCTTAGGTAGGAAAAAAAAAAGAAAAAAAATTCAATACTTACGTATTATTATTATTACTTGGCGTTGGCATTNTCGCGTTTCCGATTCGGTGGTAGATTTTGCGAAGAATGGCTCTTGCTAGGGTTCGTGTTAGCAACGTCGTCAGGTTTGAGCCCAGTGAGCTCACCTATTAGTTAAGGTTACGTTGAAATAGCCTCTCAAGGCTCTCAGCTTAGGTAGGAAAAAAAAAAGAAAAAAAATTCAATACTTACGTATTATTATTATTACTTGGCGTTGGCATTGGGCTTGGCTTGTGTCCGGCATCTGTAGAACAGCTTAAAGCCTTTTCCGTTGCTCTGTGGGCAAACAGAAAAAATCAATATTAGCCATTGCTGGATTGGATGCATGAGGCTTCCGCGTGTTGAATTCTCAGAAGAGATGAATATTTGAAAACCTCAAATCGGTACAAAACCAGTTTCTTCTTAGTATTTGTAGGGCAAGTACTAAACATTACGGGTGTTGTTGTTGTCGTCTTGTGAGCCCGCAATGGTTCGTACGACTACCCTGCTAATTTCTGACGTGAAGCAATCATGGGTTCCAGTTTGAAAGATGGGGCATCTGTAATACATTACAAAGAAGATTTCGACCTCATGTCTCACGGCGGTGGCGTGGTGGGTTGTGGCGGTTGCACTTGACAGGTACGTCAAGGGCTCGATCAGCCGTCTACGTAATCAATCAATTTGGTTTTCATTGAAATCGTTAAGCTCTCAACACCTCGGAACTAATGTAAAGGAAAATAATAAACACGAGATGAAGCCGAAAACAACAACTACCGCAAGACGATGATTTTTTTCTTATAGTGTTTGTGATTTTTTTGGATAGCTGGATAGCAGTAATTTAAGCTTTTCAAAATACTTTCACAGGTAGCTACCTACATTTTAGAGCACAGTAAGGCGTAAGTCTTCAAAATTATATCGCAGATGTGAATCACTTTTTTTTTTGTTCGCGCTTTTTCGAAATTTAAAGTTATTTTGTTTGTGGTATACATTTTTCCTAGTCTTAATTTAATTCGATTAACTCGACAAAAATGCATACCACGAACACAGAAACATATTACAAATTACGAAATATTTTTTTTATTTTGTAATGTTTTTTTATTGCATATATGGGTTGACGAGCTCACAGCCCAACTGGTGTTAAGTGGTTACCAGAGCCCACAGACATATATAACGTAAATGCAGCCACCTACCTTGAGAGATGAGTTCTAAGGTCTCCGTATATATATCAGAGTTAAATGATATTTTTTTCCAAATTCAAGTTTTATTTTGAACACGTTTACGTCTCAGTGCTTAGAAGTTCCACCAACAACGCCAACGGACTAACTACACGAAAAAGAATTTACTTCGACATAAAATGTAAAATGTCAGAATTCATACATTAAACCCATTTTACTTAAATTCTTTACGGGGTTTGTATTTTTATAATCTGTTGTCGTAATCACGTGTGAAAGATTACTTGTACCTACCTGTTTATTGTTATCTTTTAAAACAATGTGTTAATTTAATGTTGGGTTTTTAGTGCGTGTGCAAAGTGATTTTCCGTTCAGTAATACTTATTTATTAGCGAAACAGCCAGAAGTCCTGTACACATATTGTATTGTATATACCTACGATTTTTTTTTTATAAAATAATAATAAATAAAAACCATTTTTTGTGGACGGAATTGTATCTAAAGCATTCTAGAATCCACATGAACACATTAAAAAAATCATAAATATTCGTCCGGCCATTTAGGAGGAGTTATGTTACACATGCACACGCATAGAAGCAATATATTCTTATAGCGATTTGACCCCTATTTTATTCACTGGACTTTCTGGTTAATGTCTAATCAGTTAAATTATTACTTACAGCACTGCAGGTATCAATTCTTTGACGCATTTATCAAGATTTTTGTTTATTTCCTGAAAAAAAGAAAAAAAAGTCATTAAGTAAAATAATAAAAATAATATATTAATTTATATGTATATAGTTTACTTGTTGTGTTTGCTCAGTCATATTCTAAGTAGTATTTATGATCTCCTATTGTGTCTAACTTTTAAATACAAGGGATGCTTATAAAGAAATGAAGACAACTAGACCAGTTAACGGTACAAAAAAAAAAACATATGCTTATGGTAATAATCTATGCGGAAATCATCCGGAAGATAAATTCCAACTCCGGTTCCCTATCATCCGTTTGTGCGTAAAAAGGAACAGCGCCCTTAGCGGCAAGCGTAGGCAAACGTTCCAACTCCATACAGTTAACTTTTACGAGAACGTTAAAAAACTCGCAATAAGAACACATGTCACCGGTCCACCTCGTGGGAGGCTTACCCACGCTGTTTTTAGTTGTAGTAAAGAACCCCCCCTACCCCTGATTGTAGTTATTTTTAAGTATTTCTCGCACCAGTGAGTTCTGTGAATGAATGAATTTCAGATGCATAAGTAACTCTCTAGAACTGAGGTCTTCATTTTTTCCTTACGATTATCATTAAATGTCGAGAAAGCTTTGCATTTCAAAATTGTATTTCATTTTACCCTTAAAACACTTACATTGTCTGCCGCACAAATAATAGGATCTTGGCATAGACCTGGAAACGAATGATACAATACATTATAAGCTTTTACCTTTTATAATAATTAAATTATTGGGACATTTTCAATCTTATTTTTTTTTTTTTTTCTTTATTGCTTAGATGGGTGGACGAGCTCAAAGCCCACCTAGATTTGTGGGTAATTGAAACCCGCAGACATCTATAACATAAATGCACCACCCACCTTGAGATATAAGTTCTAAGGTCTCAGTATAGTTACAACGGCTGCCACACCCTTCAAACCGAAACGCATTACTGCTTCACGGCAGAAATAGGCAGGGTGGTGGTATCTATTCGCGCGGACCTACAAGAGGTCCTACCACCACTAACAAATTAGTTAATTATTATTAGTTGGAATTGCTGATGAGTTGGCAATATTCGTTTTTAATTAACTTATTTCATCACAAGAGAAAATCACCGGATCCCCACGCGCGCGTCTAGTGGGGTATGTGGAAGTTGAACCTCGATTAAAACTCGCGATCCGGACCGCGCCGAAGCCCAATCGGGGCCATTGAGACGGCCGGACAGGGTCGACGCAGAGCTTAATACATCCATCCCGCGCCCCATAGAAACATAGCACACTTTTATATAGGTATGTATGTTCTCTATTGGACTCCATAACATCACAAGACGAAAACCATGAGTTCATTCGCTCACTTAGTAGACCAGGTTTTTAAAAATAATGAAAAGTGAAAAAAAAAATAGTAGGATGAAACCCATTAGAAAAGGGGAAAAAAGTCAAATGGCANTAGCAAAGTGGTAGGTAATAAAAAGATCTAAAACTTTTGTATTTACACTTTTTTCACATAACCTCAAAAATTATGCGAAAAATTCAAAAAACCAAGTTTTGGGTTTTTTTATTTTTCTTTTTAAAAAAAAAACCTTTTTTTTACGAAATTTGGTGAAAACTTGCCTTTTTATTTTTGCCGGAAATCGAGAAAAGCCGTTTTTTAACCTAAACCCCCCCCCCCACGTCCCCTTCCCGACCTCAGATTGCCCGTAAATTATTTTTCCTTTCATTTTTATAATATTCCCCTCCTTTTCTAATGGGTTTCATCCTACTATTATTATTTTTTGTTTTAAAAATTTCGCAGCTTTACAAAAAAAAAGTTTTTCTTTTACCCAAAGATAATTCATATTGGGTGTGTTTTCTACCCCTTACTACAAAAATATATGTTTCATAATTGTATCACGTCAAGTTTTTGATATAGCCACATTCACCAGAATTCACTTAAGTAAGCTACTGTAGGTATACGACAAAGGAAAGATCTTCCACCGAGAGGGTGATGTTTGCTCGGTAGACCGACGGTCCGAATGTTGTTGTTCGGAACTTGTATATATGCGCTTTATCTTGAAAATGTCGTAAGCGAGATTCAGGCATCTGTCAATTATCTTGCGTTGTATGATGGCTACCCGCCACACTACCTTGTTAGCCGTGCTGAGTTTATAGTTGATTTTTATTGCGTTTATGTGTTATTCACACATTTTTATTTCTTTTAAAATATCATCAAGGCAGTCTAATGCCCGTATCTTTAGACGTTTTGTAAAATAGTCCTCCACTCTTAACTCATCCGATGATGCTCGAATATTCCTCCCAAACTTACTCGAGTTTGGTATTTTTAGTCGAACATTACAATATCCCTCAACTGTCCTCGAGTGAGGTAGAGACGTGTTATTGCGTCACCACGACAACATCAGTTTGGGGAAAATTTGATCAAGCTAGCATCAAACCCATAGAGTTCTGTAGTCTATGGTCATTGTTTAATGTCAAAGTCAAGCTGCCGCTGTTGTTTGACACTAGAAGCATTGAATTTGTTTGATTTTTTTGTTGCTGAGTTATTCGTAAACATGTGTGCGTGCGGTAAATTTGAAAGTGTATTATTTATTTTCTAACCCATTATTAATTTAGATTTCGGACCCGGCTTTGTATTTTTATTCGCCGCTTTTGTGTGATTTTGATTGCATCGTGTTGTTGAAGTACTTACTTTTCCACAATCACCAGTTTATTATTATATAAATAAAACTTATAATCGCTTTGACTTTATTTATTAGGTAGTAAGCAAAATATGACTCTTAGGTAGGTAAATAAAATAATGAGTTTCAAATGTCTAATCACGAGCCTAAACAAGATTCTAACCTCGAACTATTTACTTTATTAATAAATATTATCGAAATTAAATTATCAAAATATGCGCGAATCATGCACAGATCCAGGCCATTGCACAACAATATCATATATTTCCATTTGCGGTCCACATACTATTTGGAAATTGATAGAAAACCAGCCTTGAGGAACGTTCAAGGTACGTCGCGACGTACCTTAACTTGACAGTTCGTTCACTTCACTCCGGTTAGGAAAATTTTCCAAGGACGTTTGAGTGGAGTTTACTTTTACGACTAAGCATACCAAAACGCGCGTTGGAGGTTGAGTCGAGTCGAGTTAAGCTCGTATAAACGACTAAAGATACGGGGGTAAATTATACCCAAATAACTTTTGCTATGCTTGTTGTCAAATTATTTTGTCAAAATAGAAGAGACCAATCACTGAATCACGTAAAACGAGCCTAGTTCCATTACTTTTAAATCGGTAACAAACCTTGATAAAAAACTGGGTTCCTGGTGTAGTGTGCGAAAATTGCAGAAGTATATTATTGAACTGGGCTGCATGAAAAAGAAAACATTTACGATTCGGCATCCCAATGATATGGAGAGAACCAACAAATCATACTACTGACTGTTACTTCTGCCTCACTGAAACTACAAGGATATTGCATTAGTCACAAAACCTGTGCTACATTCTGAAAAAGTTTTTAATCCATCATTACCCAGCTTACAGCTATTACATCAAACTGGGATTAATGAAAAACTTTGTCAAAGCACTTGACAAAGATGGACAAGCTTTAAAGTATTTAAAAACCATTTTACCTAGTTTATCTGATGCAAAACTCAAAGAAGGAATCTTTGTGGGTCCCCAAATAAGAAAAATATTAAAGGATGAAAATTTTGATGGTAACTTATCCGATGTCGAAAAAGATGCTTGGTATTCATTTAAAGCATTAGTGAAAAATTTCTTAGGAAACAATAAATCTGAATAGGAAACAATTAAGCAGAAACGATTTCCAATTTACTGAGAAATTACCAAAGAACGGGAGTGAATATGTCGTTAAAAATTCATTTTTTACATTCTCATCTGGACTTTTTTCGTGAGAACCTGGGAAGCGTGAGTGATGAGCATGGCAAACGTTTTCACCAGGATTTGAAGTTTTTCGAGGAAAGATACCAAGGGTTTTGGGATAAAAATATTTTAGCGAATTACTGTTGGTCTATAATAAGGGAAACTGATATGAATCAGTATAAAAGAAGAAGTAACACGACCCATTTTTTATTTGTTTTTGAGATAAATGTATAAAAATGATAAAAAATAAATATAATCAATATTTACAAAATTGGACGTCCTAATTTTTTTCCAGCTTCTGTTTTTAAGTAAGGGCTTATAACTCTACCGATACATATTAGTTTCATCTCTGGGTAAAAAACCTTGTAAAGTAGTGTTATCGACCCTGGTCTATAGTTATGACAAGTTGGTAACTGAATTTTTGTTTCATATCCTATTTACCTACTATTCATCATTTTCTTATGTAATTTCATTACGTTTGCTGCTTTTTTTTATATTTTTTTATTGCCTAGATGTGTGGATGAGCTCACAGCCCACCTGGTGTTACGTGGTTACTGGAACCCACAGACATCTACCACGTAAATGCGCCACACACCTTGAGATATAAGTTCTAAGGTCTCAGTATAGTTACAACGGCTGCCCCACCTTTCAAACCGAAGCGCATTACTGCTTCACGGCAGAAATAGGCGGGGCAGTGGTACCTACCCGTGCGGACTCACAAGAGTTCCTACCACCAGTAAAAAACTTTTTTCTGTTCATTTAAAAACTGAAGCAAGGCTTTGGAAAGCTTTGGAAAGCCTTGCTTTAGTCTTTGTCTTAAAAAATTACATAAAACAAACTTTTCCCGATGATTGTTATCTATATATTAATACGTGAAGCAAAAACTTTGTATCCCTTTTTACAAAAATTGCGCGGACGGAGGAGTATGAAATTTTCCACACTTATAGAGAATATAGAGAAGAAGTGCACAATGCTAATATTTTTTTAAAATAATGCATAATGGATACATTAAATCAATAAAGAAAACATTACACACACTGCATACCATGTATTTGACGCACACACGCATGCATACTATTTATTGTCAAACTTTTGTTCTTGACGTCTGTGGTTGACCACTTGGCGAAATTTGTGGTTAATCACAAATTCAAATTGAGATTAGATTAAATATTGTTTGTCTTTATTAATATTTTTTTATAGAGTAGCCTTGGCGAAATTTGTGATTATAGAAGTATAAAATACAATCATAATAGTGTACAAACTTACAATTCTAATTATAGTTGAATTTCGACTACTGTGGTGGGACCTCTAGTCATATTTATTACGCAAGACCCTTGTTCACAAGTATAACGCGTTTTTCTTAAATTTGTATTTTGGTACTCCGATCTACATACAAAGATACGAATAGAAGGTTAATATGGAAACTTACCGCAAGTAGCGGAACCCAGAAACAGTAGCAAGCTCAGAAACATTTTACGAACAAATGGCAAATTGTGTTTGTTATAATCTGAGCAACGTTGAGGAAGAAATTCTACTAAATACATGAACAACAGGGAAACCGTTCACGTCAACGTTAATGTTTCACAAATAAATTATAAGGAAATACTGGCATACCAAAGGTTTAATTATATTATAGTGAAAATCAAATTTGCTCTTACATATAAAATTTTATTTTTTCTAAAATTACGAACATCTTTACTTTATTAAAGTGCACAATACAAGTATATAGAACAGAAGTATATAGAATTATAGATGCGTTATCGAGATCCGACAATAGGTTAGGTATTTAAAAAAAAAAAAACAGTTGGTATTTTTAATTATAGAAATGCTTTTCACTTTATATGAAAGAAATGCATTCGGAGGACATATTTTAAACTTAAAAAGCTTATGTATAATCCTGTTTTAAGGTTTCATTTCTCGAAATCTAATTTAGTTTACGTAGCGCTGCCTGCTGGCTTGTCACATGTTAACGCCACCGTCTCATCAGGCATGTTCATATAATTTTCCAAAAACTAGAATGCGAAAAGATGTAGTAAATTTCTATGCTTCTGACCAAAGAGAATACGAAGGCAACAGAACAATAACAACGCCACACTAGACATACAGCTGACAATAATTGTCAAAAGATACTTAATCGTGATTTTAATAAAAGAAAAATGTTTGTTAAAATAACTATAAAAATTCTAGTATTTGCATCAAGTTCAAAAGTATGAACAAATATGAAAAAAAGCTTTCTTTTAAATAATTAATAATAAACAGCGGCCATGACTTTCTCGGAAGTCGTACCGCAACAAAGTAATATTACTCAGGTTTTCTACACACCGAATTTGACGCGCTTTAATCTTAGAAAGAGAGATAAAACTCATAAGAATGCCGCCATAACTCCTCCACCGTATGAGACTTCGTCAGTATCCGTTGCAGCTGTAAACCAGAAAGATAAAAACAGCTTACAAAATAATAAACGTGGAAAGCTGGAGAAAGAAATTATAACGAACTACGGAATGGCTGGAGATCGTCCACAAAAGCAAAAGAAAGTTATATTTAGGTCTCCTATTGCTAAGAATACGATAGATGATAAAAATGTAACAAAGCCTAGCTCGCTAACAAAAGTTTTAGCTACTGATCGAGGACAAAACAAAAATTCACGTAAGAACGCTCCAAACGACAAAATGAAACCTATTCAAAAATCTACGGAAAATCAACCTTTCGCTAATTTATATAGTAAAATCAGCAACGATATTGTCAATAAAATACCTAGTTGCGATCCTCACTGTGATGTTACTAAATGCCCACGTAAGCTAAGGATGAAAGACGGGGTTTTCGAAAAAGATAAGAAGAAAAATAAAAAAAAACGTTTTAAAAGCACAACCCGCGTTTCTGATTTTAACGAAACATTAAAATTTGAAATAAAGCCTAAAGCGAAAAAAAATATCCTAAAACGTCTAAGAAATAATAAGTATAAAAAGTTAAATTCTAAAAGATCAGTGAACGAAATTAAACAGGTTGCGAAAACTGAAGCTCTGGATGGAAAAACTACATCCAATAAACATAAAACAATTGGGGAACAAACAAAAAATAACACTTTTTATGAAGAAAGCACCATTAAGTACAAAAATCGCAAAAACAAAGCTCCCAGTGAAATTCGCAACAGCAATTTGTATATGGAAAGAGATAGCCCAAAAGGCAATAAAGTATTGTGCGATGATACTAACTGCGAACAATCAATGTCAAGCTCTACTACTTTAAACAAAATTAAGGAAAAACTTTACTCGTTACACCGCAAATACTCGAAATTAAAACAAAGGAATTTAGATAAAAGAAAGGAAGAAATATCAAAATTAAAAAATCAGCAATTTGTTTTTTCAAATCGCCCCAAATTCAATGCCGACACGAAGAAAGAAAATGCTTGCGAAAACAAAGAATGTTTCAATACACTTCCAGAAAAGAAGAATTCAAAAAAAACCATTAAAATCCGTAAAAACGATAGTTTACTATCAACGGGATTGAAACGTATTTGTTGTATTTTCCAACAATCTGATACAGGGAAATCCAAAAAGATGAAGTTTGGTGAAAAAGCTACAAATCCTACAAGGCGACATGAGAATGATCAAACAGGTGAACCTGTATTAGAGATCAAAGTGAATACCGTGGGGATGTGCGTTATGAACCCAGAAGATGTAAAAAATAAGGTATCGTCCTACGGAAAGTTGGCAAACCCAAATATTTGTGTCTGCCCGTCCCATAAAAGTAAAAAAAGAATTTACAAGCTAAAAGCGTCCTGCTCATCAGGACTATGTAAAAAAGCTATAAAATCAAAAAGAACCAATTTTAACTGCAAATGTAATCCAGATAAAACGAGTTTGTGCACAGATTTAACATGTAAGAGAAATTTTAACTGTGTTTCAGATTCTGCTAAGCAAAACGATTTACCGCTGTTTGATTTAGAATTGGATTCAGACAGAATGTGCATTTTAAATTCGGCAGAACTTCAAAATAAAATTGGTGACATTATTAATGATAAGAAATTAGACCCATGCAATTCTGGCATTTGTCGTAGTTCTGCTAATGCAAATCAGAACTACATATGTAAATGTACTCAAAGACAAATTATACCTGAGGTAGAACATTGTTCAGAAGAGACGTGTAAATCGCTTGATACTAAAACAGGTATATTTAAAACAAATGGTCAAAGCATAAAATCAAAAATTAATACAGTGAGATCAAATTCGGAAAATAAGAATCTTCACGGTCTCAGTAAACTTAAACTAAAAATGTCTTGTATTTGTTCTCAAATTACATCTAAGCCTTCACTAAGACTTCAAAAACGTAAAAGGGAAAACCCCGGGCTTTATTTTAAAAGGGAAAAAAGAAATAAACTTGCAATACACCACTCAAATCAGGGTCTTCAAAACCAATGTTATTGTCGAGATAAAAGATGTAAACGAAACTCGAATGGGATTTACCGATGTAACTTATCTGAAAAAGGACTTTTAAAAGACATTATTTTTCAAAATGAAAACCGCCGACAACATAATTTCCACAGAAGAAAAGTTATCCGTATACCTTCTCTAATTGCTAATAGAAACGAAACACTATACAATTGTTGCATTTGCGCAAAAAATACACTGCATTGTGAAAAAGATATATCAACTAATTCAAGATTTCGAAATTATCTGTCTTGTTCATCAGTTAAAAACGGAGTGAACTTTAACGAATCGGATAACCTATCAATGAAAAACAACTACTCAAATAATGAAATTAAGCAATGCCCATGCGAGCTCGAATCTTCGTCGAGAATGGCAATTTGCAAAAGGTTTCTTTGTCACTCGCTTTCTAATTTCAGAATCAAAAGGCAACAAAAGAGGAGACGCATTACAAATGGTATCACAAATAAAAATATTAAAAAAGTCGGATTAAAAACAGGAATTGAACAAAATCCCTATGGTCCGAAAGAATTTGGTGATATAAATAAGGATCATCAATGTCTATGTCATCATATCTGTGAGTGTGGTATGATTAAAGTCAGATCTAAGAAGAATAAAGGTCGAATAATTAAGCGATCATCAAAACTAAAATCTAAACAAAAAAAGAAATTGAAAGGACGCAAAAATAAACAAGATAACAAGTCGGCCAGAAAACGACGAAAAGAGTTTCTAAAAGAAGAAAAGACTTTCCAAAAAGAAACTAAAAAGAAAGAAAAGGCTGAAAGAAAAAAGAGAGAAAAGTCATTTTTGCTTGAAAAGAAACAGTTAGAAGCCATAAATAAGGGCAAAGAGGAATTAGACGAAACAAGTTGTCTTGCTGATTTCTTTCTGGGACTACTAAAGTGTGCAGCAAGTATTTTAAAGCATGTTGGATTTATAATTTTTAAGGTCATAAGTGACCCAAAGGGAAGCTACAGGTATGTTCAACAAAGACTGAGAGATCCTATAGGTACATATGAGAGGGTTAAAAAGGCCTTTGAAGATGCGTGGCGAATAAAAAAATTGAAAATTATGAAGAGCTTAGGTGGGTCTGATAAAATGACAATATTGTCAGATACTTTACAAGATACAGCTATTTATCAAGCTTTTGCCTACAAAGGAAAAACTAAAAAAGAGAAAAGGAAAATTGAACTGGAAAACAAACAAAGGAAAATGAGAATTATGCAAAGAGATAAAGCCGCATTGAAAAATTGTAAGCATATGTTATTGCATACCCTAAGAAAAACGCCTTGTTTATGGTTTTATCACGTTTGCCCTGTTTTTTACCCTCAATGTTTGGGCTTGCTTTCATTTATGCACAAATTTACGGACATTTTGTTGTTTTTGCTAGCGTTTATGGTGTGGACGCCCTGTATAGTTTGCTTTGAAGGATGTCGTGCTATTTGTTGTTGTATTTTGTGCACACATTAGTGTAATGTAAGATTGTTTGTTGGAATTAATAAATCATAAAAAGTTTTTGAGGTTTTTATTGAGACAATATAAGAAACAAACTTTATTTAACTGCTAAAACGTACTAAATTCACAAGGTTAAGTACTTAGGTAGGTATTGAATTAAAATACGAGTGGCAGTGGACAACTTTCTTGAAATTATTATGCGTTTTCTGTACCTACATTTTGTATAAGTCAAGTTAGATCATATTTTGACTCAAAAATATTTTTAATATTTACTTTGCTGTAAATTTAATGTACAAAAACACCTCTTAAGATTCGAACCAAGGAAGACATGATTAGATTTAGGTAAAGCCTTAATTTCAGGATCACCTATATGTGTATTCCGATTCAATTTAAGGTTTTTATAATAAGGACATTGTTCTGAATCACTGGCATCACCTAAAGGTATATTTTTGGTTTTATGAAATGAGCAAAAACATTTCTTCAGAAAAGAGTCCTTACATGGGGTTATTCTTGGTGAATCAATCAAGGCATCACCTTTTTCATTTTGTTGTTTATCATTGGAAATAGATTTGCGTGCATTTGGTTTACACTTCAAATCTCTATAAAATTCAATGTTGAATTTTATGTTTGAGCCTACATGAAGAGTTTCTCTACGTGGTTTAATGACATTTTCAGAATTTATTACAAAATTCTTGTCCGAAGTCTTGTTTCTTTGATTATTAAATTTACATTTATTAGGTCTAAAGCATTTTTGGATGCTTAAAGATAAGGATTTGGGTGATTTCGGGGTACTTATCATTACTGATTTGTGGGGTATATTTTTTGTATTCGTAGCTTTAGAGCAAGGGCATTGATTTTGTACTGCCTTCTCACAAGTAATTGGATTGCAAGATTTCTGTGTAAACTGTCTGTTATCTTCAGAATTCATCTGTAAAGGTAAAATCGTTTGAATCTGTGGTTGGTTTGCCTTACGAATTGATTTTGCTTCTTTATTGTCACATAAACATATGTTAGGCTTTTCCTTTAAACTATTGGACATTTTCTTCAAATTCTTATTTATAGATTTTCGTCTTCGGTTCCTCACAGATGAAGTACTTGTTGAAATTAGTTTTGATTGTGTTAAATCTTGTGGCAATTCTTTAATATTATTATCACAATTACACATTTCACCTAAATTGGTTGGATAAAACTTTTGTGGAACACATCGCTTCAAAATTGGTTCAAAATAACAACTTTTCCTTGAGTTTCTTATGGAATTTGTTTCAGAATTAAAACTGTCTTGATTTTTCGGGCTTAACCATTTTAAACACGATTTAATCCCATTATCATTTGTCCTCTTATTTTTTTTGTGTCTATAAAACTCAATATCCAAACTTAAATTTGACCCCACGCTAACTGCTTCACGATTAAATTTCGGTTCAGACATATCGATGTTTTCAGAATGTAGATTTTCATACTTAATAAAGTATTTTTGATCATTTACATAATTTGATGGAGTTGTATTAACCCTAAATTTCTTCGATGATTCGGTACTACAGCATTTATGACATTGGTCTTCTGAATCATTTTGTTTATAATCGATTTCACTTATATTATTTTTACTTAAACTTGGTTCACGAGGTAACGCTTCGTTTTCGCATTTACATGTATGAGTTTTTTTTGAAGTTCGATTACTAGAAAATCCTCTCTTACTTAACTTTTCTTCTACATCAACGGATTTTTTCTGTTTTTGAAGTTTAAGAAGACCGAAAGAACGTTTTAATTGATGGTCAACATTATTATCTGCCAATCGATCACTTTTCAAATCGTACAAAGCTGACGATGCATCATTGTCGCGCTCAGAAATTCCACGTATATTTTGTTGTCCGTATACATAGTGATTGCGTGGGATTTTCTCCTTAAAGAATTCAATTTTGAAACTAATATTGGAGCCAAATCGAACGGCGTCTCTTTTAGGTAATATCTTCAAAATGTTTATACAATTATTTGTAGATCTTATCGAATTAGACGGTGTACCTATAGACGTTGTATCTGGCTTACATTCGCACAAAACTGAGTCTGATTTCGATTTTGGCGTATTTTGTCTTTTCGAACGCCTTTTCCTCGATGGCTTTGATGATGCTTGTTTTTTTGGTATTGAAAAGTAAACTATGCTATTATTTTGATATTTTGAGGAAGCGTTTTGGTTCTGTATATTTTTATTAGTATTCTGCACAAAATCGTCCACAAAACAATTACAAGGTTCATATTCAGCGTTTAGATATTTCCTATTTTCTAATTTTTCCCGAAACAATGTTACAGAATCTTTAGATATTTTAAAGGCATTTTGTAACTTTGTAATACTTTGTTTTGCCGTTTTTTTAAGTGTTTTATGGGTGGCCTGAATCGCACACAGACAGACATTGGCATTAACTTTTTTCACTGGAAGACTTTCAATGGTCTCCACAGGTGATTTTGGTTTTAACTTAGTTTTTGATTTAAGTATTGACTTAACTGGACTGTCTGCGAAAGATTTTCCAGTTTGAATAGCGCAAAAACAGGAATCTTTTGAAACCTGCACCGAGTCAAATCGTACAGATTTAATAGCTTCGCTGACTTTCTTAGTTTCTGTTTCATTATTATCTTTAATATAAGTTTTAATATTTTGATTATTGAAGCAACGTCTTCTATTAATTGATTTTTGAGATCCTGTAGTCCGCAACTCGGATTTACATGAACAACAACTGCAACACTCATCTAAATCTATAGATTTTCTTGAACCTATGTGACCTTGATCAATCAAATCAACTATTTTGTGAATATTTTGTGACTTCTTTCCTATACCGTCCCCTTCGGTTACATCCTTATTTCCAGCGAACCCAGGACAAGGGTTTGCACATTGTTCCGTTAAAAGTTGTTCTCTAACATGATCATAGATGGCCCGAGTTTTGATTAGTTTCTGTACAAGAATTCTTTCCCTCAGTGGCAAAAACTTCTCGTGATAAAATTTATCAATTTTAGTATCGTTGTTAGGTTTCTGTTTGATTTTTTGATGAGTTGCATTGTCTTTTAAAAAGCCGTCCGTGCACGTACAATTCATTGAATAAAAACCATTTCGAGTCATCTGTTCAGCCGTCAACTTCCGTACCATTTGCGAAACTTTAAGGTCGATTTATATGCACTATAATTATTACACATAGTATTTTTACTATTATAGTATAGTAAGTGGTATATACATGAGCGAAAACGGTTGAAGTCAGACAACAATAACTTCTTGAGCATTAATTATTTTAATGAAATATTTGTTTGCTGAACTGAACTTACAATATTAAATTAGTTTATTACGTGTCAGTTGAAGCGAATTTTACAATTCAGGCCAACAGTTATGTGTGCGTCTTGAAATTCATTTTGCATTTTGCCTCAAACAAAATCCTATTATTTTTAATTTGTTTGGAACCGGCCATACATAACTCATTTTGTACCTACGCAATACTTTGATATTTTTCTTCTTTCCAGTTATGTTTTTACATTTGACTAAGTGTTGATCCTTACATTGTTAATTAATTTATATAAGTAGTAATTGTTGCCTGATTAATATGTCCATTAATGTCTTGTCTAATAATTGACTTTACATTTTCTTGTGACCATGACAGGTGATAAATTGAAAGACAAAGTAAAAGTTTGTAGACTACAGTTTTATGTGTAATAAACCTTTTGAAACAATTTTTAATTACGATTTTTAATCGTACTTACTGTGTTAATTAAAAAAATCGACGTGACCTAAAAGATAAGACAGACACCCGGTATAATCATGTTCGAACCTCTCAGGCAGGTAACGATTTTTCTAATGAAATATGTACTTATGCAATTGTCACGAATGTTCTCTACGCTGAAGGAATATCATCGTTTAATAAAAATCAAACCCATAAAAATTATCATTTGCGTAAACACCAGTAACAAGACGTCTTGTGAGCCCGCACGACCAGTCACCACAACCCTGCCTAATAGCAATATTGGGCTTCGGTTTGAAGGGTGAGGGAGCCTTTGTACTGTAGACCTCATATCTCAAGTTGGATGGCGGCATTTAATTGTTTGTTATCCATAGATATCTTACTATGTGCTCCGTTTCACACCAGGTAAGTCATAGTCGCTTATAGAATTTAGCGAAAACAGCCTGTGCCTATCGCAAGCTACCCTATAAAACTACCTCTCAAGAAACGGTAGTCTTTTGTTGACTTTGCGTTTTGTACCTACTCTTTGTTCCTTGAATACGATTCTAAGGGCTAGATTGTTCAAATAATGTTTTTAAAACGTCCTTATACGCTACTATATGCTTCTTATAGGGTGCTGGAATTCTTCGGACATATTGCTCGTAAAGAGGGTTACAATGTTGAACAGCTGACGGTGACAGGCAAGGTAGATGGCAAACGTCCCAGAGGACGCAGTCCCACGAGATAGTCGGGCCAAATACGATCTTCTCCGAACATCAACTTCCACAATGCCCTTCATGAAGTTAAGGATCGCAGCCGATGGAGGGATATCGTACGGGGGAAACTGATGCAGCGGGAGAGTCACGACCCTCAGTAATGAGGAAAACGACGCGAGGAGGAGGATACGGTTTGCAGACCAAGAGCTAAGCTAAGTTAGTTTCGGTTAGCTCGTATAGCTGACGCTGTTATCCACAGTTCGGCCACGGCTTAGCTGGACCGGTACTAGTGTTCATACGCCACGACGACCACCCACCATCAAGTCGTATACCCTATGTCGTTACAAACTTAAATTGGAGTTTTCAACTCAAACGCTCACAACGGAGCCAACTATTAATATTTGTAGAAGCCATCAATATCAAATCATTAAAAGATAACCATTTCTACTTATATATCTTGCATTTCGGGCAATAAAAAAATTCCTCATAGCCTTGGAAAGTAAAGCGTCGAGATATTTGCGTTTATTAAAGAGAAATGTCACCTTCTTCAAACAAGTCTTCGTTTTATGCCGCAGTCTTCTTACAATTCGTATCATTTAAGCAGCAATATTAATCCAAATTTTAATTTTAGTCAAACAATAATTGTCACTAACAAATCGTATAGGAAAATTCTGTATTGCAATAACATAACGATGTTCGTTTACAAAATATATATTTTTGTTTTTTGTTTTTTATTTCGAACAAGACAAATGCAAACAAATTTTATCACGCGAAGTAGTGCTCTATTATCGTATCAAAATTATCGCTCGACAGAGTGGTTAATTTAAAAAACAGACCCTCCCTCAACAATTTCTTCGATGTAGTCGATTTGAAAATCTCCGTGGCTGTCGTATGCATGCTGTTTGTCCCATGCGTCATTTCACTAGTGGACATAATACCATGAATAGTCTCGGTTTCCTCTGTTTGGTTTCTAGAACATTCCGTGATATCACCTGGCGTAGGCACGAACCGCGTGTGAGCTAAGGCCCGAGCTTTAACGTAGCCGATACTGTATAACATCTTGTCCAGCACGCCAGTCGCTCTGAAGATGATGAAGAGAATAACAATGGCCACTGCGGACATAAGGCAGTCGCAGGCGCCTCCTTTATTCACGGGACAGGGCCCGCCCCCTCCACACATGAAACATTTTAGTCTCGCAGTGAGGAGAAAAACAACGCATATAGGTATTAGTGATATCATTTGGAGCATGAACGAAATGAAATTATACGATGTTTGCAAGACCATCCGAATCACGTTCTCTAGCATAAGTATGACCGTCATAAAGACGCGGACGAGCATTTGAACCCCACATATTGCTGTTTGGAGGATAGCATGCGCTGTTCGACACATTTTTCACTGAAAAAAGAAAGCATGTTTGAATTTTACACATTTTCCTTTGGACTTTTTACTGGTGGTAGGACCTCTTGTGAGTCCGCACGGGTAGGTACCACCGCCCTACCTATTTCTGCCGTGAAGCAGTAATGCGTTTCGGTTTGATGGGCGGGGCAGCCGTTGTACTGTTACAAGTGAGACCTTAGAACTCATATCTCAAGGTGGGTGGCGCATTTACGTTGTAGATGTCTATGGGCTCCAGTAACCACTTAACACCAGGTGGGCTGTGAGCTCGTCCACCCATCTAAGCAATAAAAAAAAAACTTGAGTTACACAAGACACAGGTCTGGCTCAATACCAGTAATCTTGATGTCCATAGGCAGTAAAAAAATACTGCACTACTAGTAATACTAATCTGTAGACCTTTCGTCTGTCCCTATTAGCAATAAATAAAAAAGAAATCGGTTTGAATAAATTTCACCGGAGCCCTCCAGCAGAATACGATCGATCTATCTCGAAATATTGCGAATTATTACAACAATTTATTTTTTCAAATGCGTTCAATCATCCATTACAGTTCAAATTTTACCTTATTAATTTCCTATAAATGGAAATGATGTAATCTTCCTTAGTTTTTTCATTTCATTAACTTAATTTCTGTCCAATTGTGTCCTGCTAAAAGATACTGCCGCGTGACAGAAGTAAAATACAAAAAACCTATAAAATCTCTTCTGACATAAATAACGTTCGAGGAAATTAGGTGTTTAAATGAATAAAAAGTTTGGTATTTGCTAACTCTTGTCTTTGCTTATGTGAAGTTAAACTAGGAAGGATCGCATCGGACTAACTTTAATTCTGAATCCTTATTTTATTTGATTCGTTGATTTAATAACAATACCATGCGAAGATTAGAATGCAACTAAATAAATTATAGCATTGTATAGAGCAATTACCAGCACATAATAGGAATAAAGGACGAAATATTGTAACATGATATTTGGATTTTGAATGTTTTTTTTTTATGATTGAAGCTTTACTGGTGGCCCTCCCCTTTCCAGTTTCACCAGGACAGGTGGGCGAGCAAAGGCTCAGTCAGGAGGGGTGGAGCTAACAGCTGCCCGAGCGCCGAATGAGACCTTAGAACTCGGGAAAAGCTGTTTCGCGCGTGAATCTACTACTGGATCGGAATCGCGACCCCCTGAGAATATCCGGCGAGAAACTCAGCGGGCTGATTCATGGGTTAGGTTGCACGCCGAACTCTTTGTCAAATTCGACGAGTACGCTTATCGAGGTCCCTAAGCCGGTTCCTAGTGTTAGAGATGAAGGCGTCTAATGTAAGGGTTATTGGATCTGATGGATCCGTAAGGACGTGTCTAGGGCGTCGATAATGAGTGACTCCTGCGCGATCAGGATTCGGGGAGTAGCCAGCGACGGCAACGATAAGGCGATTATCATAACGCTGATTTCATGTGTTTTCGGATCGATTCGATGTCCAGGTCGTCTAAGTCGACATTCCTCACGAACCGTGGAGCTCTGACGACTAACCTGTAAAAACGAGATTGTAGGGATTGGGGTGTGTCTGTGTGTGCGGGCCGCGTGAGCGAACACCACACTCGCGTAAGTCATGACGGGCCTTATGCAAATTTTGTATAGTGTCACCTTGTTTCGAAGGGACATTTTATTCCGCTTACAGATCACAGGGTAGGGTCTACCGAGGGTAAACGCGCCACGGTCGCGGACAGATTTGATATGCGGGCGGAATGTCATGGATTTGATTTAGCGGTAGACAGCGGCTTGGCTCTGCCCCTGGCATTGCTGAAGTCCATGGGCGACGGTAACCACTCACCATCAGGTGGGCCGTGTGCTCGTCTATCTACAAGGGCAATAAAAAAAAGATAAAAAAAAAGATTCATCCACGGTGACTCCCAGGTCTGTAGGTGGCTGCTTCCCCCCAGTGAAGGTCAAGGGGCGACCTGAGGGGTAGAGGCCGCGCAGCGCGCTACCAGCACTCTAGCGCGCTGCCAAGGAGATTCTAAAGAGCAACCGGTTGGCGGTGTATCGCGTCCCGACCCGGCAGGCTGGTTCTGGTCCAGCGGGGTATTCCGGGACACCAGCTGCACCGTCTGGGCGGCCTGACGAGCTGCCGTACCGAGACGGCCGACGGCCGATTCGCCTCGAAGACTCCGTCGGCCGGCCGTCCTTGGGGTGAGCTGCGCTGTCTGATTGCAGAGTTGACGGCGGTAACCCCCCTACCTCATCCGGGTTCTGACCTCGGAGGGGATCGGACGCTGTCTTAGAGCTACGGCTGCGCTCTGGAGTTTCCTCGCGATTAGGGACTTGTTTATACTCGAATAGTAAACGGCAGTGTCTTCGGCGAATAAAGTTAACGGGTCGGCGGCGACCGGGGAATATCGTTGACGAATAAAGTGAACGGGTCGGCGGCGACCGGGGAATATCGTTGACGAATAAACTAAATAGGAGTAGCGAGAGGACAGAGCCTTGCGGGACTCCAGCAGTGAGAATTCGCGTGAAGGAGCGGGTTCTCTCGACGCGATATCGAAAAGACAGGTTTGACAAGAAGCCCCGTAAGATGAGCCTATCCGGCACGCTCATGTTGAATACTTTGAAAATCAAACTGTTGTGCCAGACTTTGTCGCACGCGGATTTTGAATGTCTGTAATTTCCAATCACAAAATTATTAACGAATCTTTCCTTAATTGCGAATTCATTATATTACCCTGGAACCGAGCTCGTAATAGTATTATGCACATGTAAATAAATATAAAATATATAGTATCCATCGTGCATATTACAATCGAACCTAAAATTGATTTTCTAAATTAGTAGGTAGGTATGTAATAACAAAAACAATTGTGTCAAAAGAAAGTCAATATAATAAAGATACAAAACCAAAAATCCCTACGGTAAGTAATCAGCGTCGCTCAAAGACATCAGCAAAGTCGTTGGTTCTCGATACTCAGCTGAAATCTCGCAGGAAAACAGAATAGATATTTTACTTGGGAAGAATTTATACAAGTATTTTAAAGCACGCCATTTTTCGTTCTCTACTGATGTGTAATATAAAAAATATAAATATAGAAACGCCTTTTGCTATAACAACGATATTCCTTTTAATAACCTAAAATTCATAGTCCTTTTGTAAATAAAAATATATAGATTAGCTGCACAATATGATTATTATTAGGATAAAAAAATCGTTTTTTTCCCTAATCGCCGAAAGCTTATAGGGCTATCCCAGTTATTTGTGGATCGGTAGGTGAGCTCACAGTCTCAACCTGGGAGGATTTGCTAACATTAGCAATAGCAGGAGCAGTGCTTCGCTGGATCTACCACCGGATCTAACACCATTATTGTTTATCAGTTAGATGATTGGTAGATAGATTCCTATGAAATAAAAGTCGAATAACACATATCAAAGCATTTCATTTATTAATAAAAGAAATAAATTTTACAACTATAAAATAGCTTCAAATTAAATTTAATAGTTTACTCATTACGAACAAAAACGAAATAAATTTTTAGTTTGGAAAATACAGGCGGTGCATTCACTTTTCTGTCTCCTTCGCCCTTGGTGCGTGGATGTGAGTGTTAGAGCGAGACAGGTAAAGTTTCGAGTCAAGCTTTAGAGCTTGTACGCCTGACGCATCATTAGGTCAAAATAGCAGTCGTTGTCAATGGAGACGCTGATGCCACTGTAGTAGTTCATAAACTCTTCAAGAGTAACCTGTTTAAGGTAAAATCGCGTTAGTATATTGTTAAGCATCAATAACATACACAAATCTGTCAAACTGGAAGAAAATTGTTTCCATACACCCAAGGATAGGCCGGGGTGGCGCAGAATAATCCAGGAGGAAGTTATTCGAGGAGGCCACGACCCTCAGCATTGAGGATTATTGACGCAACGAAGAGGATCTGTGTATTTAGGGATTAAGAAGGAAAAAAATGAACCTATTATACCTTGCCTTTAACCTACCTATTACTCAATTCACGACCTTCAATATTAAATATTGATAGTTATATAAATTGTAATATCATAAAACATAAAAGATAAACGATAAAATAAGGGTTTTTGCTCAGGATATATAAATGCAATATTGGTATTGAATATTGTTAAAGAACAATGGCAAATTTTTACCTGAATGTTTTAAAAGGCGTCTTAGATTAAGACATAAACGAATCTTCATCATTTTATTTGCTCGTTTTTTATACGATGATAGATTTACGTGGCAAAGCCACGATAAAATGTTAATTTAATAAGCTTTTAATTCGATTTTTGTGTACTTCCGGTTTAATACATTTGTAAAGGATGGCATTTATACTATTGGCACAAAAAAGCAATATTTTTTGATAATGAATAATATTCATAAAGTATTTAAAATAAAAATAATAATATCAATTATCCTTTGTTACAATTATTAGGTACTAATCAAATAACTAAATAATAATATGTAATAGTAATGGCAGCACTGCAGATGACAATGATTTTAACAGTATGACAACTGATATAATGCGCATGACTATGCCCGTTCATAAGGCTCGTGAGTGGAAGAGAGAGCGAAATACTCGCTTCATCGCTCCGATTTTTTTTGACCCAAACTTTAAATTAGTAAATTAGCTTTGCAAGCCTTCGTTTGTCGCAAATATGTGACTAATTCGTTCAAAATGTTAAAAGTACCTATCTCTGACACACATTTTTACACATTTACAAAGAAGAAAGAACAAACTATATAATATGTATATGTACCTACCTAGGTAGCTCTGCAATTGCTAAGGGTACCTACTCGAGTACTATTAGAGGTGTATCCTTGATTCATCTATGATAATGAAACTAAAATTGTTATTTATACATATCGTTTACCTATTTTTCAATTTGTTATAGTCCGTGCCTACAAAAATCAGAGACATCTATTTATTGATAGATAACCTCAAATTATAAAGTAAACACGTTGATATCTTTTTTTTTGTGACTTTCTAATACCAAAAATATTTCTGATTAAGCTTAAGCTATGATATTCCTATCGTTTTAGTATTTTTTTGTTTCAAGACGCCTCAAATAAATACCAGGTAAAATGCTGTATAGAAAGCTGCCATTGTTCTTTAAGAACAATGCACATTTATCTAGTTTTTATTTATGACATTGTAATGCAGGTATAGTCCCCAAAAAAAAAAAAAACGGTATAGTNATACCAAAAATATTTCTGATTAAGCTTAAGCTATGTTATTCCTATCGTTTTAGTATTTTTTTTGTTTCAAGACGCCTCAAATAAATATCAGGTAAAATGTTGTATAGAAAGCTGCCATTGTTCTTTAAGAACAATGCACATTTATCTAGTTTTTATTTATGACATTGTAATGCAGGTATAGTCCCCAAAAAAAAAAAAAAGGTATAGTCCCCAGCACATAACTTGGCAAGAGTCGTTAGATGCGCAGAAGTCGTTTTTTAGGTCTCTTTGGTTGTCGAGCGGGACGCGGGGAAAGACGTAGCACCGTTCCGAGAGCGCGATTGGTGCGTTAGTCGACCCTCCCCTCCAGCACCGCATCTACGTTCCGTTCGCTCCCGGTTACACAAGCGCCTACTAAAGTTGTAGGTACCCTTTGTTTATATTGAGTTTTTGTTACGAGTTGTTATTATTGTTTTAAATTTAGTTTTTGTTACGAGTGTTATTGTTTTAAGTTTGTTTACAATGCCAGGACCAAATACCAATGACCATATAGTCAATTCAGTCGCTGAGCGTCTTATTATTTACGCCAGTGACGACAGCGACTCTTTGTTATGTCGAGGATGAGGAGCCAACTCCTTCCACCAGCTCAGGTGCTACCATACATTTAATCCAAGGGGTAGCACTATTAGAAAACGATAGTGACGACGGCGACACATAACTTTTAATATTAAGTATATTTTTTTAAATAAACTTCTTAACTCTTTTAATTGTATTTTATTTATAACACCTAATACACTTCACGAATTCCTCTCTTTTCTTTACGTTTCTTCTAAGCACACATGCTTAAAAATAAATTATGGCAAATAAAAAATTAAATAAAATTATATGAGGGCAATAAAAGTGATCATTTTTTTGTTGCATTGTGCACTATGCGCGACATTACCCCCACTACGTGCCGCTTTCTACACTGGTAATGATAATTATAATGTAAAGTTATAATTTAAAAAAATAAAGGTAATAATTTTTCTTAAACTTTTGCATATTGTCTGTGATGATGAATTATGAAGAGAAAAAGAATCATAATGATTAACTCATGAGTCAATGACATGTTCACCTGGACCAAACTAGCATACGCTGTATCATGGGAACCTGTATTTATTGCTTTTTTTTATTGCCTTTTATTTATTGCTTAGCTGGGTGGACGAGCTCACAGCCCACCTGGTTCTAAGTGGTTCTTGGAGCCCATAGACATCTACGACGTAAATGCGCCACCCACCTTGAGATATAAGTTCTAAGGTCTCAAGTATAGTCACGGTTAGTTTAAAATAATACATACATACACATTAAACACCAAGACAAAGAGCATACAATCCTATTTATCACGTGGAATATTTGCCAGATATGGAAATCAAACCAAGACCCTCAGCTCTGCACTCAGAGGCGCTAACAATTGCACTACAGAATCATTTTAAGTTCATTTTTATATTCAAGATTTATATATTATTTTGCAAATAGCCATAAATAAGTAAATGTCACACTATGCAGTGTAGGGTTCCATAGTAAATAATATTCATAATGAACAGATGTAATAAAAACAAACCAAAAACGTTTACTGTAGGCAGCTACAAACAACCCCAAACACAAAATGGTAGCCAACAAAATGCATAATAATATACATACATACATTAACAAAAGCATCTGAAATTAATTACAAATTGAAACAAAATTTTATGTTAAGTCGTTTACTCGTTAAGCATATCAGAACCCATAGCTCCGAATTATTTAAATAACTATTAAAACCCACTATTTAATGCCAAGATCACCGAGCCAATTTGCAGTTATCGAAACGATTTAAAGATAAATTAATGTTATTCACAAACCTTCCCATCGACTGTTCCATCGGACTCAAAATTCGCGAGGAACCTTTTCATTATTACATCTTCAGTTTCTTCGCCGCTCTTATATCTGTAATAAGAATTCAGTTAACGGTTAGTCATACGTTTCTATTTTTCTTCATATCATATTCCTTCTACATATTTCACAAACTGGAGTACTTTCTAAATTGAATTTGAATTTAATACAATAGTTATGTACTGATTTCTCTTTTATAAATGTAGTATCCGAAGCGGAAGGAATACTTTAGAAAGACAGAATCCACCTTTTTTCACTGGAAATCACTAATTCGAAGCACGTAATAGGATATGACGTCACATGTAGCTAGATCTAGCTGTCTCTCTCTTTCTAAGAAAATTAAAAAAGTTCTTGAAGTACACATGACTCACCTGGTCTGAGAATCGACGGAATAAACACCTTTAATGTCATCAATTGTGATTGCACCGTCACCAGTCTTGTCAAGTTTCTTGAATGCTTGTTCTACAATGTTACGACGTGATTCCGACATAGGAGGCTACAAGTAAAGCACATCACAAGTGATGGGACACAATTTACTGAGATTTTCACAATATTAATATAAAATACATTAAAGTATGTTGCACTCAACCTATGGTAAACTTCATTGAAATTCACTCATTGATAAATAAATCTGGAACATTTTAAAGATCACAAAGCAAACATATTATTACAGCATCTATATATATATAAATGAATTGCTGTTCGTAGGTCTCGCTAAAACTCGAGAACGGTTGGACTGATTTGGCTAATTTTGGTCTTGAATTATTTGTGGAAGTCCAGAGAAGGTTTAAAAGGTAGATAAATATGAAAATGCTCGGAATTAAATAAAAATAACAATTTTGTTTTCCCTTTGATGTGTCCCCCATCAGACGGATTCCTTTTGTTTGTTTTAAGTTTATTTTATACAAAAGTTAAGTTCTTTAATTTCTCGATTGAGGCACTACGAAGTTTGCCGGGTCAACTAGTAATATATATATATATATATATATATAATTTTGGCAAACTGTTTCACCACCACATAACACAAATACAAAGTTTACAGTTTTTGTGAGCATACTGAAGCATATGCAGGTAGTTTTGTAGAACAATGTGTCTGTATGTATTTACGAAACTTACACGGATTTTAATAAGGAATTCATCAAGACTGATTGAGCCACTATTGTCTGTGTCGAATTGACTGAAGAGTTCTTCGGCTTCCTGAAACAAAACAATTTAACATATGTATCTACATTATGAAGGAGGTAACTGATGAAATTGCTTAACTTTAAATATTGATTATGAGAAGCAGCAATGGTTACATTCAAACCCTAATCCCTTAGAGATTTAGGTCAAATGTTAATCAGTATTGATATCTAACCGCTACCATCTTTAGTTACTATTAATTTATTTTTTAAAATCATTGACAATGATACTATGCTCACTACACTCAAGTTTGACAATTAGTTCAGTTATCTGGGCCCACACAAATAAATAATGTCTTCCCACCATCCTACCTATTTCTCTCACAAAGCATTCTTACATTTCAATAACTGCACAACAATTTTATTGACTTTCAGTTTAATTTAAAAGTTATCTAAATTATTTCAGTGACCCATTTCATACTCTACAAACTGAAAATATAAAACACCTACAGTTTTATTAAGTTCCAGCCCTGTTTCCTTGATGCCATAAAGGAATTCTTCTTTGTTCAGTAGTTTACTTCCATCATCATCCATGCGACGGAAAATTCTGAAGACATTAAATTTTAAAGGGTAAATTACTTTTGAATGAATAGTATCTATACTGACAATAATATTTAACTATTGTAATGAAGTTTGTATAAGATTATGTGCAATAAAAGGAAAATATGAAACAATGTGTGATAGTAAATTTTAATATTTTTTTTATCAGCTCTCTAATATATAGCTATTTCATTAATGATTAGTAGTAAGCACTTACACAAATATGACATTAATTTTAGACATACCTTCCAAGTCCCAAGATCCCTGAAGCACCTCGGGACAAGCAAAGCAAGCGGAGTTTCTCCAGAGGATCAGTAGCTTGTGTCATAGCACGAGCACTCTTTTGCATCAGCTCTTCCTCCTGGACGGAACCAGCAGACATCGGTCTGTGCCACGCAACTGAAAAATTATTTTGTTAAAAGAATTAAGGCAATTTCAGAGTTTCAGTTTCTGTTTTCTAATCTATCACATTTGTATTACATTTTATGTTTAAGTTTGTCAAAGGGTTTATACATTCATATTGTTACAGGTTGTACAGTTGTTAAAAATGTAAATTCTCTTTTTTAATAAGTAAGTAGTTTTTGAAACTGGTGAATAGAAGAGCTAATGTCAAAATGTGGTGCAATATTTTATAGACGCGCAGTTATCTGATTATGTTTATTACACAATTTAACAACACAATCTAAGATGCCGGTTAGCACTACTATATTCAATGAAAAGTGATTGTTGGTATTTTATTTCCGCAGTTTCTTAACCATCTCATATCTGAATTAATGACGTAATGAAATTCATGATTTTATTTTTTATTTTTATTTTAAAGCGATTAAACAAAAATTGTTATTGCAGTTCTTTTCATCTCTCAAATAACGACTCAAATTTTGAAGTTAGTTTAAAGTTGATAACAATATACTCACTGTTGGAAGATGTTTTCGGTTTTCCTAAATACATTTTTACAATTTAAAATCACGTTACAACCATTAGATTAATCAGTTTTAATAATAATCTCTTCTAAAACTTTGTTAGGATATCATTATTTCAATTCAGCTTATAAATAACCGATACGTCTCACTAGATATGGACGTGATGACAAACTAAAACAAAATAACAGAAACAGTGTTGCCAGACCGCTTTGTAAATTCCCTGCCTAATCTTAGCCGAAATCCCTATAAATAAAAGGCATTTCGGAGACGGCCTTCAGAGTATTTAAATATAATCATTTGGAGAGTTTTTAGACAATATTTCGATGTCAACAAAATATGAACGCTGAAAATATGTTTCCCTCTTTTTAACCAAAAAAATACGTTACTTGTAGTTAGGCAGCGGGTTGGCTCTGCCCCTAGCATTTCTCACATCGATGAGTGACGTTAACGACTCAACGTTAGGTGGGCCGTATACCCATTTGCTTACAAGGACAATTAAAAAAAACTTAGTGCACGTGACAGAAGTGAAACTTCTTTTGCGGTATATAGTATTGTGGCTTCCTTTATTTATCATCCTTATTTCAAATTTCTCTTATAATAGGGAATATCGTCATGTATGGTTGCGAAACGTGGACCCTGAAAGAGGACACTACAAGATGCCTACAGGCATTCGAGATGTGGTGCTACCGTCGCATGTTACGCATTAGTCGGACGCAGAGGGTCAGGAACGAAACCGTGCTTCAGCGCGTTCATATGTCCCGGAAAATGTTGCCTGCTATCAAAAAGCACAAGATAGAGTATCTCGGCCACCTTATCAGGAACGATCGATACATGGTGCTGCAGCTGATAATTATGGGCAAAGTGGACGGAAAGAGACGTGCTGGGCGAAGAAAAAAGTCATGGCTCCGGAATATCCGGGAGTGGACCGGTATTGCCTCCGTCGAACAGTTGTTCCGGCTGGCTGCTGACAGAAAGGAATATAGAAAGCTAACGGCCAACCTTCAGGATTGAAGAGGCACTGGAAGAAGAAGAAGATAAGAGAAATGACCTAGCTCACATTGTTCTTTTCCTCTCTCCATGATCGAGTGGTTCGCGAGACGCTCGGTCTATTTTCTCACTCTCGCCCTTCCTAAATTGTATCGTTTCTCTCTAGCTGTAACGAATCTGTCGCGATTTAAATTTTACTCTCAACGCGACTAAAGAAACTTGACTTCGAAAAAAAACTTGTACAACTTTTAAATTAGATGATGAACCTTTAATTAAGGTCCAATAATAAAAATAGTGTATACCGGGATACAAACACAACTAGCAGTTAAGACTTGTTCTACGAGGGCGGGATGATAAGTAACTAGCCTCTACTATTCGTAGCTCTACTATTTAGAAAGTTAAAATTAAAAAAATATATGTCATTTTTATATTCGTATCTCTGGCCACCAGTGTTCTAAATTTGAATTTGGTGGCGTGAAAATTTTATAGATTTTTTTCATTTGAAAATATATTTCGTCAAGTGTTTTCAAAATGGATAAAATTGAACAAAGAGCGGTAATAAAGTTTCTTCATATGAAGGGCATGAAGGGACAAGATATCTATGACGAGTTAAAGAATGTTTTGGGTGAATGTGCTCTTGCTTATGCCACAGTAAAAAACTGGGTGGCTGAGTTTAAGCGCGGTCGTACATGTGTCCAAGATGAAACTCGCCCCGGACGTCCAAAAAGCGTCACGACTCCGGAAATGGTCATGAAAGAACATGATATAGTTTTAACAGATCGACGATTGAAGTTATCTGAAACAGCTAACACTACAGGCATCTCAAAAGAACGGGTACATCATATCCTAAGTGAGGAATTAAATATGAAAAAGTCATCGGCCCGTTGGTTGCCGCGATTGCTTACGTACGATCAAAAAAGGATTCGGGTGCAAAACTCAAAAGAATGTCTGGACCGTTTCAGAGTATTAAAGCCGATTTTTTACGTCGATTTGTAACAACAGATGAAACATGAGTTCATTATTTATTACACGCCAGAATCAAAAATTCAATCAAAATAGCGGACGCAATCGCGATGCCTGGCCCCAAAAAAGCCATGGCTGTAAAGTCGGCTGGAAAAGTGATGGCTTCCGTCTTTTGGGATGCAGATGGGATCTTGATGATAGATTACCTTCCTAAAGGTCAAATGATTAATGGAGAATACTACGCTAATCTTCTAGATAATTTTCATCAGTGTATTCAGCAAAAACGACCAGGTTTGGCGAAAAAAAATCATCTTCCGCCAAGACAACGCTAAGGTTCACACATGTGTTAAAGCTATGGCAAAAATCAACGAATTGAAGTGTGATTTGCTGCCCCACCCACCTTGTTCGCCTGATCTAGCGCCATCAGACTTCCACTTATTCCCTAAGCTCAAAACTTTTTTGGGCGGACAGAAATTTGCCACAAATGATGAAGTCATAGCTGCTGTAGAGGAGTATTTTGCGGGCCTCGAAAGATATCATTTTATGGAAGGCATTACTGCTTTAGAAGGAAGATGGAATAAGTGCGTAGAGGTTCACGGAGACTATGTCGAAAAATAAAATTAATTTTATCACGAAAAGTTAAGTGTTTTATTGTTAGGCTAGTTACTTATCATCCCGCCCTTGTATACCAATATTCAAATCTGTTGCACTATTGTTTTCAATAGCAGACTCTGTATTACCTATGAATGTATAAAAAAGAAAATAACAACAGAAAGGCAATCTTTTAAAAGAAAATAATGCCTGCACATATCATTAGATTATTTATAAAATCATATAGTGGGAAAATGGCTTCATTGAAACATTTAAAGGGGTCAGCCTTGTTTTCTCTCAGGAAGCTGTTGATTGATCAGATGACAAGAAAAAAAAACTGTTAAAAATTATAGACCTCATAGACATATTCTATTGATTGACATAACAAAATAATGTCGTTTATTGAATAAAATTTAAGGAAAAGTAGAGGCAGCTTTATTTTATTAACAATAATTAGTAAGCAGGCAAGTTCAAATGTCATTTGCCACTCATCATCTAAAAGAATGTATCAGAGTTAATCGCCCAAAAATTTATGAACAGACATGAATTCGTTAGCAAAAATAATTTTAAGGAACCATCTCCGTAGGCAGGTCACTAGAGCTTTTTGTTTTGCACTTATGTGATGCTTGGCAGTTCGATTAATTATAATTTACTCAGGTAGATTATTTACACGTCATTAATTTAAGTTATAAGTTTTACGCCTAAAAGGATAAAAAAGGACGAAAAACGTGATTTTTATAGTTATTAACACATCCCTCAAAACATTTACACCTCAAAGTTCCACCTAGAGGCGAAAAAAACCCCGAATTACAACAAATCCCTCCATCTGGCAACAAATGGCCCCCCGCATAGCTGTCAAATACAGTGTTCTATTTACATAAATTAGTTACCTAGTTAAGTACTAGGTACATAGTAAATTAATCTGTGTTCTATTCTATCCATTATTGCAGATGTAATTTGTTTTTAATTAGCTGACCAAAAGTGATCGACTGGTATTAGGTGTCTACCGGAGCCTAGAGAAAAGTAATCTTCTGTAGATAACTTAAAAGCTAAGGAGATTCTTCAATGCCCATATTTCTATATTTGGCTGCCTCTTCGCTGACATTTAGCTAGCCAAATAAAATACTCATTAATTGTAATAAGTTTATGCCCCAAAATTTGTAATTAAATAATTGAATTATGTGAAACACAATGCAAATACTTAGTACGTTGGTCCAATTTGCGACAACACTGATATTCATTGTCATTTATAATAAGACACTTAAAAAAAACTATTTCCTCCACAAAAGTGGTAGGTGTAGTGGTAGGTGTAGGTGTAGGTATAGGTATGTGTAGGGGTAGGTGCGTTTGTAAATTTTGACGACATAGCAATACCAAACTTAAATTATTTTAAAGGTAACAAAGTGAAATAGTAACATGCGGTAAATCCTTCATAATCAACGTGTTTTTTTTTCCTCCCTATTCTAGTAACCTCGAGGGGTTATTCTCAGTTATTCTAGATTCACCGAACTAGTAAGTGAGCTCGCGGGGCTCAAACCGGAAGTGTTGCTAACACTGGCCCTAGCAAGAGCAATGCTTCGCAGAATCTACCACCGGATCGGAAACGAGACCCACTAAGAAGATCCGGCGAGAAAATTAGTAGGCTGTTGCCTGTGTCTATGGGTTAATTTACTCGTCGAGCACTTCGTCGCAAGCGACGGGTTCGGCGAGGACGGTGACTGCGAAACTCTGTAGGGTCGCAAGTTCGACAGTTACTATAATAGTATTAAACTAAAATAATACTTTTTTTCAATCAAATGAAGTGTCACGATATTATTTAATTTTTTACTGTTGATTCGTCAGAACTGCGTAGGTCGTACTTAATTCGCTATCCTATTAAACTTCGTAAATATACCTATTATACAGATATAATGTTATAATGTTTTAGAGACAACTAAAATAATAAATAAAGTTGTGTTTCAAACAGACGTAACTGTATTTAATAGAGCTTAAAGAGGAAATGGGTACGTCTTTAATAACTAACTGCCTATTGTTTAAGAACAATGTCACTTTTAATAAAACGTCATAAGAACCTATTGGAAAATACTTATGTCGAATTAAGGGACTATTGGTTTTTATCGAAAATTCGCTAGTATGTATGAATTATCACAGTATGCATGGAATTTTATACTCTTTAAAATTTATAATAAAGAGTTAACGGCCCAGATACCAAAATTAACCATAGCGTAAATTCTTCGTCAGACTTACACACAAAATGGAAGACCAAATCAAATTGGACCTGTGAGTATTATATGTATTAAGCTGAAGATAAAATAGTGTCACAAGAATAAGTACCTGAGCCTACAAGATACCCGACAAGTAACAGATGCATTTCTATTGCGAGTATCATTTAACTAACATATCTATGACTCCAGGTGTTTTTCAACTTTCACTAAACTCAAATGCCCTCACTAACTATTTACTGAATGCAACAAACCTATCGCTCGTATATGATAGACCACATCTAGTGCTGTTTATTCCTGACACGATAACATTTAGTCTTGACTTGATATCGATTTAATTTAAAGTAATATAATTTTAGGGTATAAGGTAAAATGAATAATACTCTTCTACTCTTTATGGCAAGCTTATTGAGCTCAAACTCGGGAATTTTTAATTGGTATCTTTTTTTATTGGGAGGTATTGCTGGTAGCCCAGAGGCCTTTCTAGTTACACCAAGACAGGTGGGGCCAGAGTAAGATTATTGGGTGGGGCTAGAGTATCTACTTAGAGTACCTTGGGGTTTACAATTGGCACCAATGGCACCCAATTATAGTAGTATCATTCGATTTAGATGTAGAAATTTGAAAAGTTTTCAATCGATACAACAGTCAAGGTTACTAATATCTATACTCTATATTAATATATAAATGGTTTGGCGTGACACAGTGGTTTTTACGGATGTTCTGTTATAACTAATGAACCATGCATCCGATTGACTTGAAACTTGGTATTTATGTCGAAAATACATGTACTTAATGGATAGGCTAATATTTATATGAGCGTTGGACTCCCTAATAATAATGTTAATTTTAAATGCGCAGCGAAGCAGGCGAGTACGGCTAGTCGTATAAACGAACCGAGTCGCTATTAAACGCTATTTGAACTGAATTTAAAAAAAAAAAAAATATAAAAATTCCGTTGTCGTATGTACATGATCAAAAGTAGAGCTCGACCTCATTTCGCTATACGTACTTGATTAATTAACTTCGCCCTTTTGTACACATGTATACCAACCAGTCAAGGACCGTTTACCTATTGAATCCACAATAAAAATTGTTTCATTTTTTTGATACTGAATCTTTTCTTATTTAAAAAAAATGTGAATTTAACAGACTTTCGAATATTTTAACTGTGGTTTATGAATTTTACGACCCACTCGCTGGTTGGGTGGGTACAGACAGCAAGCAGCAAGAGCGCCGTGGTCCTACTTGAGTCATGGATCGAAGTCTCAAGAGCATTGCACGAATGGCCTAAAAGGCGTGTAACTTTTTAGTTATAAGCAAACGTTGACTTCGTTCGCTCCAAAAATCACCAGTACTCAATACGACAATTACCACTATAGTGTAGGGTATGGATATTACCAATGAGGTGGATCGACTGGTCAAAATAACTGGTAAGAACTAGATGCGAAAGGCAAGAGACCGAATAGAATGGAGTACATTTGAAGAGACCTACACTCATTGGGTGGACACGGGTTGAAGAAGAAGAAGAGAAAATGTATGGACTCTTAACAGATCAATATACTAATATTTGTGCATCTCGGATTTCAAAAGTAAATCGTAATAAGGAAAACAAACGCCTCATGAGATAACTATACTACATATTTGAACGTTACATTTGCACTTCACAATCAAAGAGTAAAGTGACAGGCCGAGACCATCAACAGTGTCGGCATGCTCATTACTGCATTTTTAGCGTCATGAAATCATTGCGGTCTTCATTATTAGGTAATGTGATTACTGAACTTAAGAAAAATCAAACGAAATTATTTAATTTTTCGCTAATTACTTTTATCTATACGTGAAGCAAAAACTTTGTACCCCTTTTTACGAAAATTGGGCGGACGGAGCAGTAAGAACCCACACTTATAGAGAATATAGAGAAGGAGAGTGCAGAATGTTAATATTTTTTTAAATTATGCATAAAAATACAATAAATCAATTTAAAAAAAACATTACACACACTACCATGTATTTGACACACACACACACACGCATGCATACTATTTGTTTACTGTCAAACGTTTCTATTGCTTATAGTCAATCTGTGGTCAAATTGAGAGTATATTAAATGTTGTTTGTCTTTGTTCATATTTGCCTAAAGTGTACATAATCTTGGCGAAATCTGTGATTATAGAATTTGACAATAGAATCATAATAGTGTAAAAACTTAAAATTTCAATTAAATGAAGTCGAATTTGGACTACGGGGGACCACTAGTGATTTTAATTTTGTGTTTTTTTTTGTATTTTCAACGTTGCCAATACATATTTTTTAGCTTTCGTGGTATCCGACGAGTCGTCCATGACAATATTCACATGTTATAAAGCCGTAAAAGTAGCTTTATTTAGTTCTAACTGTAACTGTTAAAAATATCAGTAATCTTGAACCATGCAGCGTTATCTTTAATTCAAAGTGACCATTCAATTAGAACGGAAATTCATACTTTGACTCGTTTTATTCCAGGCCGTTACCTCACGCACCTATCGAATGATATCATGCAGTATTTTATGTACATATTGTTATTCGTGTTACCGGCGACTAGTTCACACCCACCCTTAGTAATTAACACGCAAAATTATAAATACAATTAGTAATTTGAATGTTCTTATAATGTCCAACATAAAAACACCTTTTCATCTAAAACTGTTAATGAAAACAAGAGGTGTTTAATGTGAAAGATGCATAGAGACCTCGTTACGTTAGCTTGTCAAAAGCTAGGATGGTTATATGAGTCGACTATTATCAAAGCCGGTAATCTGACTTTTGGACAATTATTGGTAAATCAGAAAAACGAATTATTGACTTTGTATTCCATTGGCAGTCACAAAACTCTTCGGAACGACATCTTAGATAAATAACAGGTTAACTATTAACCTTTATTTAATGCAGGTTTTGAACCGTATTCTTTGAAGGAGACGAATAAATTCAAATCAATCTGTATTGACATATCAATAATTTTTTTTGTCCAAATGCACAGATTGCCACCTTTGATAATAGACGATTCATATTAAGTACATTTATGTATGTGTGAAAAAAATAAAAATACCTGAGCTCTCCATTTCAGCTTTTACTTTTGGCGAATTCTCGTAGTTGAAGCAAGCTGTGAAAAAGAAAACCAATATTAATCAAACAGAAAAAAAAAGCCTTAACAACTGCATGGAAAGATAGTTGTTTTATTCTGTATTGAGCATAATAGACCGACAATATCATTGTAAAAAAAACGTCTAAAAGCATTATTAAGCCAAATAATTTGAAGAGGGAACACAATAGAAAAAAAAATCGATAGAACTGTAACGGTAAATACGCTAACAGCCATATAGTGGTTATAATTAGCCGCTATCGATCGAGACACAGAGAATAATTTATTTTGTACCATTAGAAACCTATTGTTACGAAGTATAGAAAGCACATAAGTACATGGTGTTGTCTAGTTTCCTTGTGAAACCTGGCACGATAAAAGAATTTCTATTACAAGAACTACGAAGCCGATTTTATGGAAATCTTATCTTTTATCAAATCTACGATTCCTTAGAAAATCTTGGGCTTAAAAAATCTGTAAGCAATATAACATACTACGTAAACATACAAAAGTATATAAACTTAAAGAAAGTCGTTTTAAAAATTATTAAAGTGCATTGTAGCTAAAATTTTCAAGTCAAATTAATTAGTTTTATCTTTTGTCTAGATGAGCTGTTAGCGTGACTATCGATTGAATACCAATTTCATCTTCGCATCGTTTTCTCTTCACGTAGTGGGGAAGGGACACATAGGAACCTGAGTATACTTGTGTACTCTACCGTCTGTAAAGAACCTGCTTAATTGCACTTTCTTTTCCATTAGAAACCGCAGAATGAGGAAGACTTGGTGGGTCATTTACTTTAAAAATCGTTAGAAAGATATATCGCCTAATGCTCTGTTAAAATTACTCAGAAAAAGGCAAAGAAAAATCTGGGACTAAAACATTTGCACCTAATTCAGTAAAGTAAAAGTAGGTAAAAGAAGAAATCTTATGATAGCAATTTTGAGAATGTGGTTGGTATTTGTCGATAGTGATTAAAATATGTACAGGATTCGCTGATTAACTACATTTACACTACATTTTTTGGGAAATAAAGTCAGAATTTTTCATCGAGCAGACAAGTTTGCTCCATAGACAGACAGACTGAATGTAATGCTATGCGATGCAAGTTATATCTAGTAAGCGTCAATAGCGCTCCTCAAGTTTGTTATCGCAAAGCCCCCCACAATGCTCCCAATTGCTTAATTGTGAAATTGCTTGACTATTACGAATCGATCTTGTGGTCTCGGAGCCTGGTGATCAGTTACTGTGTGAAGTATTATCACCTGCAAGTTCCTTTAGGTGACGTTTAAACCGATAAACGCACCTACGCTACTCCGCCTACAACCACTAGGTGATTCATAAGTCCTAAGTACCTAATATACACATACGTATTTATGTAAAACTAGCTGAACCGGCAGACTTCGTAGTGCCTCAACCGATAAATAAAAGGCCTAAACTTTTGTATAAAATAAACTTAAAACAAACAAAAGGAATCCGTCCGACGGGGGACACATCAAAGGAAAAACAAAATTGTTATTTTTATTTAATTCCCAGCATTTTCAGATTTATCTACCTTTTAAACCTTCTCTGGACTTCCACAAATAATTCAAGACCAAAATTAGCCAAATCGGTCCAGCCGTTCTCGAGTTTTAGCGAAAGTAACGAACAGCAATTCATTTTTATATTTATGTAAGATACGGTAAATATAAAGCCCAGATTTAATAACAAAGCAAAGGCTGTAAAAATTATAGATATTCATCCCTCTGACATTACTTATTTACTTTTTGTCATACGCCAGAATTTTTCATTGATATTTGTAAATGTTGATGTTCGTATTTATCTACTCATTATCTTATAATTTGGTGGGTATAAGAAATCCGCTGCACTGTTATTAAGCGACTGTGTCGCCATGTACCTACTATTTCTTTTACAGAATACCTACCTGACCTGTATTCACGAAGACGTCTACGATTAAGGAATAACATCGAGTTATAAAAATCATGTTCGCAACAATAACAAAGGGGATGGCCCATTTTAGGCCCAAAGCGGACAATAGGTTATAGAAAAAATACTTAGTGCATTAATTTTGTCATAAATAAATATGCATTTACTTTCTTGCAAATAAGCGCCACTATAGTTTACAATAAGTAGTTTAAAAAAAGTAACTCTATTGAAAAAACAAGGATTATTATTTTTGCGGGAAAAATATTGCCAGCTTCAAATCCTTTTACGTATGAAGTAAATATTTTGAGTATATAAATAAAANCGTGCTTCGCAGAATCTACCACCGGATCGGAATCGCGACCCACTGAGAAGATCCGGCGAGAAACTCAGTGGGCTGTGTCTGAGAGTTAATTTACTCGTCGAGCCCTTCGTCGCAAGCGACGGGTTCGACGAGAACGGTGACCGGTGCTTGAAGTACCTAGAAGCACCGTTAGTGGATCGGGAGGATCCGAGATGACGTGAGAGAATTGCATGAATGGCCTAAAAGGCGTGTAACTTTTTAGTTACACCTAAACAAACGTCGACTCCTTTCGCTCCAAAAATCACCAGTACTCAATACGACAATTACCACTATAGTTTAAGGTATGGATATTATCAATGAGGTGGATCGACTGGTCAAAGTAGCTGGTCAGGACTGGATGCGAAAGGCAAGAGACCGAATAGAATGGAGTATACTTGAAGAGACCTACACTCATCATTGGGTGGACACGGGTTTAAGAAGAAGAAGACAAAATGTATGGATTCTTAACAGATCAATATATTATATGTGTGCATCTCGGATTTCAAAAGTAAATCGTAATAAGGAAAACAAACGCCTCATTAGATAACTAGTACATATTTGAACGTTGCATTTGCATTCACAATCAAAGGGTAAAGTGACAGGCCGAGATCATTAATAGTGTTGGCATGCTCATTACTGCATTTTTAGCATCATGAAATCATTGAGGTCTTCATTATTAGGTAATGTGATTACTGAACTTAAGAAAAATCAAACGAAATTATTAAAATTTTCGCTAAATTACTTTTATCTATATATTAATACGTGAAGCAAAAATTTTGTACCCCTTTTTACGAAAATTAGGCGGACGGGGCAGTAAGAAATTTCCCACACTTATAGAGAATATAGAGGAGGAGTGCAGAATGTTAATATTTTTTTAAATTATGCATAAAAATACAATAAATCAATTAAAAAAAACATTACACAACACTACCATGTATTTGACACACACACGCACGCATGCATACTTAAGTATTTGTTTACTGTCAAACGTTTCTTATTGCTTAAAGTCAATCTGTGGTCAAATTGAGAGTATATTAAATGTTGTTTGTCTTTATTAATATTTGCCTAAAGTGTACCTAGATAATCTTGGCGAAATCTGTGATTATAGAATTTGACAATAGAATCATAATAGTGTAAAAACTTAAAATTTCAATTAAATAAAGTCGAATTTGGACTACGGGGGACCACTAGTAATTTTAATTTTGTGTTTTTTGTAATGTTTTTTGTTGCTTAGATCGAGTGTGGACGAGCTCACAGCCAACCTGGTGTTAAGTGGTTACTGGAGCCCATAGACATCTACAACGTAAATGCGCCACCCACCTTGAGATATAAGTTCTAAGATCTCAGTATAGTTACAACGGCTGCCCCACCCTTCAAACCGAAACGCATTACTGCTTCACGGCAGAAATAGGCGGGGTGGTGGTACCTACCCGCGCGGACTCACAAGAGGTCCTACCACCAGTCAATTTCCAACGTTTCGAATACATATTATTATTATTATTTAGCTTTCGTGGTATCCGACGAGTCGTCCATGACAATATTCACATGTTATAAAACCGTAAAAGTAGCTTTATTTAGTTCTAACTGTAACTGTTAAAAATATCAGTAATCTTGAACCACGCAGCGTTATCTTTAATTCAAAGTGACCATTCAATTAGAACGGAAATTCATACTTTGACTCGTTTTATTCCAGGTCGTTACCTCACGCACCTATCGAATGATATCATGCAGTATTTTACGTACATATTGTTATTCGTGTTACCGGCGACTAGTTCACACCCACCCTTAGTAATCAACACGCAAAATTATTAATACAATTAGTAATTTTAATGTTCTTAAAATGTCCTACATAAAAACACATTTTCATCTAAAATTGTTAATGAAAACGAGAGGTGTTTAATGTGAAAGATGCATAGAGACCTCGTTACGTTAGCTTGTCAAAAGCTAGGACGGTTATATGAGTCGACTATTATCAAAGCCGGCAATCTGACTTTTGGACAATTATTGGTAAATCAGAAAAACGAATTATTGACTTTGTATTCCATTGGCAGTCACAAAACTCTTCGGAACGACATCTTAGATAAATAACAGGTTAACTATTAACCTTTATTTAATGCAGGTTTTGAACCGTATTCATTGAAGGAGACGAATAAATTCAAATCAATCTGTATTGAAATATCAATATTTTTTTTTTATCCAAATGCACAGATTGCCACCTTTGATAATAGACGATTCATATTAAGTACATTTATGTATGTGTGAAAAAAATAAAAATACCTGAGCTCTCCATTTCAGCTTTTACTTTTGGCGAATTCTCGTAGTTGAAGCAAGCTGTGAAAAAGAAAACCAATATTAATCAAATAGAAAAAAAAACCCTTAACAACTGCACGGAAAGATAGTTGTTTTATTCTGTATTGAGCATAATAGACCGACAATATCATCGTTAAAAAAACGTCTAAAAGCATTATTAAGCCAAATAATTTGAAGAGGGAACACAATAGAAAAAAAAATCGATAGAACTGTAACGGTAAATACGCTAACAGCCATATAGTGGTTATAATTAGCCGCTATCGATCGAGACACAGAGAATAATTTATTTTGTACCATTAGTAACCTATTGTTACGAAGTATAGAAAGCACATACATGGTGTTGTCTAGTTTCCTTGTGAAACCTGGCACGATAAAAAAAATTCTATTAAAAGAACTACGAAGCCGATTTTATGGAAATCTTATCTTTTATCAAATCTACGATTCCTTAGAAAATCTTGGGCTTAAAAAATCTGTAAGCAATATAACACATTACGTAAACATACAAAAGTATATAAACGTAAAAAAGTCGTTCTAAAAATTAGTAAAGTGCATTGTAACTGAAATTTTCAAATCATTTTTTTTTTATTGCTTTCATGGGTGGACGAGCTCACAGCCCACCTGGTGCTAAGTGGCTACTGGAGCCCATAGACATCTACAACGTAAATGCGCCACCCACCTTGAGATATAAGTTCTAAGGTCTCAAGTATAGTTACAACGGCTGCCCCACCCTTCAAACCGAAACGCATTACTGCTTCACGGTAGAAATAGGCAGGGTGGTGGTATCTACCCGCGCGGACTCACAAGAGGTCCTACCACCAGTAATTAGTTTCGTATCTTTTTTCTAGATGAGCTGTTAGCGTGACTATCGATTGAATACCAATTTCATCTTCACATTATTTTCTCTTCACTTAGTTGGGAAGGGGGAGACAATAACCAGGCGAAATAAGATACCTTAACAAACGAGGACCTGAGTATACTCGTGTACTCTATCGTCTGTAAAGAACCTGCTTAATTGCACTTTGCTGTCCATTAGAAACCGCAGAATGTGGTAGACTTGGTGGGTCATTTACTTTAAAAATCGTTAGAAAGATATATCGCCTAATGCTCTGTTAAAATTACTCAGAAAAACGCAAAAAAAAATGGGACTAAAACATTTGCACCTAGTTCAGTAAAGTAAAAGTAAAAGAAGAAATCTTTTATGATAGCAATCTTGAGAATGTGGTTGGTATTTGTCGATAGTGATTAAAATATGTACAGGATTCGCTGATTAACTACATTTACACTACGTTTTTTGGGAAATAAAGTCAGAATTTTTCATCGAGCAGACAAGTTTGCTCTATAGACAGACAGATTGAATGTAATCCTATGCGATGCAAGTTATATCTAGTAAACGTCAATAGCGCTCCTCAAGTTTGTTATCGCAAAGCCCCCAATCTGCTCCCAATTGCTTAATCGTGAAATTGCTTGACTATTACGAATCGAACTTGTGATCTCGGAGCCTGGTGATCAGTTACTGTGTGAAGTATAATCACCTGCAAGTTTCTTTAGGTGACGTTTAAACCGATAAACGCACCTACGCTACTCCGCCAACAACCACTAGGTGATTCATAAGTCTCAAGTACCTAATATACATATACGTATTTATGCGTCATACGGTAAATATAAAGCTCAGATTTAATAACAAAGCAAAGGATGTAAGAATTAACATTGAAATTGAAGGGGGAAAAAATAGATATTCATCCCTCCGACTACTTACTTTTTGTCTTACGCTAGAATTTGTCGTTGATATTTGTAAATGTTGATGTTCGTATTTACCTACTCATTAGCCCTATAATTTGATGGGGATAAGAAACCCGGTTATTAAGCGACTGTGTCGCCACGTACCTACTCTTTTTTACTGACTTTTTTTTCTTTTCTTTAACAGAACGCGTACTTGGCACGTAGGTATTCACGAACGACTAAGGACTAACATCGAGTAATACAAAAATAAAGTACGCAACAATAACAAATTTGCATAATTTCTACTATTAGATAGTAAGCCCGCACGGGTAGATACCACTATCCTATCTCTTTCTGACTGGAAGTAGTCATACGTGACGTTGTGAATGCTGGTATACTGAACCGTTATACAGTACAATTGAAACTTCAAGCTCTTCTCTAAAGACCAGTTGTGGAATTGATAGTGTGATTTCCTGAAGCTCCCTTAACCATTTTAACACCAACTGACTCATGAAATCGTTCATCCATCCAAACAATAATAATTGTTTTCAAGTAATCATACAAAGATTCTAGTATTCTTATAGTATGCTCTGAATGCTCAGAGGAATTATTCGAGATGATCCCGTCATCTCCTATTTATCATTGCACCTCCCGCCATTGGAGCAGAGTTCATCCATCTGGAACCGTGGCGTCCATCGGCAGTGCGTTTCCAAAGATCTTTTTTGCCACGTACCATCCGGCTTTGAAATATAAAATCCCCGCCCGCCCGAGCGCTATGGCATGTCCTTCTTCAAACGAGGCTTGTGGAGAGTACTTAATGGTAGGCAGCGGCTTGACTCTGCCTCTGGCATTGCTGACATCCATGAGCGACGGTGACCTCTCACCATCAGGCGGGCCGTATGCTCGTCTGCTTACAAAGGCAATAAAAAACAACAATACTAGATTCTAACATAACCCCTAACCATACAGCATTATGTTAAATAGTAGTGCTAGAGAGCTCCATTTTTACTGGTGAGGGCACTGAGGCACCTGTGTGGTCCCTGTGTGGTCTCAAGACGGGCGCGCGATAAACAAAGCCTGGTACACGGTGACCAACCCCCATTAACTCGCTACCAATAACCTACTCAAACACAAACTTAAAGAAAGTATGTAAATGTATGTACGAGTATGTACATATTATATTGAGTATTTTAAAGTCGCGGACAGATGATTTCGAACTAAACGTAAAATTCTTGAATAGTAAAATATTGGAAATGTAAAAATGTAAATGCTGAACTTTGTCTGTCTCAACAGGAAAACACTATGAAAAACTAAATAATCATATTAAATATTGGTGGGTACATACTCGATTTAATTAATTTAAATGACACAGCCTACATAAAGGGGCAGCTAAAAGCCACATTGTACCTATAAAAATTCAAACTTACCTTTATTTTGAATTCTTTCCTTTTTTTATTCGGGACAATGGCATAAAAGAAAACAGCCAACTGACATCGATCACTAGCTGCTGAATAATAGTTTTCTAGACAATTGTGTCACACACGATAGGCTAATATCGATTTATGGAAATTGCCTCTATTATATACAAGCGTGGAACAGCTGTTACAATTCTTATTACTAATTTTTAATGACTCTAGTTTTTCTAAGCCCTAATGTAGTCACGTAGTTAACAGCGTGAATACTAAAATTAAAATATTCTGTTTGAGCTGAGATGGAAAGAGTGACTCACAAATCGCAACGGCCTTGTCCGTTCTTTCTTACGTATATGGAAGAAAACAGATTTCACGAATAATTCTGTTGGCTAAATATTTACCGAACAAAAGTTATTAAGTATCATAAAATATTAGAATAAAGACGATGTTCACTTTCACCCGTTTGTCTCAGTATTGTGGATTATACTGAGTGTAAATTCAAAAAGTACTGTCCTTGTTTACTTTCCAAATTTTTATCGTTGTGAATCATGCGTATTTTAATATTTTTTACCTTTCATATTATAACTTTATTATTTTAAATAGACTTTATTTATATGTTAAACAGCACGCGTCTTCGCAAATTTTAGTAGGTCATTTAATATTTTTTTCCTTTTTCTCGCTTTAGTCTCGTTTCACGTCAACATTCATGATTCGCGAGTTAGGCAAAAACAGGCTTGAGCATTAAGACATTTGTTCAATTGTCACCTAAATAGTAAAGAACCAACCTTAACCATAAATGTGTAAGACTATTTCGACTCGCCTTACAACAATTAGGGTCAAAACAAAATTGTGATGGTTTGATCGTTTGAATTTTAGTTCTACAAATGGCAGTCAACAGAACAACCTTCAACAAAACTTATAATAATTTTCATGTCATTCTATCTAATTTATAAGATACTAGCTGACCCGGCAGACTTCGTAGTGCCTCAATCGATAAATAAAAGACCTAAACTTTTGTATAAAAAAAACAAAATTGTTATTTTTTATTTAATTCCGAGCATTTTCATATCTAACTTTTTAAACCTTCTCTGGACTTCCACTAATTATTTAAGACCAAAATTAGCCAAATCGGTCCAGCCATTCTAGAGTTTTATATATTGTTAAACTATGCTTTATCTACGCGTCAATTAGTACAAATGATAGTTTTTATCATCACACACATCGTTGTGGTTCTAATGTATATATAATTTTACTAAGTACTTAGTCAAGGATAGTTTGTAGACTTGTCGAAGTATTGGTGGCCAACATCGTGATTGATTGTTGTTTTCGCCCGTAGCCTCTAGGGTCCATTTATTTTATTATGGCTAGTGGCAAGCTTTCCGACTGAGTTTCTCGCCGGACCTTCTCAGTGGGTCGCGATTCCAATCCTGTGGTAGATTCAGAGAAGCACTGCTCTTGCTAGGGCAGATGTTACCAAATTCTCTCAGGTTGAGCCCGTGACCTCACCTACACGTAGCTGGATTAGCCCCTTATGCTTGGTAGGTAGGTATTTTTCTTAGTATCTCAAAAATAATGACATGATCCGGTGAGAGTCTCAGTGGGTTAATCGTGCTCAGTGGTGATCGGTGCCCATAGCTGATAACACGTTGGATAACTTCTGCCCACCCCAAGACATGCGATCGAAATTTCTCTTAAACAACAGCAACGGCTGTCTTATTGAAACTGCAATTCACGATTGTTACACTCTGATAGGTAATAATAGTAGTAGTACTAGTAGTAGTATAAAAACGCACTATATTATAAATGTTACGGGTTTGATTTTTTTTACATTGCTCCAAAAGGGCAGACGAGATCATGGCCCGTTTCAAATTCAATACTCATCATCATGTGAGTGCCAATACTCACTGTGAGATATCGAGGCCGAAGTATCAAATGTAAAACAGCTACCTATCCAAGCTTTATAAAAAGCAAGTATAACCAGGGTAGTAGAGCCTACTTCTTAGTAAGTTCTAGTCAACTATACGCCCCACCACTTAAAACTAATGGATTGAATAAAGATAAACTTTATGCCCTTTATTTAATTTTTTTAAATACAATTATTTTTCATGAAAATAGTAAATGAATATTTTTATTTAAACTTACCCGCCATCGAGGCGCTGCTCATTCTGCCTCGGCTAAAATCAATTTTGGATGTCTTTTAAAAATTCAAATGAAATTTAAATTTTCAACTCTTTGTTTTTGAAGTGGCGTATATTGTAAATGTCAAACGAAATGAATCTAATGTTGGAAAATTAAACGCAAGGAGATTATATTTTTAGGAAATGACAAAAAGATGACATTGAATCTTTACCTATTACCTATTTATCAAGTCATGAAAACTACAGAATTATTTAGAAAAAAATTAGGCTATCCATACTCAACCATTCCAAGATAGGTTACTATTATGTCTTGTGGGTGCCGAAGACACGCCTAGTATTTTTTTTTATTGCCCTTGTAGGCAGACGAGCATACGGCCCACCTGATGGTGAGTGGTTACCGTCGCCCATGGACTTTAGCAATGCTAGGGGCAGAGCCAAGCCGAGTAGTAGTCCCGATAATTCTTGATCTTCATTAGTCACCGTCTGTGCTGTTCCACAAGCCTGCAGTTGGTAGTAGCGTAGCCGTGCCCTTGGCATTAGTGACGTCCATGAGCGATGGTGACCACTTACCACCAGGTGGCCTATATGACTACAAAACTATACAAAAATGCGGAAGTCTACTAACAGGACTCTTTTAAAAAATTACGTTTTATATTATTTCCCACTCTGATTAAATATCGTAATAATAATAAGTAGCGTGCGTGGCTAGGCCTCCTACAAGATGGAAGCACGATCTATCGAGGTTCGCGGGGATCCGCTGGATGTTGGCAGTGCAAGACCGGTCTTTGTAGCGAGGCTTGGGGGAGGCCTATGTCCAGCAGTGGATGTCTGTGGGCTGATAAGAAAAAGAAGAAGATCAAATATCATGCATGCAACGGCAAACATGGCTTGAATATTTTGTAAGACGCGCGTTAGGCTTTGACTTTTTAAGTGTCGTTTCCTTTGAATTCATTAGCGATTACGGTACAATGTCAACATTGTCAGTTGCTATGTACTAGTGTATTCATAGAGTGTATTGACCTTTAATACCTTTGACGTCGTCTCTCTGGCGAGAATGCGAGATATCAAGTTATTTGAACTGTTTTATTTTGTTAGTTTGTTTTGTATGTGGCTGTATGGACTATACTCCCGTTGCCCATCCAACAAACAAAAAAGTACATAATGTCAAACACATAAAAATGCTTGGATTTTTTAATTTTTGTTTACATGCAATTTGGAAGCAATTAAACATTTAAATACATCACTTGGCATATTGAATTATGAAGTGTGAAGATCTCAAATAAAATGGCACCAGGGAAAAAAGGCAGCGTGCACGGCAAGCGTTCAAAACATCACGCTCCACGAGACTACGCGGAGACATTAAATGATTTAACTATCAAATCTTCATCGGACGACACTGATGCAAGCAGTTCTGATGATGAAGGAATCAAAGCTACATTTTCAGTAAGCATGTGGGATCTGAATCNATTATGAAGTGTGAAGATCTCAAATAAAATGGCACCAGGGAAAAAAGGCAGCGTGCACGGCAAGCGTTCAAAACATCACGCTCCACGAGACTACGCGGAGACATTAAATGATTTAACTATCAAATCTTCATCGGACGACACTGATGCAAGCAGTTCTGATGATGAAGGAATCAAAGCTACATTTTCAGTAAGCATGTGGGATCTGAATCATTGCGATCCCAAAAAATGTTCGGGCCGTAAATTATTAAGGCATAACCTCATAAAAAACTTGAAACTTGGGCACAGATTTCAAGGTTTAGTGTTGTCACCCGTAGGTACTCAGTGTGTGAGTCCCAACGATAAGAACATTATAGAAACATTTGGGTTAGCGGTCATTGACTGTTCATGGGCAAAAATTGATGAGACGCCGTTCAGCAGAATGAAGTCACCACATCCGAGGCTATTACCGTTCCTCGTTGCTGCGAACCCTATAAATTACGGAAAGCCATACCAATTGAGTTGTGTAGAAGCACTGGCAGCTGCCATGTTCATAACTGGACATAAAAGTGAAGCAAAATTCTATTTATCAAAGTTCTCGTGGGGTCATTCGTTTTTAGAGTTGAATTCTGATGCATTAGATCTATATGCAGCGTGCACTGACAGTAAAAGTGTTTTAGAGGCGCAAGCGACATTTTTGGAATCTGTGAAAAATGAACAAGATGATAGGCCTATGTGGCCGCCAAGTGAATCAGACAGTGCGTCAGATAGCTGATACTTCGGATGTTTCTTGTGTTCTAGCTATTACAACTAACTTATATTGTGAATAAAAAAAACGAAATTTCCTACTTCTTTGTTATTTATAACTATATAATTCGTGTCAGTATATATTTTGAAAGGTCATTGATATCAATTGTATGTTGGTCACAAATAGATTTCTTCTTAATACTTGATTGGCACTGTTTTGTTTTATTTAGATGTGGAAGATTATTAATATGGTTATGACGATGATGATAAATTGGGGTTGCCTTTTCCTCTGCGAAATTGAAATTAGAAGCTATCTATAACTAAAAAACTTATTAAAATTGAGGATTTAGCAGTTTGTTGTTGGCAATGTCTATTCTGGATAACTGACTGAACAACTTCATACAAAATCATCATAGAACACAGCACTTTATTTCAAAAAAAGCATTAATTTTCTGTGAAACTATTGAGTCTTCATTTTCCATGGTTGTAATCTTAAGTTTTATTTATTTTGCGTGTAGCACATTGTGCTCACGGGCTTCGGCCACTAGATGCCTTGTTATTCGTTTCTCATTGCTCCTGTAGATGGCAGTAAGATACATATTAACTATCATAAATGTATTTACGCTTTTTTTACAATACATTTATTTTCTGTTTTTTAGTTGAATTTTCTACAAGGGCGTGTTTATTAGTTTTTTTTAAACTAAGAGTATCATTTATTTAATAATTAAGTTTTTTAATTCACGCCATCTAGATATTCTTTACTGAACTAAAAATAACCATTGCCCAAAATACACTGCTATGGTGCACACGTGGTGAGCCTAGAAGAGCGCCATCTATGATAAAATGTTTACAACATGTTTCAATTGTCTCATAGAGAGCGTTTGTATCGCGTTCAAATTCGCTTTTTGTTGTGGTTCTTTCTTCGTGTGTACTATAAGTACTATTAACGCTCGCTCGCAACCAGTATCAGTCGGGCGGGCTCTTTTACTTAGCTTTAATTTAGTTTGCTTTTGCAACTTGACCAAGCAAGTTGGTTTGTGTTTAGTGCAGTGAGAATTTAAAACTCGCGGAATAATTTCTTTATCAAATACATTTGAATCGGTAAAGTGTTAATTAAGTTAGTGCTGTGTTTACTTAAAGTGAATGTTTGAACTGTTTGGTACTTTTGAAACTTTGATTTGGCTATTCTAACTTTCCAGGTAAGTTTGTCGGTTAACTTCGATGCAACCTGTCACGCAGGTGTCTCAAGTCACTAACCTCGTAAGAATAAATTACTACAATAATACTAAGAGCTTTGATTCATTCAGTATTGTTATTTTTAATTAGATTTAAAATGTAGTATTTGATACTATGACGGGCTCTCTGTACATATTTCTTATTAAATATAAATTTTCAAGTATTCTGTAAATGTGTCAGCAAATAGTTCAATTTTGGGTTCAGTCAATTTTTGAAATAGAAAATTATTTGGAAGATTCATAATTATTTTTAGATTTTCTTCGATAACTAGAATTAAAAAATAAATTGGAAGCTGAGGTTTATTTGTTTTATATTTATATACAAATACCAAAATTATATTTTAAACAGCAAACCGGTGTACATACACCGATGTATACGTAAGTAGGAAGAATTAAAACTAAACTTTAAACTAATTCAATACTGGCAGATAAAACATTTACTTCTTAAATCAAATCTGAAATGGATCTGTGTCAACTTCACCACTTATTGCCAGAAACATTTATTTTCGATTTTGACATATTTTTAAGTAAATATATTATTCAATGTTTTTTCTCAAATTTAAAAGTCGCGCCCTGCGGGAAAACACAAGATGTTGAGAAATAGGTATAAATAACAGATACCGCTAAAACCGCTGCTGGCGACTTCTGTCTGGTAAGAACTAGGAATACTATCAGTCATATATTTACCTACTTTAGTCGGATAATAATACCTTTTCTTATGCCATTCAAGTTGTATTTTATTGTTGTTGTATTTAACAGAAATACCTTATACTTATAAAAAAGGATATTCTAATTGATCTGCATATTAACCATTATTCATTTTTAGAAAATATCTATAAATATCTTTTAGAATATATTTTTCTACAATCTTACTTGAGACATGACTCATGTCACATGAGCTCAAACTTACGGCGGGCTTACAACACGCTCTAACACCAGTAACTAGGCAAATTAAAAAAAATGCGGCTCTGATTTTTGTATATTAATTGAACACGCTAACGAGAGAATTTGGTTAGGTTCTGAAGGTTAGAATTTTGAGGTATTTAGCCTCCAATAATTTAGATTTAGCAATAATATTCCCAGAGTTGTTACACTTTGATTTTTTTAGGATGGAAGCTTTACTGGTGGCCCGAAGGCTTTTCCAGTTTCACTAGGAAACGTGTTACACTTAGATAAAATAAAAAAAAAGATTCAGTCTGTGTCAATCTCCGGATCGTACTGTATTTTGTCGTTCTATTTCAGACGTTATGCGGCGTGTTTTAAATCGAATATCAATGTGAAATCGTAAGTCTGTCTGTTAAAGGCGAAAGAAATAAAAATTTCTAGTTGCTACTTTTTGTTTGTAATGACGTCATCTAATAGATAAAGCAACAAGGCAAGTATGAAGTCTGTAAGAAGAGTAAGTAGTCTTCCTAACAGCTGTTCCTGTTCATCGTGTTTGTACAGAACCGAGTCTGAACGACCTTCCTTGAGCCGTATTGTATCTCACGGCTCGAAGATTGATAAATTATATTACGGTAAATATATACCGTTAAGGGAGAGGAAACTATTAGAGAAATTGGTGCGCACCAGAGCGGTTTACGATAACATTCGAGATCAATTAATTTCTAGTAGCAGCACTAGCGGGAGAGAAGTAATAAAAAGCAAGCAAGTGAAGGGAAAACATAAAATTATTAATAATGAGAACGAAGATAATATTTCAGAAGTAATTGGTCTAGTGGACAATGGAGTGATCTTGACTCCTGAGACCAGTGAGTGCTGTAGCTGCTGCAGCTGCAGCTCTGCAATAAAGATGAGCAATGAGACTGTTAGACCTATGCTACATAAACATGTACCCAACCAAGAAAAACGATCTATGACTTCGAAGTCTAGTGTGATATCTAGACAGAGAGCTAATGATGAGATGAAAAACGAATACAACGTTCGTTTTAAAACAAAACAAATAAAATCGGATCCGTGTACTTGTACTTATAAAATTGGAAAAATCATTAAACGTCATTCGAGAGCTGTCCTGAGGAAATTGGGTGGTGAACGAGCACAGCCCCTAATTGAGACACATCGAGGAGCTTTTGAAGAGCATCATCATAAAAGGCGAGTAGGTGCAATATTACGAAAGTCTTATCAGCATCATAAAAATCGTACCGAAGAGGGCCCCCGAAATTCTATAAAAAATAACCAGGACTCTCAAACAAAATTCAAAGATAATTTAAATTTTGAAAGTAAAAGGTCCGAAGAAAAGATTAAGCAATCTTTTCATAAAGTCCATCCTAAAATAGAGACCCTTCGACAAAAACACGTAAGGACTCCGGTAACTAATGAAAATATTGAAGGTCAAGACAATATAAAAGGTAAGGTTTTTAAAATAAAAAAGGACTCCGTAACACAATTCAGAGAGAAATTGCGTAAAAAACATGATTTACGAGATTGGGAATGTGCAGATACATGCTTTGAACAAAAATGCAAGCCTGAGCAGTGTTACAAAGAATTACTGAAAAAAATATCTCAAACTACAACAATAATAACAAAGGAGAAAGGCAATCGGGTTCATGAAAATAGAAAGAAACATAAGAAAACTAATTTATCTAAATTAGAAACCAATAAAGCTATTCAAATGGACGTAGATAAGCATTCGAAAATACAAGATAAAAAAGGCGAAAATAAAACAAAAGATAATTTTACCAAGGTAACGAACAATACCTTAAAGCAGTCCCCAAAAAATAAACAAAAACAACATAAATCAAAACAAGTATTGACAATTCGAACTAATGTAAATATGACAGAGAAAAAGTCTTCTATCCGTGATTTTCGTCCTCCATTTCCAATTATTGATAAAGCTACAAGTAAACAGCTATTCAAAAACAAAGAGCATGGAAACACAATTAACAAGGAAACCCTTCTGCCAAACACTCGTAAAAAGGAAATAAGTAAATCTCACATTACTGCTATAACTAAAAGTCCTCAGAAACGCCACAAGCAAAACCAAAGTAAAAAAATCCATTTAGCTAAAAGCAAGCAGTCCGGGCACTTACTCAAAAGGTGTTTTTGTACACTTAAATTAAAAAAGAAGAGTATAATAAATAGAAGTAAAAGTGATTTTAATACCTCTAAACCTAATTCTACCCAAAGTTATGAGATTAGACAAAAAACTTCGTCTCAACATCCCAATAAATTACTGACTAAATGTGATAGACAAATTTGTAAAATTGGCGAATGTGATCCTAACGAGTGTAAAAAACAAATAAGAATTCGGGTTTCTAAGCATCAGGGTTTATCAAAAGCTGATTTAAAAAATGAAGACGCTGCTTCTAACATGAATATTTCATTCCCACGTTTTCATATAAAGAATTTAAGAACACCAGATAATGAAAATGAAACCAGACATGTCCTAAATTCGCAAGACCAAATACCTCAAAGACAAGTTGTACGGATTAGTTCAACGTTTAGTTTTGATATAGAATTTTCAAAACTTAACGTATCCGAACCTCAGTTTCAAAGAAAAATAGAAGAGTATAAGAAACAGCGTATTGAACAAAAGAAAAAATCTGTCAAAGAAAATAAGGGTACAGATAAAAGGAGAATAAACACTCAAAACAAAAATTCCCAAATAAGCAATTCATCGAGCAAATCAACGAAAACCTCACTCAAGTATGGTATACGTAGATGCTTTTGTACTCTGAAAATTAATAACAATCGAGTAATTCAGGATAAATCAAAAAATACTTCTAAAGCAACACTGACTTCGGGTAAACTGGAAGCCCAACCTAATCTGAAATCGGTTTCAACAAATGTCAAAATAAAAGTTGCTTCTAATAAAAAATCAAAAAAAATATTGTTACCCTATGAATGTGACCCAGGTGTATGTG